CAAGCCCATCCTATTGAATTGAATTGATAAGAGTTCATGGGGAATAACGCGCCGAACAACCACAAGCCCGGGTAACGAACCAGCTTGCTCAGTTAAGCCCACCATCAATGGCGGGATCAATCTCGCCCTAGTGCTTGTGCCCATGTCATGTACGAAAGGGAACATGGGGACGGGCAGGTCTCAATTCAGAAAGCTCAACTTGAGAGACTTGCCTTCTCCATTACATGGCTGCAAAGCATGGAGAAAGAGCAATCGATAATTATTAATGGTGCCAACCCGATCAGCACTAAAAATACGGAGTAGCTCCAATGTGCGAGACATGGAGACACCGACTAGTGGTGGTGTGAGCAGGTCTTGAAGAACGGATAAATTTCTTAGCGGAAACCAAGTGCGAAGGAGGAGAAGAGAACCTGAGCAAGCTCCACCCACCCCAAACAGGAAAATCCCTCCGGAGAAACAGACCTGACGGACTACCAGTGCTCCCTTCGCTCCTTCTCTCAACATCCTTTTGCTAAGTTTTCCCTCGACTGACATCGGAAAATAAGGCGACACCGAGGAAGGAGCCATCAGCCAGAGCACGACAAGCCAGCACCAGCATGGGGAAAGGACATTGGGAAAATGCGGCGGGCGGCGCGGGGTTTCGGAGCCACCCCGCGCCTGCATTTCAGTGTTGTCATTGAATGTATCATTGTAACGCTGCCCCTCCAGGTTTTCTCTTTCCCCCTTGGGAGGTTCAATCAATGATCTCTGATCTAGTGTATGCTGTATGTTCCTTTTTAACCCTGGCCCTGGTGCGCGCCGTGCGGCCACAAGCGCCGACCACTGAAACGGCAGACCTTCGTTGCCAAATCGATCAAGCCAATCTTCAATGTTCTCCAAAGCGGAGTCGTTAACCCCTCCAAAACCCCATCAAACTCTGGTTGCATGGGGGCCAGGGTCCCAGTGATCATTACTAGGTCTGTGCATTTCAATCGGTGAGGTAATACCGAATGCGCTGTAATTCCAACAAAACATCCGAGAACCGTTCAAAGCCCTTCCGTCAAGACGGTAGATACGGAGGTGATGGCGGGGGGGAGCGCAACAACACCACCGTCATCGCCATCAACTCGACCACGGTACATGTGTTGCCGCCAACAGATCAATGGATCCGTCCACCCTGTCTGGGTCACAAAGGTCACACGGGAAGAAGTTGCTGTTGATCACCACCTGAGCGAGGACCGTTCATGTGAGCTCGACAAACTTATATTACTCCTGCAGCTAAACAGTTTCCCCTTCTTCGCCAAGTTCACTGGCAAACAAGCGAGGTGCGACCTATACAACTAAAAATATAGGGCAGAAGGAATGCGTGTCAATGGACAACAGCAGTATGCAAGGCAAAGGAATGCTTTTGAAAGAGAAAGAGAGAAAAAGTAACGAAAAAAAAAAAAAGATAAAGGGGGCCACAAAAGGCTGTGGGGGTTGCGTAGTACGCAACAAGGCGAAAGGGCATGTGGTCGTTATCGAATCGCTGATGGGATAAAAATGGACTGGATGTTTTAAGCTCCCCTCGAACCAGCCCAGAGAAGGGATGAAACCGATAACACACCGAGCAAGAGACTACGCTTCCACCGCTCCCACCGTTCCCACCGCCACCCGCCTTTGGTGATTGGGGGAAGAGGGGCGGGGCGTCTGATCGGATCCCGGACAAGCTTTACGAAGGGGAAAAAGAACAATAACCTTGGGGCAGGGGAATTGCACTTCGAACGGCTGAAGCCTCAGCACATGGGCGGAGAAACCTCTCATGTGGTCTCCCTTTCGGCCAACCAGCTCGGCCGAAGTAACCGTGCCTTGACGAAAGAAGGAAAGGGAGAAAGGAGAAAGTCACTTCTGCTAGAGTAAAAGAAGAGAAAAAGAAGGAAGGAGAGAAGAAAAAAGAAAAGGGTAAGAAACCAAAAGTGGGTAGATCAAAGCTCCACTAACCCCGAGCTTCCGACTCCGACCTCGGCTTCCGATGTCTTGTTGATTCGCAAGGACGTCGGCTTGACTGGTCAATTGCAGTCTTCGTCTGTCGGTGCTCTGTCCGTCGGGGCAATTGTGGGCGATTTGACAGCAACCCTCTTCGAGAGAAGAAACGTTCGGGAACAACTCCGCGGTTTCTCTTTTTTTCTCTTTTTCTTTCTGATTTTCACCACCATCCACGAGGATGCATGGCGTCATTCCTAGGGAACGCAGATAAAGTATGTATCGTCTCAATATTGTGGCAAGTGTGGTAGGGCTGTTGAGTCAACGTGTCGCCACCCTCTAGATGATCCATGATACCAAAAATCCTCCAGTCGCCTCTACCGATAATACACAAAACAGAGTTGAACATCATCCGTCTAATAAGTGGCATCTAAACCTGCTCATCCGGCACAAGTTTGCCTCTTCCCCACTTCTAGGATTGCCTCCCTTTTCGCATTGGTCTATAGCCTCATGTTTTTATTTTCATAACGTATTCTTGTCATTTTTAAAGGGGAAAAATATCGCATCCGCGTCTGCCCGCACTGAGCTCCGCATGCAGAATGCAAGCATCACCTGTCGGGTGTGTGGCATGATGGGATGATGGGAATGGAGTGCGCACACTTCACGACGTTGGGAAAGTTCCATTGGTTAAAGTAGGTCAAAGGAAGGGAGGCTGCTGAGGCAATCGCGCCTATGGATTGACCAGAAACAGAGGAGAAAGTCGAAAGAAAAAGGAGAAGAAAAAAGGTCCAAGGCCTATTCCACAAGCAAGCAAGCATGCGTACGCCATATTCCACCGCACCATCCATTCACGGTTCCGGTACGGTCTCTCGAGAAACCAGCAGGATTTTTTTGACTCATCATCTTCGGCCTCTTTTCAACCGCCACATAAGATGACATGTATGGATGGCGGGCTACTTTTCCAGGTTACACGTATTGCCGGCAGAGCATATCCATGGAAACGGGTGACCCAGTTGTGTGGGCTTGGGGCTACCGTCCCGTGCAGTCTCCGTCTGCTTGCGAGATCGTGGCGGACATAAGGGTAGATGAAAAGCCAATTCCACTATTACGACTATCAAAGAGCTAAATTCCTTCCCTCGGGCTCCACATCACCAGCCCAGAATGAAACACTAAAATTAAAGAGGGCCCATGTGTCTGTACCCTTCGTGGACCGCATGTACGGACGGTGGCAGCACTGGAGTCTTGTCCACTTCCCAGGCACACACACGAACCTGCCGAGAGCTATTGATCCATCCATGGATCTCTTACTTTCCCGGGCGCAAGGCACATGGTGCCCGCCTTCCCTTCGACGCTGCCCCTCCCCTGGCTATCCTGCGCCCATCAGGTGAGGGAGCTGAGAACCTCATCGCTAGAAGCAAAATAAAAGAGGAACCAATCAAGCCATGGACGGCACTTGGTACGACATATCCATGCGTTCATGCCCGCTCTGCGTAATGTATGGGAACATACTTCCCGCGTTAGACCCCCTTTTGCTCTCGTGTCCTTGCACCGCCAGAGAGCCGCCTCGCTGCTTATGCCGCGACTGCTACTGCTACCGCTTCCCGTGCTTGAACCTGTCGACGACGCTCCTCACCTCTCGCCACACTCGTTCGTCACATCGGTACTCTGGGACCAACGCTGAAAGCCCGAATCCTCCCGCACATTCAGGAACCAGTCTCCTGGGAGGGTAGGCTTAGCTCTGCCCACCCACCCCTGCTTTGCCCTTTATGCTTCTTGGCGAAGGGTGGCTTTCTTTTTCCCCTCCCTTCTCTCGATCCCCAGAATATAAAACGGGCCAGAATAGATGTTGATTGCCGTACCGGTAGCCCAATCGAGAAAAGGAACCCCTTGAGAGGGGCAGGAGGGTCTTGTATGCCGTAGCTCGGTCGCTTCAATGGCTCCCTAACCTAACGGTTGTGCTTTCTTTACCCCGGACTACTGTCACGCTGCACCCCCGGGTCCCGGATCCGCCGTCCTCGGTCGGCTTCTTTAGCTTCCAACAGCCGAGTTGGGGCGGATTCTTCCGAGGTTGCTCCTCTGCCCTCCAACAAACCACCTACCACTTGTTCCCGAAACGCCACGGGCTTAGCTCTCCCCTGTTGCCTGTGACTCCCCCTTTTTTTTTTTTCTTTTTTTTTCTTTTTCCTTTTCTCTTCTTTTTCTTCCACCCTTTGTTTTTCTTCCTTTTCTTTTTCCTTTTCTTTTCTCCTTTCCTTCTTTTGCTTCTCCATTTGATCAAGAGCCGGCGGTCGGCTAGAGGTAGCCGACTCTGATTCGAGCTTCCCCTTCCCCAGATTTTTCTCGTCCCTGACCCGCTGCATTGCATCCTTCTCCTCCTATCGGAGGGCCTGTTGGGGTGTCTAAGTGAAAGAAAAAAAAAACAGGAACAAAAAAGTGATTCATCTCGTGGACGGCGGTGTGTGTCAACGGAGTTCCCAGCTCGAACGGTAACCTCGGCCAAAGCAAAGCCTCTTGCTCAACTTCCGTTACTCTCATCCATGACAACGCGGTCATGAGGTTAGGTCAAGGTGGGGCAACCCTCCGTTTTAGCGAGCAATGAAACAAACAACCAAGGAAGCCAGAGTTGTACAAAGCTTGTACGAAGAGCCTTCCGTCGGCCCCTCGGTACTGCGGTTCTTCAGTAGTAGCTCCTATCTATCCCTACATGTAATGGCAGGATATCGATAACTCTAAAACGTTGTCCACTCTTTCCCCACCAGGACACGCGCTCAGAAAAGAAACCTTTCCTTGAATTCTCCTCGCACTCCTCGCACTCCTCACAACTCGAGGAAAACCCCCAGAGGCTACACAGCAAAGGAAGGGAATGACCTCCCCTCACTTGAACCTGACCTCTCATATACTTTGCACCGCATATTGCCCGTCCCGTGGTCATCATGTTGTGACCATTCTAGATCGTCCAACCGGTCGCCCATGGTTTTGCATGCTCCCACGGCCAAGAAAAAAATGATAAAGAAAAGCAAGAACCCCGTCTTCCGGTAATTCTAAGCGAACAGGTTGCCCTACGCCTTCTTGTCCTCAGGCTTTGCGAGTGCCGGCGTGGGAGTAGCAGCAGGGACCGCAGTACCAAGCTTCCCCGTTTCCGCCTCTAGCTTCTCCTTTCCTCCCCAGTGATGGTAGTTCAGATATCGGTAGCCTTGGGTAAATTGCGCAGTACCGTTGACAACGTGGCACGCGAATAGGAGATAGTTCTTAGGAGAGACTGCGAGGGCGTATCGAGCAAAGACGCACGAGTAGATGCAAAGAGCACCCGTCATCTGGCCCGAGATGCTATCCGTTGGAGCTTTAGGTTAGCACAGGCTCTCAAGCTGGCGAAGCAGGGGTTGATAACCCGGAGCACGCGACGCAATATTCGAGAAGCGGGGGTTGGGGAGGTCTTACAGCTCGGGACTCTTTTGTGTATCCATGACGGCCGCCAAGGGGATACCGAAGTTGGAGACGGGACCCCAAAAGTCTAAACGAAAGAAGATTGCACAGTCAGCGGTGAGCATATAAAAGTAGCCCACCTCGAGCCACCGTTGTCCCTTATCAGAAGCGATACCGCAAGCCATGGGCCGGTCCGCGAAAGCGAGGATTTCGGTTCCCGCTCCGCATCACACCGGGCCTGCCATCGCGCTCGATATCCGGCCGCTCTGGGCCACTCTGACCACTCTGGCCACGGGAGAATCGTAACTCTATCTTTCAATCTCGATAATGCAGGGTGGTGCGGGCAAGGAGCAAATTTTGGGGGGATCGAGCGACTACGTACGGGTGGAGCAGACATAGTCGAGGACTGGATTCGCCCTAATCTTGGCATTGATAGCTTTAACGAATGCGGCCATGGTTCCGGTTGTTGTTGTCGCGAGACAGAAGCCAATCGCGGAGGAACTCAATTATCGACGAGAGGTTGATGTTGGGATGAGGTTCCGGGAATGTTGAGAGCGAGGTTTATCTCCGGAATCCGGCTGTCTTCTTCCTAGACCAATTTGGCAACTTGACCCATGCACTGCTCACATAAAAAAAAGTTGGGGAAAGCAAACACGCAGCACAGACAAGGGATCCGTTCCGAGAGGTGATGGTCACGTGATCAGCCTGGCTGGACCTGCCCGGTTGAGTGGTGACGTATTATTCCGCGACCTTATTTTTGAAGCTTCGCCAGCAACCAACGTCGTTATTATAATTGTGAGTATAGGCAAGGTATGGGCAATTTCGAAAGACTATAGTATCTGTATATATGAAAGATCTTCCCATCTGCGGCCTTGATAGCTTCATCCGCCACTTTGGTGCTTCTAGAGCATCGCTGAGACCACTTGATTTTTCCCCAACTGACTGATACAATTTCTCGTCTCCTTTGCTTCTTCCATGCTGTCTTTCAGCCACATACATTCCAAAAGGCCAGAGTCAAAACACCAACCTCCGCCAACGCAGAGACGCCTTATTACCTTGTCGCTTCCTGGGGCTATCCGAAGGGAGAAAAGTAGCGTGGGTTTAAAATCACAATATTTATTTCGGTAGCCCTCCGAAAACAAAAATGGATTAGAACCGTATCCCCTGCATAGGGAAAATTACCCTATCTTAGTGGTGGGGAGTTCAGGGTAGCGTATGCGAGGCTCTGGCGTTGGGTACGGAATAGTCACAAAGAAGCCAGAATCTCGTAGCGCCTGGTAGGAGCTGCCCTCCGGCTCGTGGCGCGTCTTCCGGCCCACCGCCGCGGTGACCCCGAGACGGCCCGCTTGAAGGAATACTCGTCCTTCGCAGCATCGGCGCGGAGGTCCGTCCGTCCTTTGCGCCGTGTCAGGCTCTCCACACGAAGTGGCCGAAGGTGCTCAAGGAGAGCTCCCTTGGCCGGCGGTGACTGTGGGTGCTGAAGTGGGACGTGGGGCTGGGAGGCGGCGAGAGGCGTTTGCGGTGGCGCCTGGGCCCGCGCTTGTGACGGAGACCGTAGCACGGATTGCGGCTGCGTGGGAGGCTCTCGACGAACTGGCTTTCGGGGAATTTCATGGAACCGGACCTTGCGGACGGACACCGACGGGCTGATGGCGAGAGACTGCGGCACGGGTATAGTAGCGCCGTCCGCCGAGTCGGCGCGCTGGACGCGGATAATGGGGGTTTCGTCGAGTGGGGTTGATGGCCCTGTTCCTTCTCGGCCTTGTGCTTCATGCTCATCGTCCGAAACGCGCTCTTCTTCGCCGCTTGGCCCATGACATCGACCGGCGCAGTCTCCTTCTTCGCGCCGTCCGGGGCGGCGGCGGTAGGTCCTCTGCTCACCGAGATCTTGGGGGCGGCCTCGACAGTTTCGAAAAAGAGCTCGTCAGCATCCAAGGCGCTGCGCAATACGTGGCGCCTCTCCCAAGGCGGCATGAGCAGCCTCCGGAGAGGCGAAGGAGCTCGGGCCTTATCCAAGAGATTGAGGGCCTTGTTACGTACATGCGGCGCCGTCTCGGGCACCTTGAGGTAGGTCGTGGGCGCCGGCTGGCTGCCGGGTACGATCCAGGCGTCTCGCGGGGTCGCCCGGCCGCTTGTGCGTACGCGGCGGCAACGGGATCGTGCTGGACAACGACCTGGCGGACCATGCCGATCTCCCAGTTGGCCGGCGGATGCCACTTCCTCTTCCACTCCCTCTGGGACAGGAACGGGAACGTCTGTGCCGAGAGCCGGAGTCTCCTCCCCGAGATCCAACCGCTTTCCGCCCAGCCCTCGCGGCCGCGGAGAGGCTCAGAAACGTGCGACTCGAGCCGCGCGCGTCCCAGTCCTTGCTCGTGCTCTCCGTTGCTTCGGACTCGCTCTCCGAGTCCGTCTCGAGGCCTCGCACCGCGCAAACCGAACACACCTGACGCACGTGCTCGGTGCTAGTGCTCGTCTTACACGCGCGAAAGGCCCCAGCTACAGGGAGGCTCCAGTACTCGCAGCTAGTCTCGATAATCTTCTTGTGGTTGCAGTCGTATGTGACCGTTCGCGCGATGCACATGTTGCTGCAAATGGTTAGGAGCCTGTTCTATTTAGTAGTTTACTTGTTACCAGGCCGAGAATGAGGGAAGGGGAATGAGATGTTGCTCCTTGGCGGAGCCTTGCTTCCGGGGTGTAGCCAGCGACCTATTCGGTATCGTAAAGAAAAAGTCGACTTTTCGTTTGGCGTTCTCTTATATTCTTTCCTATTCGTTCCTCTCCCACCCTAGTCGTTTCGCAACACTATAGTAGCCCAACCTGGGCAGGAAACTATGTCGATGGTGAGCACGTATGGAGAAAGGAGGATAGAGAGGCAAGATGTCGAGGAGATAAAAGCGTATAAATACCTGCAACTATGATTGAACCTCTTGTTCCAGGCGAGGAACCCGGTTGGATCTCTCGATCGTGAAGGCGAACCCGACCTTGGCTCTTCTTTGTGCGAGCTTCAGTTTCGAGTCGCTGGCGCGGCCGGCTCGACGACGTCTTTGTTCTCCGAGGCACGTAAACTGGAACACTGAGCGGACTTGATTCTGACACCTTCGGATTGGCAACTCCCTGCGAAATGTAGAAGCAGAAAGAATAATGGCCTCTTCAACGTCCTCTAGGAAGCATTCATCGGCGTTATTTACAAATTCCAGCAGCGAAGTTTGTGCGTGGAAGCCACTTACTTACCTTGCCACCGAGTCAACGCGGCGGCGAGTTCTGGTAGTCTCGAGATCTCGGACGCTACGCTTCGAGGCCCCTCGATTCAATCGGTAGGAGAAAGAGAAGAACGGGCTCCGAGGCAGGATAAAGCCCTTGTGCTTGTTTCCCAACGCGCGGAGGCACAATTTGGGCTTCTTCATTTCTATTTAAGGAGCCTTGAGAGCCTTGAGAGGACGACTGTCAGAAATGAAACTGGCAGGGCTGTTTCGCTGTCTTGGATTGTTTGAAACCTCCGACCCATCGTCGCCTGACGACACCTCACCTCTATCGAAGATAGACTAAGACGAAAGGGAAGCTAAAGCTAGGAGAATAAAAAGAAATAGTATGCAAATGCCGCATATCCCCAGTCCGACACCCCGGAAAACGCCAGGCCAAGGAAGAAGCACGGCTAAAACACATTTGATGGCGCCCCTACATGCTGCCCGTTCTTAGCTTTTTCCTGCCCTTTTCTCTCTTCTTCTCCCTCTCTACCTTTTTATCTACCTCTCTCTATTTTCTTCGTTCCTGTTGAAAAGGAAAGAAAAAAAAACCCCTCTGAACTGACGGCTAGAGAAAAAGAACTCGTACGTGGTCGCCTTAAGCTAGATAGCGATAGGTGGGAGCCGATGCTTCCTCCACGCGCTCCAAGTAATCACGGGCGATCAGATCCTCGATGCGCCGCTTGATCATGGGAAGCTCCGGCTTGAATCGGCCAACAAGTTGGTCCAGAACTTCTGTAATGAGCTGAGTGTGCATCAGCTGCTTTCGTTGCCTAAAAAGTGGTTGAACAAGGAAATAAAAGTTAGATTTCCACTTCTGGACTACGCGGGTGTGGTGGGTGAGACAATGGGAAATCGCAACATACTTCATGATTCGGACAACGGCGGCATCGATCAAATGCGATCTAGTCTGGTCTGCCTTGGCAGTTGTTGTCTTTCTTTCCTCCTCACCCTCGACCTTGGAGACTGACGTGATGGTGGGAGCCTTGATCTTGATGGTCTTGCTCGCAAAGGTGTTGTTGAACTTGAAGCGGTCTCCGGGCTTTACCGTCTTGTTCGCAGGGTCCTTTACAAGGACTCGGCATTTTGGAACTACGCTGAGTGACGTGAGGGTCCTCGCGAGATCGGCGACTGGTATGTTGGTCTTCGCTTGTATTTCCTCGAATAAGAGCGATTCGCCATCGTCAAGGTCATTGAACAGCATCAGCACAATCATGCCGTATGTGGCTACATTGATCTCGTACCGCCTCTCACGTGCTAGGACACCGGACTTGCCCGGAATGGGAGGAAATGTGCACCGTATATCTGCGGAGCCGAGGGTGCCCACCCAGGTAAGCTTCCTACCGATACGATTCTGGAGATAATGCTGCTTGACGCTATCCTGCAGCTTCCGGATATCTTCGGGATAGGTGCATGGGACGACGTCGCCGCTCCCAATCTGGGTCGAACGTCCCATGACCTCGGAGGGCCAATTGTTGGTCGTGAGGATGCTGACAGAGATGTCAATCTTGCTTGCATCCTCTTCCATTGTGCGCATCTGGTCACGGTAATTTGCGGTGAACTCGGCCGAAGTATCCAAGTCTCGAAGCATGCCCTCAAACTTGAAGGCAAACTGGTTACCAAACTCTTGCTTCATTCGCAAGATGAGCTGCTTTTCGACCTCATGACTTTCTGACTTGGAGTGCAGGAGGCGGCGAGCTAGATGCCTCTGGTAGTAGCGTTCAAACATGTCCATGTCTAGGAGATAGCGGATGAGGGCAATGGCCTTTTCGAGGATAGTGTCGACTTCAGCCTCCGTCTTGTCACGGATGCCCCTGCGTAAGCTGTCGTCAACGAAGAGTGAGACGTATTCGGAGGAACGATCAAATGAATTGATAAAAGAAGAAAAACTCTTGGTGATGGCGGTCTGTATAGAGAGGTCCCCTTGGAAACATTCGGACCATATCTTGTCGAACTTATCCTTGAGACTCAACACATCGTCGACCCACTTGATGGCCGCGGCCGTTTGCTGAGCCGAGGCCGTCAGCTGCGCTGGCTTGGAGCGACTGGCGCCGCCAGCTTCGTCGCCCTTGTCGTCCTCTCCCTGAGCGGGAGCGGCAGGGGCAGAAAAGTCGGTCGCCTGCAGGACGCGTTGGATCTCTCGTCCGAGCTCGACAATGTGGCTCTGCAGCACTCGAACGACCTTTTCCTTGTTCGTGTCCTCGGGGCCGGCGAGGGTGTACAAGATAGAGAGCTCCTCCATTTTGTCGTTATTGACGAGCCACCGGAGGCCTGTGTCAAGAGCGAGGAACTCTTCGAGGTGCTTGCTAACCAGTTCGTCGACGACGAGCTGGACTAGCTTGTCGTGGGATTCGGAGTGGATGGCGGTACGGCAACGCTGACTCTCCTCCTGCAACCTGGCGGGCGTGTGGTGGACCCAGGCGGTGAAATCCCCTGGGATAGAAGGCGTTGCGCTTCACTTGCGTAAAATTCTCTTGTTGAGCGCAGAAGCTCCGGCTCGAAACGGGTAAGATACAACCTCTCGTGCCTCAGCTCCTGGTCCGTCTCATACAGACCGTCCAAGATCGCGATGCAATTCCTAATCAGGACACGATCGATAATATCGCCCGTGCGCTCCATCTCGATCTGGTCGATAAGTACCGAGACCAACAGATCCATTATGCTCATACCGTTAACTTCGGTCTTCAAAATACCGTCGCGGTACATGCCAATCGTGGTTGTGAATACAGGTGGGTAGTTTGCGACCTCGGAGCAACTCTTGTCCATGTACATTAATATATCCGCAACCATGTTCATCGAGGTTTCGTGATCGATCCACGTGTCTCTTAGCAGTTTTAGGAACGCCTGGCCTAGTTGGCGGCGCTCGTTGACTGAGGTTGTGGTATCGGCGAGGGTGGTGACAAGATCGGGGGTGATGAAGTCGAGCATCTTCTTTGCAACATTGTTGCCGAGCCATTCCCCTCAAACTCCTTGACCCGGCTGTATAGCTCCGGGCCCTTCTTCATAATGACAATCTTGTACCCAACGCGGTAGAGTTGTTCGTACTGCCAATTCGAGGCATTCTTCTGGTGGATGTCGGTCATGGCATCTCTGAGTGTCGTCCAGCTTGTTTCAAAGTAATCCTTGCCTCCTTCTTGGCCCGTCGTTGGAGTCTGCGCGTCACCTGGTTAGTGCAGGTCTATTCCCGCTCAGCTTTTGTACGGTGGGGAAGAGAAAAGGGATGGAGGGATGGAGGGAAGGGTGACATGGGTGACAAGTCCTGGGAGATTTCGTACTCTAGTGATGCGTCGAGGGGGTCTGATCCTCCCCTCGCGCCTCCCCGAGCAGGTATCATGATGTGCGGCCGCCAGACTCTTGATCGAGGAGGTATGGGTAAGGGCAACACCGCAGCAGGTGGTGCGGGGAGACGGCGCGCAGAGAAACCCGAGAAACAGGAGTCGTGATGATTATATGAGGAGAGCTCGAGGTCGTCGGCGAAGGGAAGGAGAGTGTCGAGGATTACCGCGTGCAAGGGACTAGCAAATCTTCCTCGGCAGCTTTAAAACATCTAAAGAGAAAGGAAAGTCAGCACCATATATTTCTGGTTAGATCCCAGGACTTGCGGTAGGTTTAAAGCGACACACGACAGACCAGTGCTCTGAGTAGGTTGACGACGAGCAGTACATGTAAACACACCTTGAACTTGGGCAAAAGCGAGATTCCGGGGGTATGGCAGGGCGCAGATCGCGTGTTAGAGCGAGGGTGGGGTGGGGGTGGGGGTATAACGTCGAAAGAAGCTTGAAAATAAGGAACCGAGAGATTAAAGGAAGCTTTTCGAGGGGAAAATCAACATTGCCACCGAGTCCTGGGTAGGTAAATCAAACTAGAATAAGATGGTGGGGTAAATGTGAAATCCAAGTGGGAATATTCGCGAGGAGAGGCCTGTGATATATGCTCCCTTCTGCAGCTCAATGCGCAGTGCAGACAATGGGACTTGGGGAGGAGGGGTTTATCGATAAGACAAGGCTTCCTTCCTTGTGAAGCGCCTCTTTGTCTTTTGTCTTTTTTCTTTTTCTTTTTCTTTTTCTTTTTCGTTTGGCAGGTTCGCACCAATGCGATGGGACTTGGCCGTCGCGGTTCGTTGATTACATCAGCAGGCACAAGGAAATTATCGTCGAGGCCAAAGTAAATGCATCTCCCTCGTGCTTTTTCAGCAGCCAAGAAGGAAAAAGGAAAAGCTAAAAAGCGAACGGCCCATAAGCCTTTTGGCCCTCACCTCATTTTTTGAGATCCCTGCTTCTGCGACATCGTCTCGTGTAGCTTCTCGTCACACTATCTTGCGTCCCATCGCCTTGATATCATATCGCGCGGCGCCATCCGCATCACCCATCATGGCCTCGCGCCTCTCTCCAATCTTGCGCCGAATGCGCCCCGGCGCGATCGCTCCCATCCCCCAAGCCCGCCTCTGCAACACTGCCCTCTACGGACCGAGCAATCGCCCCTTTACCATCCGTTACGCGCATTCCATCCCGCGGCCCCCACCGTCGCCGGCCAAACCTAACGACGCCGCCGAAGCTTCTTCGGCCGACTCCTCCATCGCACAGCCCTCGAAAGCCGGCCCAGGGTCCTATCCGGTGCCCAAGCCCATCCCCAACTATTACCAGCTGCACATTACTTGCGTACCCTGCGGGACACCTTCCGCCCACAACATCTCCAAACAAGGCTACCATCACGGCTCCGTTTTCGTCTCGTGTCCCCAATGCCGCAACCGCCATGTGATTAGCGATCACCTCAACATCTTTGGTGACCGGAAAGTCACTGTGGAGGATCTCGTCCGTGAAAAAGGGGGCATTGTCCGGAAGGGCACCCTCGGGGCGGACGGCGACATCGAGTTTTGGCCAGAGGAGGATGCTGCGTCTGAAACCGACAGTAAAAGCTCCTGAAAGAGTTGAAATGGGGGAGAGAGGGAATAAGATGGTGATCGGCGTTTACTGACGTGCTTTGATTCAATGATCATGATACTAAAAGTTTTTCACTTATTGTTGTTTGTTTCCCAGCGCATTTCCCCCTTTCACTTTTCTTTTTCTTTTCCTTTTTTAGAATAGAGGGAGTTGGGTAGGGGCCAAACACCACTCAACACATTTGTACATCACCTGTATATCATCCACATTATAGAGATAGCCTAAGAAGCGATAGAGATAATGAAAAGGGCTCGGAGTAAAGGAGGGCTGGAAGAGAGACCTGTAAGAGAGCTTTGTTCTGGCTCATATTTGAGGCTAAGTCGAGGTCGCTAATTTACAAAGGGTTCAATGTTGTATATAATAATATAATATGAGAAAGGGTTTCTACTAACCATGCTGAGGGAGAGATAAAATATCCAAGTTAACCATGTAACATAGTGCTTCTCTATATTTTCAAGTGAAATATGGTATAATCTATCGTGGGTTACACCTAGAGGCTAACAAATGACCATGACAAGGAAAGCAGAACAACAATGGTTCCCTCCCTGCAAAATAAAAGGCTGATATGGATGCGATGTGACACACAAGAGATGGGTAAAAGATAAAAAAATTCAACAAAAGAAAACCAAAAAGGCTAAAAACCGCGCAGCAGGATATGGCACCCGCGAGGTAGGCGTCAGTCGTAGACTACCAGCCCTTGAACGCCTGTCTCTGGGACTTGTGCTCCCGGCCCCTAACCTTTCTCCGCTCCTTCTTCTTCTCAAACTTCTTGCGCTTCTCGCGCCCGAACCTCTCCGGATACGCCACCGCTCCGATCTTGCGCTTCGCCGATCGCTGCTCTCGCTTCTTTCGCACTCCTTCTCGAATCTCCAAGAGATACCTGCTGTATTCGGCCGTGCCTAGCTTCTTTTGGAGCGAATCCATGAGGATCTGCGCGCGCACCTTTAAGCCTTCGTACTTGGTCTTGAACTGCTCGTCAGTGGATGACGGCGTCGGGATGAACTTGTCCGTCAAGTGGTGGAGTGGCACGAGAATGGTCTTGATGGAGCCTCGGACCCGGTCCACGCCGAGGCGGCGACATAGCGTCTCCATCACTTCCATAGCCGTGACTTTGCCGTTCACTCCCTCAGACTTGGCCGCGCCTTGCTTCCTCAGAATGTACGAGAGCTTCCAGAAGAGGAAGTGCAGGTCTTTCCTGCGTCTGGTAGAAGTTTTGCCGTCCTCTCCCTCATCCTCGCCTTCGGGTTCTGCTGAGGGGTCATCGTCATCATCGTTGTCGCCGTCCTCTTCTCCCCCTTGTTCTCCTTCATCCCCATCTTCTTCATTTTCGTCGTCGGAGCCCGAGGCCGCTGGATCCTCCACGTTTTGCGGTAGGCGGGGTCCGAGGAAGATGAGAATCTGTCCTGCTTCGGTGGCAAGCTCTTCTGGGATGATGGGCGTGCTTAGGATTCTAATGGCCAATCCGGCAATGTCTTCGATATCCGAACTCTGAAGCTCTGCGCCATGCTCGCCAACAAGAATCGTGCCACTCTCAGTCTCTCGACTACCAGCTGCGAAATGGAGGAGATAAGTCGCCATCAGCCGGACAGAGTTAAGCCTGACCGAATTGTTGCGATGGACCATGCACTGCCGGATAAGCCGCCAGAGTCCGTGGCAATCGGGATGGAAGAGCGTGCTCGGAAACTTGTTCGTGACGATGCGAAGGGCATCAATTGTCGTGTTGGTAGTTTCACCATCGGTGTCCTTGTTCGCGTTTTCGGTGCTGAGAAGGCCCTCGATGCGATCAAGAAGCAACCGTAGGTCTTTTTCGTTCTTAGTGGCTCGCTCGCTCGCATCAAAGTAAAAACCAAAAGTCTGGAGGGCAAGCATAGACACCGCCAGATTATCTTCGTTTGCAAGCCACGAACGCAAAAGCGTGAGGAACTTTTGCGTCTGCTCTTTATCGGCCTTCTTGAAGATTTGCTTGATCAATTCTCCGCCGGCTTGCCGGCATTTTTCGCTGTCATCGTTGGCCACAACAAAGACGAGGGGTAGGAAGCAGGTGGAGACAATCTCTTGAACAAAATCGTCGGCGGATTTGAGAAGGAGGAGGTGAATAACTTCCATCACGGAGAGACGTCCTCCCTCCCGATCGTACTTGAGATTGGCAATGATAAAGTTGACTTGCTTCGCCCACCGGGCCTTCTTTTGAGGATAATCACGAAGGAACTGGAAAAAGGCACCTCTGGCGAGGTCTCTCGTTTCCTTGTCGTCGTTGGTAATCATGATAGTGCCAACGTAGTCGAGGATATCATAGACAGAGGCCGTCTCAATCTTCCGGTCTAGGACACACCGAAGGAAGCTGAAAGTGACGGACCGGTATTGGGGATCTGTCAGGTCGTCCTTGAGCTTCTGCACCAACATATCCACGGCCGCATCCTTCACAACCACGTCCTTTCTCTCTCGGAGAACAATGGAAATAAGCTTTAGGGCTGCTTGGGAGAGTTCCGAGGTGGTCGAGGAAGACGTCCCAATGGCCTTTGTGGCCTCCTTTACCGCGACCTTGTATAGGCCGCTCGTATCGGAATTCACAAAGGGAACCTTGACGATGACGTTGAGCAGTTTGAAAGTCGAAGTCTTCACCTCCGCCTCGCCGTCCATGACAGCGTCGCCCAAAATCGGGATGAATCCCGTGATGTTGGCCGCGTTGCGGAGACTGTCGTGCTTTTTCCATACCGCACGGAGAATGTCAAAGGCAAAGCGCACAAGTTTATACGTGTGCTTGTTCGTAATGGAGCGCTCGCCGCTCTTCTTCGCTTGCTTCTGAATGAGGTACCTCTTTACCCTCGGGTCCATCTTGGGGGTCTGGACGGCCTTTTCCGCCTTGTACACCTCCTGGACCACCTCGTAGCAGAATACCAAGGTATCTCGGCTTTCTGCGGCTGGGTTATGGAGGAGACCACTTGTGATTCTTGACAGAAGCGAGTCAATCTTGCGCACGATGCGCAGATCAACCTTTTGAAGCAGGAGGGCTTGGATGGGCCGTATCAGATCAACGAGATGGGCCACGGAGGCGGTTTTCGCAATGAGCTCCATGGAATCCTGACTCTTACTGCCCTTGATTTCCTTCATCTGGGTTGTGTATTCCTCGGCATCCTTTTCCTGGCCAGTGACGCCAAAGACATCATCCATGATCACGTTAACAATCGGCACCAAGCAGTAGTCGAGGCTCCCTGACCGATTTCGGGAACGATCGCTAAAAGGATAGAGTGCATCGTATAGGAGAGAACATGGAGCTGGTAACCTCTCCTCAGAGCACCTCGGAGTTCTTTGAGGACAAAGCCAAAGTACTGCGGCCCAAGAATGAGCGAAATCTTGACGAGCGTATCTCTTGCCATGTCTCGCGAGTCATCCGCTTTACTTCGCAAGATGTGGCTGATGTCGGTGAGAACCGCTGCCAATCTCAAGTCCATCTCCTCAGGGGGAGGATCTTGAGAAGCTTGACAATGATAACGCCCACAGGCACACGGAAACTGACCTCGGACTCATCCTTTTCGTGTAGGTGCTTCAGGAGGGGCGGTAGATAGTTTTGGATAATGTCGTACGTGAGCTTTTCACTTCCGGGAATCGTCTGGCCTAGCCGCTTAGTAGTCTTGGCGGAGTCCTCTTGAGGCGCATCCAAGTCCATCGAATCAACAGCCGCAGGCTCACCGACCTCCAACAACGGATCGACAAAGCGACCAAGGAGACGGATTAGAGCCTTTTGGTGTTCGGGCTTCGACGAGATATAGCTTAGATAACGCTGCAAGATGGAACGGTAATGTTTCCAGTCCAGTGATGCAGCCAGGTTACCGATGACAGTGGTGGCTTGCGCGCCGAGTCCGTGGTCATCAGCACGCTCCTCTCGACCAAAGATGAAATGTTCTAGAACGGGAATGAAGAAGTGCGCTATGTTCTGGCTACCCATCTCCTTCTTGGCATTGGCCAGTTGCAGCATATTGAGCGCTTCGAGCTGTCTCGAAGTGGCAGGGCTCAGAATATTAAAGAAGAACTGAGGCTCTGAGCTCTCTTCGTCCGTCTCGTCCAATAACGCGCTCAGGTCGGACACGGCGGGCCATTGCGCCATTCGAGAGATCAATCGGCCCATTACGCGGAGATATTCGCGCCGCACAGTATCGGAGGTCTCACGCGCACCACTGTACATGGCCGGTAGAAGCACGTCCTTTAACTGTTGTTCGAAAGCCGCTCGCATCTTCTCATCCGTGCACGAAGCAGCGTCATTGATGTACTGCCGAATTGCGTCGGCCGAGTTAGACGAGAGGATGTTGAACTCCTCGTCCACTTGGATGTAGAATAGGAGGTTGTGAAGTAGCGCTAGCCACTGATGTGCGGTAAAGGGCACCTCGCGCGGCGCCGAGAGAGCGTTGAGCGTCTTTAGGCGTCTGTCGTAATCTGGTTGGCCTATGCGCCCTTCTGCAAAAGAGTTGAGCTCCGTGCACAGCTCGGCAGACTCCTGGAGGGAGGGATCCTTTTGTGCGAGCACTAGGAAGACACGGCATAACGAGTCTCGATTCTCCTGGTCCTTGAAGTAGCTAAAGAGAGACGCGACCGAGACATGAATCTTGCCAATGAGCTCCGGAGACGAAGACGAGCTCGACAGCGGCTCTTGGAACTGGACAAAGCGTTCGAGAACAAGAATGATGCGCCCCTTGGTTTTAGGGCTGACCCGACGAGCTGGCTGGGCGAGGAACTTTGTGGCGAGCTCAAGGACGCCTTGGACATTCTGCGTGTTATCAACGATGGGAGAGATCTCGATGATAGTTTCGACGCAATTCTCTAGGAGCTCATTGCCGAGATTTGGCGTCTCTAGAAGGCCAGTGATGTTCGTAAGCAGCCTCTCAAGGGCAGGCTTCAGAAGTTCTTCTTGGATAAGGTCGTTATTCGCAGATTCGGAGGCTGGCGCTACGGCAAGGCCAATGAGGTTTCTGAGAATGCTCAAGACGAAGACCTTGACCTCGGGCTTGCCCTTTTCTACCGCCAACGATTCTACAAGTTGTGGGACAATCCTCCCATCTAGAGAGAGGAAAATGGACTCTCTAGGAAGAGCCGAGAGCGTGAAAACAAGTTGCAGCAATCCGGATACACCTTGGGCAGTTTCAACTGGGAGCTTTTCGATGCGAGGGCTGATGAGTTCTTTGACGATCAGATCACCATACGGTGTCCAATCGTACCCAGTAGCATTGCGCAAGAGAGCCACGAGACACTTCAGACCCGTCGTTCTAGCTACTCGTAGAAGAGACGTGTTGCTGATCTGTTCCTCACCATCGTCCGAGCTTGAATCCTGGTCATCTTGACCCGCTTGCTGTAGTTGGCGCGCGGCGTAAACCAAGCAGTATAATATGGACTTGAGCAGGGTCTCCATGTGGGGAGAACGCCGGCGCCCAACTCAGAGACGAAGGATGCCATCATATTCAAGAAACCCACTTGGCGTCGAATAGGCACCACTTCTAGATCCACATCAGGCGCCGTATTGCCGGAGCCGTCGATTACGCTGACATTGCGAAGACCACCGACGGCAATGTCGAGGAACTGCCCAAGACTCTGCGTATCCAAACTCCTCAAAACGGCAAGTCGGATAGCGTGGAGGCCATGACGACCGCTCGCGCCCTTCTTTCTAATGGTCCGACCATAGAGTAGGCGCAGGAGGATTGGCATCACCTCTGAACGGTGTTCGGGCCGGATACGGGGCTCCTCTCCTTGGAAAAGCAACGTGAGCTCGTCCTTGAAGCGTGGTTCTTCCAAAAGGTATTCGAGGTTTTCATGATAAGGCTTGACACCTTCCTGCTTCCAAGTGAAGAGTGCTTTCAAAGCGAGCTTCTGCACATCAGCATCGCCATTTTCCATCTGGCGCAGGAGGGCTTCGTAAACCGGTTCGTGATTGTAAAGGACCCTGGGGTTCACAAATTGGCCAAATACACCAAGGATCGCTTTCCGATCAGCAAGAGACCACCCTTTGGCAGCCTGAGGCTCTTCTTCAGAGTCTGAAGTGTCGGGTGCGTCATCGCTAGCGGCGGCCCAGGAGAGGAAGAAGGGGACAAAGAGACGCGATCTTTTCTCGGCTAGCCTTGGGATAGCGGATAAAGCCTTCAGTGCTTGCGCCCGAGCGTTTGGTGAGTGAGGCTCGACAGTATATTGCTGCTCATCGAAAGATTTGAGGGTGGTGTCGAAGGGGTTCTGAATGATGCCATAGAATTGGTCCGAAAGCGCCTCAAGGTGCTGGATATTTTTACACTCGAAATCAGAGACGAATTTTCCGGCACCATTTCCACCTAGCTGCTGAGGGCCAGCCCACCTTGGCGAGGGGACATTGAGCCACTCGAATGCAAGCTTAGCCACCGTGTCTTCACCTGTCTTGGTTTGAGTGACTTGCTGTAGCGCCTCCAGGGCGCCATCCCAGACAGGTGCCATCTTGACGTTTAACATGCCAAACAAGAAGGATGGCACAGCAAGCGACATCCACGGATCTTCGATAAATGAGGAATAAGAAGCGCCAAGCTTTCTCAAATGCATGGCAATCTTGCGACTGTTAGAAAGCTCGACCGAGGTCTCTTCGATCTCAAGCATAGTCTCGGTGGGGTAATTTGACCGAGAGCTGGTTCCTTCGAGCTCGGATAGGACTTTGAGGGAGACAAGGCGGAGTTCATGAGACGGGCTCGCCAGGTTCCCGATCAAGGACATGATTGTGGTGTCGTCATCAGAAGACTGAGAATCGTCGCTGCTAGAATCCTGCACGAGCTGAGCTGGCGTTTTAGACTGACGGATAAATGTTAGGTAGGATTCTAAAAACCCTACGGAACGGTGGAACCTAGGGACGGCAGCTCGCAAAGAGGGCCTAGGCCTCCATCCACACTGCCGGCAGCCGCGCTCATGCGAAGATATGCATGGAGGCCCTGGCTGACAATAAAGTGGACCTCGTCGGATGCCAAAGTGCACGACGGCCGTAACGCGAGCTTGAGTTTTCGAAGCAGAAGCTCCGCAATGCGGGCATCCGTGGAAGGGTGTACTCCAGCGGACTCCAGAACTCTAAGGAGGGCGGCATATTTCGGTAGGCATCGGTCTCGCCAAGTCTGAGGATCCTTGTCATAGACACCTCGTTCGGGGAAAGGGGACACTTCAAGTTTCTCAAACTTGGAAACGATATGGTCTTGCCATTGCCGAGGCAGATTGAACACCTCCTTGTCACCAGCAGTGGGGATGGAGCGGGACTGGGCCATGCGGCTGATGTAGATGCATAGCAAATCTTCGTTCTCATGGTCCGACCAGTTGCTCACGATGAACCTGGAGGGCGAGGGGGTGTTTAATTAGCAAAGAACAACAGGTAGATAGGATGTTGCAATAACGAACCCTTGGAAGCTGCCCAAAAGAGGCTTTTAAATCTGACGGGATCCAGATCCGAGAAGTAGGCACAGAAGGGAATGTACCAACTCCTAAACGGATCCCTAGAAAGTGTAGTGGTGAGGGAGATAATGGAGGGTGTGAGGGCGTGAACCGGCGCATATAGCCAAACGATGGCGATGTTGATCATGACATATTTCCAGAACTGTTGCCTGGTATCGTCTTGCCCAGCATCCTCCCATCGTGCGGGTGTGGTCAAGAGACCCATCAGGGACTGCACTAGGGTTTCCCAGTCATCGACCCGGGAGCCTTTGCGCACCCCGGAAAGTGTACCGATCATCCTCACAAGATGTACGTTGGGGTACTTGCTGCCTTCCGGGCTGTTGCTCTCTGTTGCAGTTGACTTTGAGAATTCGCATATGACTTCTGAGATTGGTTTCATGTTTGCGGCATCCGAGTGGTGTATGATGCTAGTCAGGACCCCGCAAGTCACATTTGTCCATATCGGGACATCTACTAAGTTGAAGTCTTGAGGCGGAATAGACCTCAAGAGTGCCGTAAAAATGGCCGGCCCGGTGGAGTGAATAGTGTGGCCCGTTCCCTTGATTGCCTCGGCGTACATGGTCATCAACCCGTCCTGGAAAAGCTCAAGCTGGCGGGAACCACTTGCTTCGTAGAGATCCTTCCGTGTATGTTCCACTATAAGAGGAAGAGCAGTTGCTCGGTGATTCGGCGCGGCAGCCTTCTTGATAAGAAAACTCATGGCTTCAGCCGCAAACCTAGCGATATGCGGCGGCCGCTTCGCCTTGCCCAAAAGGGGAGACACGACATCGTAGGTTGGTCTAAGATCGGGCGTCAACAGCTTGTAAAGCCGCTTGAATAGAAAGGCGAGAGCAGTAAAAGTCCACTCAATCACCTCGACGGGTTGAGGTTTGCTCGCGATGTCAACGATCAGCTGGAGGGCGGTGGGGTAGTATTTTTCGAAACGCGGACCAAGGTCCCTAGCGAATGCCGTGAGAAGATCGAGGAGGGGTTCTAGGCTCTCCTTGTCCTGTTCGGAGATATGTTGGACGAAAAGCTGCATAATACGCTCTTCGAAATGGAGGATCTGGGGAAGACTCTCTGAGATGGGGATAGCTCCTCTCTTGAAGGAGACAAAGGTCTTGGATATGTTGAGCTCGTTCCATCTTTGAAGCCCATTGTTAAGATACGAGGTAGTGGTTGAGACATCTTCGGTTTCGAGATCGTGCCGGCGCACTTTCTTGAGGGGATCGAGGGTATGGAGTTTCGAGATCTTGGTCGTAAACGACTCCCACCGGTGGTTCTTGTGAGGAGCGGCATTCTTGACGCCTCGCCTCGCCTTTTGAATGCGGCCTGAGGAATTGGCAGGCATTTTGGTCGAGGGTCCTGTCCTAATCGTTTTGGAATCACAGGTGAGCCCTCGAAGCGGAAGGTTTCCAGCGAAATCACTTTTCGCTCGTGGATTTTTTCTCCAAAACTTTTTCCAACGCCGTCTCGGTTTGGCTCGCGGTAGCCGCACTCAAGGTAGTGCCTGCCCCTCCAAAAATTTCCAAAAAAATTCTGCGGCAGAACATCGGCGGTGCAACCGATAAGAGAGTCACCGCCTTCCTTATCAGGCCAATCATACAAGTTGGAATCATTTCCATGCCGAATCAATTGAGCAAGCTTCCCATTTCATCACAAGTTGCGCGCGCACGAGCTGTTGCGGAAGCCGACTCCCGAAAACCTAGACTGTCGCTTCATCCATCATAACACAGCCAAATCAGTAACCCTCCAGCCAGCTCTACTTAAGGTCGATCGCTCTTCTTCCCCAGTAGCGCCCATTGCCTTGTCCGCTTCCCTCATCGATCCCTATAGACGCTTCGAGAGGGAAAATGGCCGCGCCAAAGGTGTAAGTGTCCCAGGCGCATCGACCGGATCGCATTCAGAATTGCAGACAACTAACTTTCAATCTCAAGGCTCATTCTCGGCGGCGTCAATGGGCAGCTCAAGGCCGCCTTTGGAAAAATAGCAGCTCTCCAAACCAAGAACAACTTTTCCCTTTTGCTCATTACGGGCAATTTGTTCGGCGAAGACGACGACGACGATGTGACGGCTCTTCTCAACGGCGAGATCAGTGTCGCCCTGCCGACCTATTTTACAGTGGGCACGACCGCGCTACCGCCGCGAATATGTCAAAAGGTCGAAGCGGACGAAGAAATATGCGAGAATCTTCATTTCCTGGGGAAACGGAGCGTGACGAAAACCTCGGAAGGCGTTCGCATCGTTGCCCTGGGCGGGGTACTCGACGAAACGATTGTTGCCGGGCTCTCCACCGAACAACACCTTCCCCTTCACACAGCGCAAGATGCCACGAGCTTGAAGGGAGCTCAGTCCGCAGATATCCTCCTGACCACGATGTGGCCCCAGGGAATCATGAAGGGAACCAAGGTACCGCTAGGGACAGGCCACGCCCCGGACGAGGATCCAGGGAGATTGCTGCGCTTTGCACAGCACTGAAGCCTAGGTACCACTTTACGGCTTCTCCGGGCGCCTTCTTCTGGGAGAGGGCCATTTATGCACGAAGCCAAAGACACGTCAGACAAGCCCAAGTTTACCCGTTTCATAAGTATGGCGGCATTTGGCAACGAGGAGAAGGCCAAAGCTCTCTACGCCTTTTCGCTACCAAGCATCGACACAGCGGTCGAGATACCGCCCGGGACAACACCGTCGCCGTTTGCGTCCCACGACCGATCCTCGAAGAAGCGCGCCCACGATGGGTCCTATAGCCGGTTCCAGCAGGATGAGCGAGACCATCGTCCCAGGAAACATGGACGGCACCGATCGCCGCCTCCGGGGCCGGATAAGTGCTTCTTTTGCCTGTCGAACCCCAACCTCTCGGCGCACATGTGCTGTTCAATCGGCGACGAGAGCTACCTAGCTACAGCCAAAGGACCCTTGCCTGCCTCGGATACGTTTGCCAAAGAGGGCCTCAACTTCCCGGGTCACTTTATCATCATCCCTCTTTCTCACGCACCCACCGTCATCTCTATGGGAGATCCAACCGATGCGGAGAGCACGGCAGTAAGGACGTACAAGGAAATGACGCGATTCAGGGAGTCGCTCCAGGCCATGTTGGCAAAACGCTCAGAGTACAAATTGGGTGCCGTGACATGGGAGATATCACGAGGCCGGGGAATACACGCGCACTGGCAGCTTCTGGCGGCACCGGCCGACATTATACGCAAGGGGTTGGTAGAAGCGGCCTTCAAGGTGGAAGCTGAGAATTTATCGTACCCCGAGTTCCAGACCACGGACCTGACGCTCGAAAAACAGGTGGAGTTTGGGGACTATTTCCGCGTCTGGGTCTGGGCGGATGACGGTGACAGCAAAATTAAGGGCACTAGTCTCGTCATGCCCCTGGATCCCGACTCGCGGTTCGATCTCCAGCTGGGCCGCCGGGTGATGGGCAAGCTACTTGGATTGGAAAGCCGATTGGTCTGGCAGAACTGTGTGCAGGAGGAGGAGGAGGAAAAGGAGGACGTAGAAGCGTTCAGGCTCGCCTTCAAGGAGTGGGATTTTACTCTGACGTAGTACGCCTAGAGAAGAGCCCAACCCAGAGAGCCCAGAGAGCCCAGGCAGGATGCTCCCCATGAAAAACAAGAATAATAAAATAAACAAGAGATACCCTTGCATATGGCTCATGGAACTTTGTGCGAACCGCGTTCTGTACCTGCATGTGAGGCTCCCCAAAATCGTGAATGCTCGCTAGCGTCGATGCCCACTCCCACTTCACGACAACGGCGGTGCGATACCAAGAATTTGGGCCATCGGCGCCGGGAGATAATCAAGAACATGTGAGGTCACAAGCAAAGCACGAGGAAGTTGCACGACTGAGTGTGTGTAGTACAGCACAAAGGGGAAGTTGGGTGGCAAATGGAAAAGCGTCAGCTCGATGAACTGTGTCTGATCAATTGCTTGTTTGATTGAATTGACCTGATCTGGAGTAATTGCTTTGACGCGCGTTAATAGCCCCAAAAGCTTAATTTCGCTGTGCAACAAGACAGCTGGCCTCACAGCGCGGCGCTCCAATAGATACCGTAGAAAAATTATTTTCCAACGAGCACCACAACCCAATCCGAGAGCCGACCCTTGTCTCTTATTTTCCCCGTGGTTTATTTCACCTTTCCCTCTTTTCCCCCTTATTATTCCCTTCCCCATCTGACCTCCGTGCCAGATTCCCAGCAAACCCCGTTTTCGGGCATTGAATACATTTTCAATTACCCAGTGTAGTACGGCGATCCGCCCTACTTGCTGGTCTTCTATTTACTCTTCTTTTCCCCCGGGGCAACGGAGGAAGCTAGGACGGGTCCGGCCCTCCTTCTGCCACCATGAGGTTCTCCTTTGTTTCCGTTGGCCTTTTGGCCTTGCTCACCCCCTTGACGGCGGCCTGGAGCAAGGAGGGTGCGTTTTCAACCCTTGGTGTCGTAGCGTCGTAGGCAGAAGGCCGACGTTGATGGTCCTCTTGTGTCGGCCGAGAATTGGGAGGTCAAGCTAACCGTTAGCTTGTTATTAGATCGCGAAATCTTCCGCGTTCGTGATGAGATCCGGGGACAGGAAGGCACTGAAAAGACCTTTTACGACATCCTCGAGATCCAGCCCAACGCCAACCAGGACGAGATCACCAAGGCGTACCGCAAGAAGACCCGCTCTCTCCATCCCGACAAGGTCCGCCAGAACTTGATCGCGGAGCGCAAGGCAGCGCAAAAGCAAGCCGGCAAGGCTGCAACCAAGGTCAAGGCTCCCAGCGAGTCCGAGATCCGCACCGCCCAGCGACATGCCTCGGAACGGCAGACCCGCCTGAGCTTGATCGCCAACATCCTGCGCGGCTCCGAGCGCGCCCGCTACGACCATTTCCTCACCAACGGTTTCCCGCCTGGAAGGGCACCAACTACTACTACAGCCGATACAGGCCCGGGCTCGGTACCGTGCTCTTGGGCCTATTCCTCGTGGGCGGAGGCGGTTTCCACTACCTCGCCCTCTACATGAGCTGGAAGCGACGCCGCGAGTTCCTCGAGAGGTACATCAAGTTTGCGCGACAGACTGCCTGGGGTGAGAACCTCGGCATCAGCACTGCTGGCGCTTCCGTAGCCGCCCGACCCGCTCCCGCGCCCGCCGCCGATTCCGATGCCGATGCCGATGAAGAGTCGTATCAGCCGAGGAACCGCCGGGAGAGACGTCTCCAAGAGCGCGAAAGCCGACGCGACCAGGGCAAGAAGGCACCCAAGAAGAAGACACCCGCCACCGCCTCGTCCCAAGCAGCGCAGTCCCAGGACGGCCCTACTGGCGCCAGGAAGCGGGTCGTTGCGGAGAATGGCAAGGTTCTTGTTGTTGATTCTCTTGGTGACGTCTATCTTGAGGAAGAGGATGAGGAGGGCAACGTTGAACTCTTCCTTCTTGATGTAAGAATTTCACCCAACTTTGGCACTTTCCACCTTTCTCCTTGTCCCCCCTTGTTCTTTTTACTCCCTCTCCAACTTCTTCGCAAGCTGTACTTCGTTGCACAACACCCAAGCTAACTCGTCGTGCTCGCCCTCGCTCTAGCCCAACGAACTCCGCAAGCCCCGGATCACCGACACCGCCGTCATCCAAATTCCCCTCTTTGCCATCAAGATGGCCACCCTGCGTGCTACCGCCGGGCGTCCCCAGCCGATCGCTGTAGAGGATGACGAGGAGGAGATCGAGGACGACGACTCGGAGCCGGCGCAGCCCACCCCCAGCTCAGGCTCTGATGTCGGTGACTTTGAGATGCTTGAGAAGTCGACCGACTCGTTGGGCAAGGCCAAGGCGACTGGAGCGCAGGCACAGTCGGACGCTAGTGGCAAGAAGAGGCGCAACAAGAAGAGGTGACGCAACGCTCAAGACGTGAGCTGAGACGTAGGGCGTGCGTGCAAGTTCTTGAGGAGGGGGAGGGGCGCGGGTTGACCACGGCTGCGGATACGTGAACATGGAAACGTAGAAGAAAGCACATGCGCCACGGTCTCCCTGTCCCCGCCAACATTGTACCCAGTTCAATGTTGCTGTATATCCTAGTCTTCATCATTTACGTATAGACAAAAGGTTCTTATCTCTTGCGTCCGCGCCGGCCTCCCCTACGAGATGTGCATATGCGTATGTGTCTATGTGTGTGGGTTTTTTTCTCTGGGCCCGCCGCGAGGTAACCTGCATGATGGTGCGCTTCAAGGACTTATTCCATCCATAACGGCGCGGCGAAGGGTGAGAAGGGTGGTGGGGTAGTTGCAAGATGCGGTCCCGTCTGCCCAAGTCCTCAATGTTGACATCTGTGTGGTGAGGCATATAGCTTACTCGTAGGCTTTATTCTCAGCAACGAACGCTCTTTCTTACATGTACCGAGCACTTGGGGCCTTCATGAATAAGTCTGGTCTATTCACATATCAACTCTCCTCACCATGAGTTCGCGCAGCATTTGCAAAAATGGCCCGTTTCGCGCCTCCCAATCAACCTAGTCAAGGTTTAGCCAGGAAAAGAAACCCCCGCCGAAAGGCATGCAGCTTACCTTCTACCTGCCCGTTGTGCCGTTTTCCATATCATTCTTCTATTCCTATCCTGTGTTAGTTACTCGGCAGATACTTCATGACAAGATCGAAGCCCGAAACAGTATTTTTTTTGTTGGGAGTTCAGGGCACATCTTGCTCCCCCGCCAGGCGCTGCCTAATAAAAGCTCCTAACCACGAGTTACATGATGCACCCTGGCCTTGCACCCACATGCACAACCTACCCAGCATCACCCATGTCCATCTCTCGATCGCGGTGCTGTCGTGAGGCACCACCCGTAATCGCCACAAAGGGCAAAAAGAAACGGCTATTAAGTTGGGCTCGTTCCTTCTCTCCATTCGTTCCATCGTTATTGCCTTCGCGGCCATTTCCCCTAGTCTCCTTTTCTTTACCTATACTTTTGATTTTTCAAACTTCAGGCATTGATCGCCACGGAGTGACGAGCAAAGGCACCGTAGACGGGGCCGGCAGTATTGAAGTGCACGGGGAACGTGAGGGGGATTGATACCCAAGCAAGAACATTGAACCCTCGTGTCGCGGGTTCATTGGGCCCTAAAGGATCCGTTGGTTCAGGTGGGCCAGCCAGCCTAGTCTAAAGAGCCCGAACCCCTCGCGGCCAAAAAGTAGACGCTGGTGGGCCAGTAAGTCGAGCGAAGGACGGTAATATTACCAAACTTGCACAGATGGGCAGAAGCCGGGGGTGTGCGGGTGGCGCTGAGAGATGCGGCCTTGTCAAGGCCGGATGACCATGTTTCGAGAGATTGATGGGAGTCTGAGCATCCATCGTGGATGGCTCTTAGCCTGGCAAATTTCCTTGTCCCAAGATTTCCCGAACGCGGTGGAGCGTGAATCCATCTCACAGGCTCAATTCCTACACCAGAAACCCTTCCACAATGCTTCAAAGGCCAGCGGAGAAGGCTCGTCGACGGGCGGCTGTCTACCTCAACGCTGCATGCATGCAGAAATTCGAGACCCTTCCAAATGGCTGGATAGAGCAGGAACGGGCCCTTGAGTCACCGATGCACAGCGGCTCCGCTGCCAACAACGTCATGGGGTGAAGAGGTGTGGAGGGCACGCATGAGTGAGTGCATCAATCAAATGGACGTCCTCATGTAGTACATCAAGTACATGATAGCGCAAAGGTTGATCAATTTCGATCCCTGCCAGTGTGGAGCACCCGCTAAGCTAGGCACCCTCAGTCACGGAAAGTTTTCGAGCCACTAACCAGCGCGACCTTTGTGGGGAGGCAGTTCTGTTCTCTGCGAAGATGATAGATCATTGATATGATCAACGACCTTGGAAACAATGGATCTCTGGATAATAAAAGGCCCATGTCATGTTGCTTCAATATTGGGCTTTGTTTGAGGCGCTTAGTCGATGCACGTAGAATTCGCTGGTACAAGTACCTCGAGGTAGTGAAGCGGTCTCAATAGAATGAAATATGGATGGATCCAGATTCAAGGGCCTGACACCTCATGTTCACAGAAACCCTGGCCAAGATCCGTGAATGCGCCCGATGCAGTCCTTATTTTGTTTTGGCGCCTCTATAGATCCCTTTTGCTTCGCACCCAGGAACTTGACCCAAATGCCCAAGGAGAGGAGAGAGATCGCCGCTCTCTGAATGCAAAAGAAAAAGAGAGAGAGAGGGCAGAAAAAAAGAAGGAAGAAAAACATCCATGGATCAATACAAACCCTCCGAAGAGAGACCTGGGTCAGGCACGCTCTCCGCCTGACGGCCTTTCGAAACATCGTCCCGGCTATTCCCCTACTGACCCCCTCCCTAACTAAGCCATGTTGTGTTGTCTTGACACGGCATCCCGAACAACCCCGCCAGGTCTTTACCTAGTTCCTGCCGCGACCCCTCGTCATTGTTACCATTCCCCTCCATCCCACCATCCCACATGCCCTTGCTCTGCCCTCCTCAACAATCTTGTCGAGCACATCTTAAAGCACCCTTCTCCCCAAAATAACCCTTTCTTGATCTTCCGATACCCCATCCCTTGTCTTCTTCAATTCCAGACTGTCCCGATATCTCGCAGAGAGCCATCTACGAGGCTCCTCTTCATCTCCCTTACCAGACCGTCATTTGCGGCCTCCGCTTCAGCTTACCTCTTTCAACGCGAATCCGTGTCTACATAGCATAGTCAATATAAATCATTGATCGCCACTGATTTCTTTTAGTCCGGCCCCAAATCGCAACTCTTCATAGAGGCACGAACGACTGACTTCACCCCCGGGAACAAAACGTCCCGAGTTAAAGAGGCCCGCGAAATCCCCTGTTTTTATATACCCTTTTCCTTCTTACTTTCTACTGCTTTTGGCTCCCAACAACTTGTTACTTGTCCTTCTCCGGCCTCTGGTCACCCGTTTTCGTGCTATCGCGACCGACGTCATTGCTCGTGCTCCTCGCTTTTACCACCCTTCAGCCAAAGGTGAAGATAAGACAACTTATCGTCTATTCCCATTTTTGTGAGAACCGTAGCGTTACGCGAGAGGAGCATTACAAGGTATCTGATAGACCACGAGTCTTCCGTCCTTCACACCACTAACTATACTTGCCACTGAAGATGATGCTCTCCTTTCCACCTGCCATGCCTATCCAGGATGACTTGGCGGCTCTCCTGGCTAGGAACTTGGTTTTGACTCGGGGCTCTCTGTCGCGGACCAACCCACCCACGAACAACAGCCTCGCTCGGTTGAAACCCCCAACCATAGTCAAATATTCCAACCCTCCCCGGCACCTGCTGCCGTGCAAGCCGAGCCGACCCCATCATCTACTCCGTATCCCAGCACTATCACCATTCCACTCACACTGTTCGCCAACAACAGCAGCAGCAGCAGCAGCAGCCGCCGCAGGAACAGCAACGGCAAGAACAACAGCAGATGGTCCAGGAACTCGAAGTCCAGATGCCCCAGCGCCCTTCATCAGAGCCCCCAGTCCGAGCACGAGTCTTGCGAGACCATCCTTAGATCTCACGGTATAAACCCATCTGCTCTGTCCCCATCCCAGACACAGCTCTTTATGGTTGCCAGCTTGGAGCAGAAGATGAGGTTACTTGAGCTATGGAGCATCTGCCCCCACGAGCCGAGAGGAAGACGCCACCTTGGCATGGCACAGCACCACGGTCGAGCAAGAAGAACACCTCGCTCGCATGAGGTACGATAGGCAGCAGCAACACCACTTGCAACAGCAGAATTCCTCGTCGATAGACATGGACTGCGGTAACTCCTTTCAAGGTTCCGACGGCAAGTGGCTATACTCGTCTAGCCCCGCGGAGCCTTATATGCAGAGCGGGTATGAGGAACTTATGCGCCGAGACGCTGAAAGGCAGCAACAGTTTGCTGACGCACCCAAGGATGAGCCTTCGCCTTTCAACGTATCCGTGGGAGGATTCGGTTATTCTCGGTCCACGGACCCGGTCTACAAGAATTCGAATGGGGCATTCTCGACGGCGGAGCACTCTGGACAAACCTGGGCGGGTTTGCCTAAAACCCAAGCAGGGACGGCAGACGCGATGGAAATTATGTAGACGAGGCCGACCCTGCCGAAAAGTATCTAGTCAGCAATGGCAGTTTTCTTTGCGACTAGGTGCTGAGATCTTGGAGGATTTGGTTGCGAATGGGTGATGAGATGCCGCGAGAGGACGATGAGGCGTTGTCTTTTCGATGATTCCCTACTCTTTCCATTGGAATTAATTTTTGTTGTAAATATCATTAACTTCCTCTCCTGGAATATACAATATATCCTCGTCACTTCTCCTTGTTGCTCCATGTAGCCCTTGTCATCAGTCTGACACGAGGTGCGACCTGCGACAACGCATGCAAGTGTTATATTAAGACTTGGGGTCAGGATCCCCAGTGTGATGCTATTTCTCCAAATGCCTACCTTAATAATTTCAGAGGATGGGACCAACACTACATGTATAATAGATTGGCACCGGTATGGGAATTTCGAGTCTGAAAGGCGGCCTGGCTTCGTCTAATCGCTCTTTCCACGACTTACACCAGATTGTGGCTGATTCCCTAGCCACAGACCAGCCACAATACAATGCGACTCCTACCACTCGCACTGTGCCGTGTTCCAAGAGGCTGCAGTCCCAACCACGCAGCTCGACACGCAGCTGCCGTTGCCTACCAAATCCGAAGCTCACAACAGTCGCCCCAAGCTTCCTCACCGCAGACATCATCGACCATACCCGCCATTCCCCATCGCAATCTTGATCGAAGTCGCCCTCGTACCATTATATACCCTATTTAAACACATTAAAAGCTCACCAAGAGTCCAAGATGGTAATTCCCCTCCCCCAGCTTCCCTCCGTTCCCCCAGCGCCTTTTGGAGCGCCTAAGCTTACTCTTGGGCTTTTGCCTTGTTGGTAGACGTCAATCGGCACGGGCTACGATTTAGCCAACGCCATCTTCTCTCCCGACGGTCGCAATTTCCAGGTCGAATACGCCATCAAGGCGGTCGAGAACGGCGGTACCACGGTCGGTATCCGATGCAAGGATGGCGTCGTGCTGGCGGTCGAGAAGATTGTTAGCTCTAAGCTCCTGAAGCCTGGTGCCAACAAGCGGATCGGGACCGTAGATAGGCATGTTGGTGTGGTATGTGTCGCCCGGGACAGCATCTTTGATCGCGCCTCTCCTCCCCTCTCCTCCTCCTCCCCCTTGCCCCCGTATCATCCCTTGTGAGGAAAATAGCGACTAATGACTCGGCCAACCCTCGTTTAGGCCTTCTCGGGTATGATTCCCGATGGCAGGCACTTCATCTCCCGGGCCCGTGACGAGGCTGTCTCATGGCGAGACATGTACAAATCTCCCATCCCTACCAACCTTCTTGCCTCCCGAATGGGCTCCTACCTACAAGCCTACACCTGTCACTCCTACGTTCGTCCCTTTGGCATCACTGCCATCGTCGCCGGTTTCGACCCCGAACACGAGCTTCCCGTCGATGGAGAGGTTGGCTCTGGTCCCTCGTGCGGTGCCGGTGGTAAGGTCGCCGACAAGAAGCACGGCGGCCCCTTCCTCTACATGATTGAGCCCTCGGGTCTCTACTGGGGATACTACGGTGCGGCGACAGGCAAAGGCCGCCAGGCGGCCAAGGCCGAACTTGAGAAGCTCGATCTCGCTGCCGGCACTCTCAGCCTAGAGCAGGCTGTCAAGGAGGCGGCGAGGATCATCCACAAGAGCCATGGCGAGGAGAATGCGAAGGACTACGAGATCGAGATGACCTGGATCAGCGGCCTCAACGGTCCCACAAAGGGAAGACATGTAGAGGTCCCCGAGGCACTAAGGGAGGAGGCCTTGAGGCTGGCCAAGGAGGCGGAGGATGAGGAGGAAGACTGAACCAATTTCGTATTATCGCAGGTTCCGGGGAATGAAGATGAGCACATGTATTTGTATCATAATGGGGTTGTGGGAACTGGGTTCATAGATGATTGAATCAAGCGTGTCTGCTGCCCGTCCGCCATCCCGCACTTTTGAAAGGGTGCTACCGATCAATTCATGTCCAAGGTCATCCCCGGATTGCTAGAGGTTCAGGCCAGAGGCTCCGTCAGTTTGATAGATCACGAAAACTCCGTCATTCGATGCTACGTAAATAGCCCGGCATATGCCTTTCTTTTTATTTCTCAGCCAAACTGATCGGTCTTGCTGAAGCCCATGAAGTCACAACGTCTCGCAGAACACTCTCATAATTGCTGTCTGGGACATCAAGCGATGCATGTCGTACTACTACTTTTGCAGCTTAGAACCTTTCCCAGTCCCTACATGTACCACATGTCATTCCAGAAAAAGGTATCCATTGAATTGATTTGCGAATGTCTACATCGACCATTACTTGCTTTGCCTTGATATCGCGACTGGTATGAAATGGGTGCCGAACCAAGCTGACCGCCTAGCGCGAAGAGTAAAGGGCGGCTCGATGAAGCAGGCGGTGAGGCCCACCCGACGGCACAAAAGAACAAAACTTAATAATTTTTGGGGAAATCCCACATGGCCATTTTCTCTCACAGCTAAGGGCAGGCTTTTGCGACTCACCAACGCGGCTCCGAAGAAGATACCGATACCAATTTCTAGCCCTTCTGCTGCTGATGGAGGGAGAAACCAAAATGAACAAGAAGAGGGCCCCTCCGCCTCTGGGGAGGACTCCCCTCGGTGCCCAAGAAGCGGTTCAGGCGGGCCAAGAACCCACGAGACGACATGTACAAGGCCCTGGAGAACTTTACGAGTTTCCCTGCCCAGCCCGACTGGGAAGATCACCAGACCGAACAGAATCTCTACAAGGCATTGACTCATAGAATCCGCGACTTGCAAGTCAAAGCTGCCGTGCTCGTCTCGAAAGCGCTTTTGGGAGAGTCCGAGGCCGAGGAACCCACCGAGCCTACCATCTCGGAGGAAGAGTTCAAGAGGCATCTTGAGACCTATCTTTTCCCGGCTTTGACAAAGGGGATACCGTGTCCCGCGAGGGAACTTTCCGGGTCATCTCGAAGATTATCGCAGCGCTCGTCGGCGACCGAAACCTCAATTCTACGCACTACCCCAGCTTGACCTTTCAAGAATTCCTCTCGATGCTCATCCGCTTCACCCCGCTCGACGAGCCCGCCGTTGACGATGACCAGGCGCTGGGCAGGCTTTTGGGCTTGAGGTGTTTTGTGCAGCAGAAAGTTCTCGAAAAAGATGCGGAAAGGTGGAGGCAACTCTTGCCCATGCTCCTAGATCTCGCCTCCAAGAACGTCGAGCTACGGCTTGCCTGCGGCGCAATCATTGCCGACGCCGTCGGGCACCTGAGCAAAGGCGAAGCTTCCTGGACTGTAAAGGCGGTCTCGGACACCGCACTCGCAAACACTGCGGAAGGGCTTGCGATCTGGATCGCTGCCCTTCAGCGCCACCCAGACCTGAAATCCGAGAACTGGAAGAAGCCGGTGTCTGCGCGATCCGCCCCCAATATCTTGAGTCTTTTGAAGGAAAGCGCTACAAGAGTCCTTAATGAAAACTCGGGGCCTGTCAATAACGGAAAGGCTACTTGGTCCGCCCCTTTACATTTTGTATGGGTAAGGCTTGCCAAATACTTTGGCAATCTGGGATCCGCCGGCCAGAAGGACCTCGCATCCATTTGGAACCCGGTTGTTGAAGGTAAGAGAAGACAAAAAATAAAAAAATAAAACATCTCTTGCCCTGGTCTATACCTCTTTCTTGCCGTTTAGCAAGTCTAGTCGCCAGAATGCACTGACCAGAAAATTTCGATAGAGTACCTGTTTTCCAAGAATGCGACGGACCTACAGAAAGCCCGCGGATTCCTTATCTTCCAGCGAATGCTCATTGAAGTAGCCACAAGCCGCCCCCTCGTCAACATTATTTTCAGCCGGAACTTGATGTCCTGCATCCAGAATCATGCTTCCAGGAAAGACCGCCATCTTCACAGCGTTGCACTCGAATCCCTTTCTATACTAGGCGAGATTGCAGCCTTGAAACCGGAGAGCGTGGGTCCAATCGTGAGCAATCTTCTTGGCCAGAACGGCAGCTATGAGTTCGACCAGCGGACAAACTCGAAGACCGTAGAGCAAGTCTTGAAGCACACGGCACCCGAAGAGATCAACCAAGTACTAGAGATTCTAGAAGCTCCATTCACCAAGTCCTCGTCGTACGTGCAGATCAGACCCATTCCCCCACCCCCTGCGGCTCGTACCAGAGCGCTAACCATTGTTTAGTGGAACGGACAAGCTCTCTGCGATTGGAAATGCCTATATGCGCTATCTCTACCACCTTGCAAGCACGGGTAGCTCGGTTGAAGCGTTGCAAAAGCTCAGCATGCTAGCCTTTGGCAGTTCCAAGGCCACCGCGAAATATGGCCTTACGGACTCTGCCAGGGCAAACTGCCTGACCCAGCTCGAGTCCGCTCTGGCTAAATCTGGGCGATCCACCCAGAATTTCGAGCTTCTTTGCCAGCTCGTCACCAGCGTGAAGCCAAAGCACATCGAGCTAGACGAAGAAATCGCGGAGCAGCAAAAGATTGCTGTAGAGGGGTTGGAGAAGATCCTCAAAGATCCCCAATTCACCTTTTTCGGGGACCGACAGCTCACCACGTCACTCGCCTCGGCGTATGCTATGCCCCTGTTCATGGCATACAGCAGAGTGCCGGGCGCGGAAACTCTGCTCATCGCCATCAACAGTCTCGCAGATACCTGCCAAAGCAAGGGGGATGATGCGGGGTTGCAGCTCGTCATCATCTACATCCTTTTGCCTCTGATGTACCGGCCGTCGTCGCTCGGACGGCTGGTCTCGAAGCACATTTTTGAGGCAATCGCGCCGAGGCTCGACATAGAAACATTACAGATGTTGATGGAGCGATTAGAGTTTACCGAAGACAAGTCTGGCTTTGCCGACTTGGCCGAGTTTATCGATGCGCCCGAAGGATCCGATGATGAGGATGACGATGACGATGACGACGGGTCCAACGATGAAGAAGATTCCGAAGAGAAAAGCGACGACGAAGACAGCGATGGTGACTCCGTAGATGAGAGTGAGGGGACCGCGGATATCGATCAAGCCGCACTCCTCAAGGCCCTCGGCGCCCACCTTCTCGAGACCAATGGCAAGAAAGGTGAGGGCGATGATGGTAGTGGCGCGGGCGATGACGACGAGAGCGAGTCTGAACCTGACATGTCAGACTCGGAGATGATGGCAATCAATGACCAGCTCGTAGCGGCATTTGACAACATCAGCGGCCAAGGAGCGAACGAGGCCACTGAGGCGAAGAAGGCGACGGCGGCCGTCGTGCAGTTCAAGAATAGGATCTTAGACCTCGTAGAGGCGTACTTCCAGCAACAGTCCCGGAAAACACAGGTCATTTTTGCACTCTTCCCGTCCCTCGTACGGCTAGCGAACCAGACAAAATCCTCAGACATACGGGCCCGCGTTACCGACATATTCACGCGCTACAGGAAGCGGTTCCTCAAGGAGAGGAAGCAGTGGCTCGAAGATGGCAAGCGGAAGAAGCAGATAGCTGACTACATCACGCACCTGCAGGGGATACATAAGGAAGTGGGTTTCAGAGACTCCCAAATGTTTGCCAAGGCGGCGTCGGCAGCCTGTCTAGCCATTGCGGCGGCCATCGTGGCAGCAGACAAGAAGAAGATTGGCGAACTAAACAGGCTGCACGAGGAGCTGGAGACTGAATTGAAGGAGAAGGATAGGCTGAAGAGAGTGCACAAGAGCTTCTTCCAGACATGGAAAGCGTACCAGCAGAGTGTAAACAACGAAAAGGAATGAGGAGGTGCCAACGAAACAAGCAAGCAAAATCTGTCGAGATAGATTCGAACACTCGAGGGAAAACGGTCCCGCCACCCTGGAAAGACTTTGATACCAGTTCCGATATTTAGGAGCTATCCATGCTAGATAAAATACTCCACGCTGCACATGTTGCTTTAGGATACTCTGATAACAGGCAGTATGTTCCATGTACGCTTGGACTACACGATACCGCGAGCAGTTTTACCGCCGAGGACATGTGTGGGCGGGAAGCAGAGGGACCCGCGAGGCTCGAATAATTGGATAATCTTACTGAAGCTCCGAGGATGCACCGGCAAAGAGGACAACTTCACCTTGGCCTCAAGATCTACAATAATGATGTAACTCGGCCGGCCTAGGGCCTAGACTAGCACTCCAGCACGTCTTCTCCAATAACTTGGCACATATGTACCAACCCCAAATCAACCTGCTTTTCAATCTTCCATGACACAGGGACAACATGGGTGGGCCATGGACGTGAAACCTACCTGGAAAGGATTCCCCGACACCGGTTACGGATGGTGGTCCATGTATTTTGCTTTCATGACAGCCTTGCTAGGGAGCGGGAGCGCGGATAGTACATACACTCCCTTCAACATATAAAAAGCAATATCAATGTCTCAAAAATTTCTCTTTAGGAAATTCTGGGTATGATCATATCCACGAGGTCTAGTCCACTGCGCATCATCAGACTGGATATACCCGTCGTCGAGGACGGGTCGGTAGGCATATCCAGCACCGCGGTCTGGGGTTGGGCCTGTCAACGATTTCCAGCACCGCGGTCAGGGCTTGAACCCGTCAACAATTCCATTGCTTGCCGTGATAGACCCGACGCGGGACCGACTCTCGGGGCGGCTCAAGAGCGGAAGGCGTTGTCTTTTCCACCCGGAGCAAGGGAGTAAATCCAGCCAAGTCGGATAAGTTAGCTGAAGCCAAGCCAATGGCTCCATCCATCATGTTGCTAAAGCTGACGACATCGACTTGAATTACACGGCCCCTTTTTTCTTTTCTTTTTCCTTTTCTTTTCTTCCCCTCCCGAGGAATTGATCCACTGCCAACGAGAGACTAAACTCGTTCGCTCGGCTTTCGGAGTAGGCCTCCTTTCCACTCACCTATACGATCAACCTTTCACGGGGTCAACTGCAAGACATTGGTAGATTAATGGAGCCCTGACAGACTGCCCATGGAATAGACAAAAGAGGAGGGAGTACAGCGGATACAGCCTTGATCAAGGTCCCTTTGAACCGACCAGCAAGATCTAAGTCTCATCTAATATGAAGTAGCTCAGAGTGGCTAAAGGCTTGGGACATGAGCCTTGGATGTCTGAGTTTGCGTGTGACCACCTTCCAAAGAGAGCATCTCACAAGAGGCACCGGTATGGTATTAATAGCCCTAGTGCAAACGTAGTCAAGGTCGAGGTCGGCCAGGAAAGACAATGGATGTCGTACACATGCATCTAATTTGACGGGCCAGGGGTTTACATGCCGGTCCAATATATATGTGTGTGTGGGTATGTGTTCTTAATTAACACCCCCGTCGGCTCGTGAAGATGGGAGTGTTGGAGTTGAAGTTGGGCGTGATAGTCGAGCTTTACATAAAGGGGTGTGGAGGGGAGGTCTCTATCCATTGTATTTTTGTCGATTTGCTTTTCCCGTGGAGGGTTGGGACGACATCTAGCACGAGCACACCTCATGGCTCTTAAGGACCATGCGGCCCGGGGCCACACTCCGGTCCAATCAAGCCACGCACTCCCTCAACCCTCGGTCGTCTTCCGCGGCCCTATGTCTCTCCTCCCTTTGCAAAAAGCAAAGAGTGCCCACATTTTTGGTCTCTCAAAGATCAACGATATTCCTACGTTCCCACCTCCTTCACTTACTTGGCTTCCACACATCCAGCACCCTTGGTTTGCGGATGTCTGCGCGGCAGTTTAGCTCAAGAAATTAACCACAGACCTCACCTCAGAAGCTGGAAACTTGCTAGAGACCCTAAAGGGGGCGTTGCACCTGAGACCAAACGGTCCCAAGAGCGTGGCGAGTCATACGTGCGGGTTGACGTGTGTCATCACGGCCTACATAGCTATTTCTGAGCATCGAGGACTGCATCGAGAACTGCATCGTGCTACGTGATCTGTCGGCCCCAAGCAATCTATTGTCTCGTGGAAACGGGACGTAATGGACCCATTTGAGTGCCTGCCTCCGCCCCCAGATCGCGGCCTTCGCCTGCGTTTCCGCACGGAAAGTTTCGAACGGGAAAGGGCACCGGAGCTCTGATTAGAGTAGGAGGTTGTCACTGGAAGGGCAAGAGGCCGGCTGGAGACGTTTTTCAGCTATCCAGCATACTACAACTCCATCTTTGAATGGCCGCGGCCCCGTTGTAGCGATGTGATGGACACCTCTGACGCCTCTGTGTCATCCGAGTGTCTCGCGTGGAAACAGGACCCTCTCCCTCCACACGGCAAGCAGTCTTGCTCTCTATGGCCAGGCTTTTTCTTTGTCCTTTTGACTCTCTTGGCCTCTAGAGAAACCCTCCTTCCTTTGCGACAGGCCTTTGCGACAGGTAGAAGAAAAAGCATTAGGGTAGTACACCTCGTTTTAAAACATGTAGACGGAAGAAGAAGACGATGCTCGACCGAGAGGTCTTCGATCGCTCGTAACACCTTGCCTCACATCCCCTGTGTCTCCTTCCATCCATATCTCTCTCCCCTCGCCCTCTAGCCCACGCACACAACTTAGCTTCGATATCATGCAGCTGGTCTTGTTAATCATATCACCTTCTCCCCGTCGTCCGGCTTTGGGTCTCGCTAAACGACAAGGAGTAACGAAACCTCCTTCCTCTACCCTGCCTTCTTGTCTTCCCTCAGCGCTAAGTTAAGAGGTTCGAGGCCCTATCCATCACCTCTCCCCAGTCTATCTAACCCCGGGACGTGCGTGGAAGTTCGATCGAGGAGTGTATAGCAGTTACCCCATTCCCTTCTAGATTCTCCCCGAACCATTCTCGTCATAGCTCCCTTGTTCTCGAGAATGGGCGTCGGGTTCTACTCTCCCGGCGGGTATGGCGGCCCGTGGTCCTGGGACTCATCCTCTTATACCTAATACTAGAGCTCCGAACGCACGTGGACGCCTCCTGGTCTGGCATCTGCTCAGACGGCATGGTGGTTATTCAAAAACCCGAGCTCGACAGCAGGGCCTCCGCGGCCTTGCAGATGTCTGGGATTGACGGTTTTATACAGGGCGAGCCTCTCGAAAGGTTTTGGAAACTGCTTTTCCATGCGATGACAGAGCATGAGCTCGGTGTCGGCAAGCTCGAAATGGGGAATACTAGCTTCTCGGAGGATTATATCTCTTTGACCACGGCATCTTAGAAGAGAAGAAGCGCGAGAGACACCTTGTCGTTTCGGAGGAGGACGCCGATAAACTTCGCGACCATTTCCAGGACTTTCGCACCAAGATCAATCCTTTAGCGAAGCTCATGCCATACTGGAAAAACACGCGAGGCATTGTCATGGGCGGCGGAGGGAGGTATCTCAGCATCACCTTGACCTCGATTATCCTGCTCCGAGAGTTCGGTTGCACGCTTCCCATCCTGGTATTTGTCGATAACCACAACCAGTATGACCTTCACATTTGCGAAATCTCTTTGCTGAGCTGGGCGCCCATTGTGTCGTCATGGAAGATATCATAGGCGATGCCAAGGTCGACCATTACCAGTACAAGGTCCTCTCTATCCTCTTCGCGCCCTTCCAGCACGTTCTCCTGCTCGACGCCGATGCTTGGGCCATCAGGGATCCCGCCTATCTGTTCCACTCGGAGCCCTACAAGTCCCACGGCCTAGTCACATTTCCCGACGTTTGGGTTTCCACTGCCCATCCCGCGTTTTTCGAGATAACCGACACCCCCATGAACGCCCCTACCGAACGAAGAACCTCGGAGTCGAGTGTGCTCATGTACGACAAAGGGATGCATGCCGATAGTTTGATTCTCGCGACATACTTCAACCTTTACGGCCCGGAGCAATACTATCCCCTCTTGTCGCAACACGGCCCCGGTGAAGGAGACAAGGAGACTTTTCTCCAGGCCGCGTTGAGCCTTGGGAAGCCATTCTACGACGTCAAGGAGAATGTCGGAATCGTTGGCCGCGTTATCGAAGGCCACCATCGTGGCGCGGCCATGATCCAACACGATCCCAGCGAAGACTGGAAACTCCGAGAATACCTACGCACACACGGAAAGCCCATGACGAAACCTTCCGGCGAGCCCGTGAAAGCCTCGCCTCTCTTCATACATCACAATATTGCCAAGATGGACATCTATGAGCTCAGCGGCGACTCGGAGCCGCTTTCTATTAAAACGGACGAAGGCAAGGTTGACCGGTTATGGGGCTGGCCGGACGGCCTTTACGAGAGCGCGGGATTCGACATTGAAAAAGCCATGTTCGGAACTATCATCCGGGCCAAATGTGAGGTGATGGCACCTGCCTCGGAGTGCACGGGGCTGTGGAACTTCTATCGCGCCGCTTTTGGGTCCGATGCAAGCAAAAACGGAGGGAAGAGAGGGAGATAAGAACGGAAAGAAAGGCGGGGCTATTCCGTGGCAGGATATCGCTTCCCTTTTCTCGCGCCGTCCCCCAAGACCCGGAGGTAGACCCGGAGCAAGACCCGGAGCAAGAGTGGGAGCAAGAGACAAGATCGCATCGCCCGGTGGGCCGATATAAGTGAAAGGAGTTTATCCCCTCTCATCCTCACCTTATATGATATAAACAGCACAACTATTTTGATGTCCGGAAGTGGTTTGGCATCAACCGGAAGGGCTTCCCTCTATAGGAGGGCCGCTATCCTTTATCTTACGCCATTTTCCTTATTTTCCCTTTCTATCCGCATCACATCAGATGCAGGCACTTTCCGCGAGCAACGATTCCCCTTTGTTGAATTTGTACATTTTCTGTATATTATACCTCTATAATTTCCAATATAGATAAGATTCACTATTGATGTAGTGATGGATGACACGACGGACTGGCCCCTTGGACTCTTGGACGGCGCGTCAAAGAATGAACTCATGCGTTCCCACGCCGTAGGGCTCAGATCGCAGCTAGGGAATACTTGAGGCCACCTTGAGAGTATTTGTAGGGCATTTGCACGACGTCAACACGGTTTCCAGGATTGCCTGGCAGCGATGTGAGAAATTCAAGCCGGACATTGAGAATTTATCTACTCTCCGTACGGCCGGCCGGCCACCCCTTACTAAATTGTCTTTCTGACATCGCCTCAAACAGCCCACAACGCCGTTTCTCGGAGCTTGCACGCACTCGGATGCCTCTCAGGCTCAGTGGCCTTTTTTTTTTTTTTTTTTTCCTTCCCCTTTAAGATTCTTTGAATGGGTGGGGGAGGGTTCTAGATCATTCAACGTCTCACGGCGATGACCCGCGTCTCAGTTTGAGGCTCGCGCCTCCCCGGAAAGTCGCGGAGGCGGCAAAAAGAGGAAAAGGGGCCGGACAAGAGATGGTTTAGATTGAGACAGTCCGGACCGCTCGAGGACCGGACTTTGCCCGCGTTGTCTAAGCTGGGATGGCTGGGCCCTTTAGGGTCTCTCGAGAGGATTGAAGTTCAGCGGCGGCAGATGCGGCTCACGCTCAGGGATGCGGTACGATGGCAGAAGAGACCAGCCCGCGCTCAAATTGACGGGATGGCGCCGCTCCTCTGCTCCAAGAAGCCTCCCGCGTTTGGGAAACTTGAGCCGGCAACGACATTTGCACCATTGCAGAGAGCGTATGCAGGGGACAAGTCGCGCGTACGTTTTTTTTCTTTCTCGTTTTTGGGCATTGGCAACAAAATTATTAAATGAAATATCAATATATCAACATGAGAAATATAAATATATTACTCAGGTCGAAAATACCAAAATAAGCCTTTTCCTCTCCTACCCTCCGAACCATCTTCTCAGACACGCACAGGTCCCTCCCCGTTAGCACCGGGTCTGGTGTGGGTGGCGCTTGGGGAGCACCTTGGTGAGATTTGTCTCGACGCAAAGTCCGTGGAATGAGGTGGGCCAACTAACTGCTCTGCCAAGGAGAAGATCCACATGGGCTGTGCTCTGCTCAGGGCGTGACGGAGGTGGTGTGCAGGCTTCAAGTTGCTACTTGTACAGTAGTGGCTGGCCCACCTGGGGCTGCCACGGCGGCTAACACGGGAGCACGTGATACCGTGATGGGACCTCTTGGGAGCGAGGGTTGGGCGGGGTGGAGCAGACGTGTGTACCTTGACTTGTTTACATTAGGCTTGGCGTTGTTTACTTTGCCGGCGCGCCACGCGTGAAAAAAAAATACTTCACCCACGTTGACAAGGAAAGAAGAGAAAAAACCCTCCTGCCGCGCCTCGCTTCGACCACCTCGAACGGGCGCGAGAGAGGGCGCGGTGAGTATGTTTCCGATGCCAGCGTCTCAACCCGTTGATCTCGAGAATTTACTCTTAACCCTTTCCGGTTCGTTGCGCCCCTGTTGGTCTAGAGGGATTGAAGAGAGGAATGGATATAATGTATTTAAAGGGCCGGGAGGGGAGGACGAAGCACGGCCTGCGCACAGTCGTTGGCTGATCCTGAATCAAAACGAACTGGAGTTCATAGCTCCTGAAGAAAGAAAACGAAGAATGAAACCTTGGGAGGGATTGGGAAGAGGGGAATGACAAAACTACCCCAATTTTCTTGTATACATCGGACCAGGAAGCATCGTCGACAAGCGGCATGTCGAAGATCGTGATGCGGGGGTGGTTTCCAAAGGGGGACATGGAGGGAGGAATGCTGAATGAGGCTGGGAGAAGAGGCTTTGATACCTGGTTCGGCCTGACCGGGCTTGGACTTGGAAATCAACACGAAACATAGGAGGATTAACCCCTCACATTTCCTGGGAAACGAGGCAAAGCCGAGAGGGAAAGCGGGTCATCAAATGGCTTCCCCTCACATCACCCTCCTCCTGTCTGTCAGTCGCCCATGCTCATGGGACATTCTTCAGGTGGCATCATGCTTGTCCCACCCTATTCTTAGCTAGGGACTGGCATTGGCACCCACCCGAGACTGCCCCTCCTCACAGTCACACACTCTCTCGATGCGTTTGCCGAATTAGGCGGGTAGCGAAGGCAGAACCGAGCTTGAGCTGGTGTCAGGTCAAGCGGCAAGCTTCATGACATGATGAGCAAGAAGCGGTGTGAAGGACGTCTCTGTTTGCCATGTGCCGTGTTTGGGAACAGGTAAACAAAACTGAAGGATTTTAATGCCATGCCATGCTTCGCCTTGGTTCGCAAGCGTATGTTGTTTTTGTTGGCATGATCTTCCTTGACTTCCTGTTCATGCTTGGGTTGGTGGCATCCATGGCAAGCTGAGATGGATGAGCGATATACAAGTACGAATACTTGTGCTTGAAAAACCGTCCCATTGCTGGTTTCCTGGATCCTGGTTTGAACTCGTCTCAGGGCGCGTTGGCTCAATTCCAAGGTTGGCCAAGAGTATCAGGAGGGGCAGGAGGGGTTTACGGGCATTTAGCATTGGCAATGACGATTATTGTGAGCTATTTTCCGATCCAACCTTGTTTGGATATAGTTTCGGATTCGCCCTTTCCAGCCCACCATCTTTTGATTGGGATGTGTGTAGGAATGACGTGTATTTTTGGCGCGAGCGCTAGAACGATGGTGGGATGCGAATCTGGATGGACAGAAGAAACCTGAAAGTCCGAAAGTAGTAACAAGATCAGATGGAGGGGGTTCAGCCAACTTCGTCCACATCCATAGTGTAGCGTAGATACGCTCTTGTGGGTGAGTGGGGTATTATCACCAAGACGACTATTCACTTGAGTATTATCACGGACGATAGGCGTCCCTTATTCGGATCTTGGACCCTCCCACCGGTATCTAGAACCAGGTGATGGGAAGGGAGAGCTGCCAGACGCAAGAAGGAAGCCATCTGCGATCGATACTGCAACCATCCTTTGTTGATTCGATTCGACGATGGGTACCGAGGCATGGCTGGCTTCTTCCCTGCTCACTTCTCTGGCTATTCAATCCATCATTGTTGACTTTGACATGCATTCTCTCCTTATCTCGAATTGGCTGATCGCTCGTAACTCCGACCATTGAGGCACGCACATGGTCCCTGTCAGCATGGGGCGGGCTGTGCAGCCGCCGCGACAACGGGGAGAGCAGGAGAATGGCTGATGAAGTTTGAAGCTCAGCACCAATCACAGTCGGCAATGGCTATGGAAGAGCACCTGGAGCAATCCTTGTGATTGTCCAAAATCTCACGGCGCGACGAGGGCACCGGCCGACGCCTGTTAGGACCTAGTGCTGGGCCTTTTCCCCTTCTTTTTATTCTATTTCAATGGATCTTTTCCCCGATGGGTGGAGATTCTCCCTGCAAAGGAAGCAGGAGCGTGAAAAAAAAAAAAAAAAAAAACCAAGCCCCAGAAAAGTCGCACCGCACCTCCACTCAAGTGAGAGCTAAAAGGAACCATCCATGGGTCCATCGATGGATCTATCGCAAGCCATCGATGTTACCAAGTCGATCCTGCTAGCGTAATATCCTGGATGGGTGGCACGGAAGACCGGAGAGGGAACGTTGTTTTTTTCTTCTCATGTTTGGGGGTTCATCGAGGCCGCGAAAGATGAATAGATGGCATTCCTAGTAAATAATGCAATTGATTCTACTCATCACGAAGCAAGGCCAATCCCCTTGTATATCGGCGGCGTATCTGTCTGTCCCCGAAAGTCATCGCGGCCGGATCGATTCTTAATATTATGTGAGACAGTGGCTCGAAGGAAAGAGAGGATCGAACCGCACACAAACGCCGGCACCCGGCTGTCGCCCGGCGCTGCGTCAGGGCCGATCCTTGCTACAAATGGCCGCCATCGATTGATCATAGGTGTGCCAGACCTGAGCTATTCACAGGAGGGGCGGAAAAAGAAAATACTGCTCGCTCCCCGCTGCCCACCGCTCTATCTATCCGCTTCACGCCTTCCCCATGTGCTGGGGAAAAAAAAGAAAAAGAAAGAAAGAAAGACATCGATTCCACTAGGAAAAGAAAGGAGTGAAAAGAAGAAGGAAAAAAAAGGCTGCACCCAGAACCCGTTTGCCTGCCAAAAAGAGACCCATTGATAATATGTCTCGGGAGAAATAGTCTGCGAGTTGACGGCGGCACGCACGCTCGAGGACAGGGGCAGAAAGCGGACGGTGCGATGAGAAACAACATAACATGGAATCCATGCTTCTCCGATTCACCGACCTCAGTATTGCATGTACACTATAATACCTCAGATGCGTCAACTATGATTGCAATATGGGCTCGGGGAATAAGAGGCACAGCTATGAACAAGGGCACAGCTGCGCCTGGGCTCCATAATGGCCGTCACCTCAGTTAGGTATGTGGTGTACAGTGTGCACTATAATCAATTGATCCAGGATGGAATTGATCCATCCAATCCATTGTTTGCGCCAACTTCCAACCTCAAATGTAGAAAACGCCATACCGAATACGGGGCTGCTGAGTTGTATCGATGGAAGAGTCAGTCCTCATGGATGGCCAAGACCACAAACGAAGGAGAGATCAACAGAAAAAAAACACTAAAAACTACATCTTCCGTGCTGTATACATCGACGCAGGAAATCAAGCTGGCTTTGGACATGCACAATTGGGCCACAGGCTGCCTTGCCCCGCAAACGCAATAATAAGGCTGCATGCCCTCTCGTCACCGAGCCGCCAGAGGTACTGGGAGCGAGGAGATTGGCTCCCTAGCAACAGCTGCAGGGCACCAGGCGACGGGAAAAAATTAACACGTTGACTTCTGGTCTCAATCTGGGGTCGAGCAGCGAAGGGAGGAGCTGAAGCTTGAGGATTGCTGAAGCTCGTTTAGATGGCCGGAGCCAGTAAGGGCCCGCAGATCACTCTAATGAAGCCTCTACTGTACACTACAAATACATGGGGCGAAGAAATTCAACGCAACGCTGGAGAACACAGATCCAGAGTTTGCTCTCATACACTAAACAATAATAACACCCTGCAACTGGTCCTTTCGCGACGGTCGTCAGACTTCTTCAGGAGATACCATGGTCCTCGGTCGGCATGTTTGATCTTGAAACTGGTAGCGATCGCCCCGTTAGTGAACGGTGAGGTCAGCATCCCTGATAGCCAGCTGGATTGAAATTGAACAATGTCTATTAGTACCGAGTACAGAGGTTGAGGGAGGGAAGTCACTAAGCCACCGATCATCTGGCCCATCAACCATGCCCCATGGAAGACGCGATACTTGATTGATGGATGGGTGTATTCAGCGTATAGTGTAATAATCTTTTCTTCTTTTCAGCACTCCTCAATCGATGGTGTCTTCCCTAATCCAGACGCATCCCTTCCCGCTCCCGGGCTTGGCTGTCCAGCTTCCATTTTTCAAACATTCCTTCCGTGCCTCAAGCCGTCTGGCTCCGAGCCCTGTCGCTTGCACCTCGACAGGCCCGGGGTCAGGGAATCTTGAGCGGAATACTCGTTACTCCCCGCTAGCCTCAAAAGCCCCTGCTCGCGCGAATGGGCTGTTGGGCACTCGTAATAATAGTGTAGCTCTTGTCCGGGGAACCAAACCAGCTTTTAGAATGAATGACTCGCTGTTGCCATGTGAGGCGTTGTAACTGTTGCATTTTACACTGGTGATATAAGCTGACATTGAAGCTCCAATTTTTTTCTTTCTCGGGGTGGCGGGAGCCTTCTGCGCGTACTACAAGTACATCCATTCTTGCTACGCTTCACACTCCATTTGCCCTGCCAACGATCAAATGCAAGAGTCCACGATGACCTTACAAGCGCAGGCCTCTAGTGCCGCCGTGCCGGACGTTGCAGGAGTGGAGCATCGCTTCTGACAGAGTGCAGGAGAGGAACGATCCCTCGGGCCGGCAACAGCCACCAAACGAAATGGAATACTTTTCAGCCGCCCACAGAAAACGAGAGAACAAGTACTCCCAAGAAGTGGATGGGATGGGGTTGAAACTGGATCTCTCATCATCTGCGGACCCAAGACAACATTGAAGTACGAAGTACGTCTTCTGTGGCCCGGGAAGGTGCAGCTCCTGCATGGAAATGGAGCAGAGTGGACCAGCTCAAAGAACATCAAATTCAACATTGAAAATACCTAGGCACTCTGCTGGTCACCAATTAATACATTTGTGAGAGGCTTCACTGAGGGGACAAGCTAAGGACATTGTCAAATTGTCAACACCATCCCGGAATCGTCTTGTTGTACTCTCCCTGGCCAAAGAATTTGCTTCCCGGACAGACCTCTGGGGATTTCGCGCTGCTCTCGGGAGGAGCTTGTGCGAATGGGTCTATCTTGACCTCACGCCTTGGTTGTGTTGGTTGTGGCCGGAGCTAGGATCCGGCAGATGATGAAATGGTGACCGTGTTGGCGAAACCGTACAGTGGCCAAGGCACGAGTTGAATACAAGGCCATAAGCTTGGCCTTGAGGTTGTTCATCGAGTGAGGCGTGGGTATAATTAGGCTTGTGCCTAGGGTGGGAATTCGCCTTGCAAGCTAATAACATAATCTTTGTTGAGCAGTTCATCTGATAGTCATGTTCCTTTATGACATTGGAAGGGTATTAGGTTGCTCAGTTTGGTTTGCAGATGCATCTATTCCATCAACCCTTGCTTGCCCATGCGAGGGTTCTTCTGTCGACATGGCTTGTACGCGGTCCCTGCACACGAGTTCCGATGTATGTACAAGTCTTCGCACATGAGCCAATGCATGGAAACGAAGAATGAGCAGCCTGTGCTTGTTGAATGAAAATGAAATGGAGATGTTTGTGAGCAGCGAGTTTTTCGTACGTCATTTGTGTCCTTTAGAGAACCATGAATGCCCACGAAACATGCACAAGTTTGAGTCGTCTTTTCTGCGGATCTCGACCAAGTCGTGCATGTAAACATGCGGCCAGTTGGTTTTTCCTCGACGCTTCGATTTCCTCTTCGGAAATCAAATGGAAAGAGTGGCCGAAGCACGGACGCTATCATCTCATAGTTTTCCACCTTCCCTTAGAAAAAAAGGAAGAAGACCAAAGAAAGAGAGAGAGGAAAAACCCACCCTAATCCCAGAGCCTCATCTGAGTCGATATTCACGCATGCACCATTTTTTTCTTTTTCCTTTTTGTTGGTTCAAAGAGTGGGAGGCTCAGGCCGAAGCTAACATAACATTTGATTACTTCCTGGGAGGTACAGGTATTGGGCTCTTGGTTGACCTGGCAAGCCTGGCTAGGCTCGTTTGGCCGGACATCGGGGACACTGGATGGATCGGTGTCTCAACCAGCATCGCCTACCCCCGCAAGAGCAACAGCCCTGCTACCCCTGCTAGCGGCACTCGCAGGGAGGGGATGGGGGAGGGGTATTTCGACGCGTCTTTTAGCGTCAGAAAGAAGGGAACCTCGGGCCTGCTCGTTTTCAACCCCTAGCCAACATTCGCCAGCGTCCAAGTCCAAGTATTGCACTGCCAGTGCACGTCTGATCATATCCATAGATTCATTGTTACCATAGCACCAGCACTGGGCTTGGGATGCCCAAGGCAAGCACCACAATTTGATGTTAGCGGCTGAGGAGAGTGAGGAGCCGGGCGATACGTGAGCCCACCTTGACCCCCACCAAAAGGAAAAAAGAAGGGCCTATGTACAAGGATCAATTAGTGCTCAATTCAATGTTGTGACGAGCTTCATCGAGCCGGGCGGCAGTCACTAAAAACCTTCTGTGGAGGATAAAAAAAAAGAAGCACAAACAGCACGTAGGACGGAGTCATCATGGGTGAGTTTCTATCCTCTGGCCTTGCTCTATCCCGTAATCTCCAGGCCGAGTTACAACCGTTTTTAGCGCCCTGGCCCTTGGTTGTTGATCAGTAGTGTTCTGCTTCTTATCATGATACGCCTGTTACCGTGGTGGTCGATGCTCCGGCAATGTCAGGGCGCTTATTAGCCAGGAGTGGCGGACGGGATCACTTGGCCAGAACTGGATCTCCTCAAGAGGATGAAACAAGGTACGGATTGGCTGGGCGGCGGAACATCGCTGCTGAACGAAATCGTCGAAGCAACCGCCGCGATCCTGTGCCGAAAATGTAACTCAATTTCTTTTCCCTCCTTGTCGCCCCTTCTTGCTCGGGGCCTTTTTCTTTTCCTCCCCTGTGTGCACCGTGCTCTGTTGCTCACTTTGATGGAATGAATCGGGGCACGGAGGTATTCACTTGACTGCACAGGCCGGACCGGTATTCACACGCTGGATCAAGTCAAGTTGATCCATGGGCAAGGTCATTGCATCTCCTAGACATTCCGTTTTCGGTCGACTAGCATTATTATTCGATGCATCTGTGGAAGAGACCTGCCGATATTCATCTGGCCAATGACGGGGTTCTAGATTCTGCCTCTGAAGGCAAGCGACGACCTCGCTTGTCCGCTGATAAAGGGCACGCACGATGTGCGGGCATTGCTCAAGGGCCTATTTCCACCTTTTTTTGGGCCAGAGCTCCAACCTGGAGTGTAGAAAAGAACTTGAAGGGGAAAAAGAGTAGAGCACGGCAGGTGTTTTGCTGCAAGCCCATGGTACAAGTAGATATACTTGTAGATTTGGGTGTTACCAGGAGGATACACCGTCGCGGTGACCGCTGTAAAGAGCTAGAGAGGTACCTGTACAGCTCATAAGCCAGGGAGTCGCCATGTGTGCTTCTTCCAATGAAATGCTCCACCCTTCGCTTACTCCCAAGTACAAGTATGGATCCGGTCAAGTACCTGTCGAGCCTGCTCCACATTGCCAGGTCTTCTGGTGGTGCTTGGGCCAGCTCATGCAACCTCCAGTTCCACCCACGCCCCGTGCTGCATGCTCATTTGACGTACCACAAACGCGACCCGGCACCTGGCGGACATCTGCTCCTCTCCAAAGAGCTCAGCGACTCGCCCACTCCACCAGTGGACGTCTCCTGCTCGCACGCCCCCAAATCGCCCTCCCCACCTCGACCAAAAATCTCCCGTGGCAACCCACTGGCAACCAGCAACCAAAGATCCAGTCACGCACGATCCGCCAGAGGCAAGGGCTTGTCGTCCTGGGATGCACAGAAACGGTTCGTTGGATCTTCGGAAACTGATCCAGCGTCAGAATCCAAGTCTGCATGGGCTTCCAGGAATCCAAGCTCTCTCGCCCGGATGCCTCGTGAGTATTGCAAACCTCCCATCCCGTTTTAAACCGCCCTTCCCCCCTCTTCCACCAGCACCTTTTACCTCTTCCCGGGTTATCTTAATTCCTCCTTCACGACTTTCCCCCTCTCCCTCCAACTCTCACGTCACCACCTTTCTCTCGTCACACAGAGAGCCAAAGGGAGAGAAGGAGAGCTGCGGCGGACCAACGACCCAAGGTTGATGCTCCGAGCTCTCGATTTACCTAAACGCCAGCCATCACCACGAAGACTTCACGAGGCCTTCCCCATTGTGCATTAGTCGGAAGCCAATCACGACACATACGACACTCTCACGACCTCCCCTTAATGACCTCAATCGGCTTCACGGCGTAGTAACGACCCGTCCTTTTCCCATCTCCTCGCATTCTTCCCGAATCTAGTCAAGTTGGACCCTTAAGAACAGCACCGACGATCCGTAGCCTCTCGATCCCGTCGTTTTCGGTTTTTCCCACTCGTCGACACCAATTCAAACGCAGGGTCTCAGATATCGGGGGACCAGAGGAGTAGATAGGACTAAGTATGTCTCATACCAATGCTGGACCGGCTCCGCTAGTGGAGCCTTCGATTCCAGGGCCTGAATGCCTCGGACCGGAACTCGTGCTGGCTGCGTCTCTTTGTCGCTTGTTGGCCTTGTACTGGTGGCTTGCTCTGCCAAAGTAAAAAGAAAAACCCCCACCGCTAACATGACGATCTTCTAGATACCATTCCGAGCTTTCAAGTAAGCCGGTCCCTCGAACATTGTTGTAACGGAGACGAGGCTACCCTCTGCTCCTTCGCTTTCTTCCACGACTTTGGTCTAGGACTTGATGAGATATCTCTTTGAATATCTGTCCTAGACTCTTCCTCTCCGAAGCATGGAGGACTCCTCGCCCTTGGCGGCTATCCACCGCCCTCGGATGCCGGAACCCTGGACCAAGCGGGATCCCTTCGTCACGATACCCCGTGCCGGAGCCTCAACAGGGTTTGGCCTACGAGAGCAAATGCACAAACCGGGCTTCATCCTCATGAAGAGCGCGCGCAACGCCTCCCCGGCGACGAGTCTCGCGGCCGACTTGTCCATGAGCTTCAGTTTGGACAATGCGAGGTAAGAGGTCGAGGGCGAGAAGACACGCCTTGCCAGGCGGTTCTACGTCACGCAATCTGTAGCTGAAATATACTGACTGTTTTGTCCAGCCCACGATTCGTGACACCGCGACGAAACCTGTTTCCCGCTGCCCTCGCAGTCCCTGCCGATGCTGGCCATGGTAAGTTGAAGCCCGCCCATCATCTCCTTCATCTGAGATCCTGAGGGAGGTGGGAAATCATGGCAAATAGTCTAATACCTCCTATTTTAGAATTTATCATGGGGGCCGGCCTACAGTCGTCATCTCCCTTGACAATGGAAGAGATGATGGAAGACTCGCCCCTGCCCAAGTCCATGGCGTACCATCCTGATGTGCCCGACAGCATGGCTAGCACCCCGGCCCAGAGCGACACGATTGATGATAACGTTTCCAACGACACCGATAATAACGACGCGAATGATGATTATGACGAGATGATGATGGATTCACCGCTTCCTGTTTCTCGCAAGTCATCTTTTGATGGCCCCAAATTTCCCAACCTCGAGTGAGTATTGTGCCTGAACCCCTTATTTTCAGCAGCGGGTATTAAATTCTGTCTCACAGGCGACGCGCCCCTCGGCGGCCCTCCATCACGCGACTAAAAGGATACACGACCTCGACCGTCCATTGTCGCTCCTCGAAAGCGGAGCTCCCTTATTTTAGATTTGGCGAAGCGTCTCGACTGAATCATGCGAGCTCCGCTTCCTCCTTGAGCGACTCTTATGAAAGCCAGTCCTCGCATGAGAAACGTCCCCAATCTGCCAACAGCTCCGGGCCTGGTGTCCCTCCTCATCCTCGCTGCAGGCCTTCCATACAACCCTTCACCGGTGGCAGTAAGAGTGCCTCGCCGATCTACGGTCATACCCGCCGCACGTCGAACCCCTTCCTTCGGTCTCGCAAAAGCATTCGCAGGTCTCTGAGTATGTTTGAACACCCCGAGGATATCATGAAGCCGAAGACCGATGCCACTCCCTCCCCGTCTCCAAACCGCTGGAGGCCGTCATGGATATCGAAGAGCCCCACGAGCCCGGACTCCCGCATTTCTTTAACGAAGACCCGGGCGACTCTATCCCTCGTATTACCAAGGAGACGCTTCTCGACGTCCTGGACGGAAAGTTTAGCGCTCAATTTGCGCAGAAGCTCATCATCGACTGCCGATTCGAGTACGAATATGATGGAGGCCACATTGAAGGGGCTGTCAACTACAATGATAAGGAGCTCCTCTCGAACCATTTGTTCAATACTCCCATGGAAGGTAAAACACTCATCATCTTCCATTGCGAATACTCTGCCCACCGTGCACCGCGGATGGCGCGCCACATCCGATCTCAGGATCGTAATGTCAACGCGGAACACTATCCTCGCTTGACGTATCCTGAGGTCTACATCCTCGCTGGGGGCTATAGCGAGTTCTTCCTCTCACACCAGGCCCGCTGCTACCCTCAGAACTACGTCGAGATGGATGATGCGAAGCACCAGCGGACGTGCGAGAAGGAGCTTGGCCGTTTGAGGGCCCGTAAGCAACCGATCCTAGGTAGAGCTAAGACGTTTGCCTTCGAATCGAACACCGCCGCTGGCTCCTCGCCATTCACCAAGCATAGGAGCTTGGATGACTTTTCCCTCGGCTCGCCGTCCCACGATGCTTCCTCTCGGGGTAGAATTGTCACGCTGTGAGCGCCGGCAGAGCAATCAACCCCATCAACCAAGCACGAGCGAATCGGAATTCTTGGTCACACGCGGCCTTCTTTATCGCCGTCGCCTGCATCTTCATCGAATGCCAATGGCCGTCTTACCGCACGACTGGCACGCCAAGCCAAGTCTCCTTCGTCCCCATCTCGGACAGCTAGGCCTAGGGTCAACCGTCTTCTCTTCTTCTAGTCCCGACGACTCACCTAATACTTGCTTTCCCCCTCCTTTTCACACCCCTCTACGAAGCTTTTCTCGAGTTCCCATTGCCGCGAAATCGTGACCATGTTTCCTTTGACTTCCGCGCCCGGTTTTCACACAATCCCCATGCACCATACCACTCACAAGCGAGCTCCATCATCTCGCCCACCGTCTTCATTTTACTCATAGACGCATTTGCAGGCGTGCATATCACACGCCCATCAAGCATCGCCTGCTCTTGCACTTCCAGACAGGACCTGCTGGATCAGGAGCCCGAGCAGGAGCACCTGGAAGCTGAAGGCTTCTTTTATTTCTTACTCTCTTTTTGCACGACGAGGGCTTTCGAAGCCCTTTAATTGCCCCCTTTTTCACATTTTTTCTTCTTTTCTTGTGCGCATACTGCGATTTCTTTCGTCTTTGTCTCCAGCGCCATTGCCTGTTTAGGAGTTCTGGTTGGCTTTACAAACATACTGAATCGTTTGCTCTGCGCGTGGTTTGCACCCTCGACAACACCACCTCTGTTTATACATATCGAGTTCGAGCGTCTGCGTACAATTAGCAGTCTCTATCCTTATCATGCACATACACACACTAGGGCTCCCGGATCCTGTCACGCTGGGAGCCCAAACTATACTGGACTAAGCTGCCCTGCCTGCCTCCAACATAGTTGTTCCCGGAGAGGTCCTTGGCCATAACCAATGGAGCGGAGTTGGTCCTGCGATTAGCACGCTGCTGTGGCTATGGATATCGCTGGCGAGTGGCTTTTAGTTTGTTTCTTCGAAGCACTGGGGCAGGCGTCAGCCTTCCATACTATTTCCTTTGTTTCCTTGATATTTTCGCATCAGGTTCTCATCGTCACATTGACGGGCAGGCCTTTACATTGTACACTAGACTTATTTCTCCTCGACGGGATGTATATTCCCCATGGCCGCTGGTGTGTGGCCGCCGTTTCTGCTTTACATAGCACAATACGAAAGTTGATCCCTGTGCACTCAACGACCCCCTGGTAGGAAACAAGGGGAGAAGAGCCGTGTCGTATTCATTGTGCTGCCTCCCATGCTTGCACGCCTTTTTGAGTAGCTGCTCTGGGTGGCCGTGAAGTCTTAGACTGCCAAGATTGCTTCTGAAATGCTCAGCGTTCTCCTATGCTTACATGTAGTGCTGGTCCCGGTCCATTCAACAATAGCTTGGCAGGGTCATTGGAAAATGCCAAGTACGTTGGGGACAGCACTTTTAGCCCACAGCTTCATCACGCGATTTGGTCTAACACCTCTACCTGGATCAGTGGTTTCATCAACAACGCCGCAAAACCCGTGGAGACATAGATCCATCCATCCATCGATGGATCTACCTATGCATATCAATTGTGATTACTAGTCACAACCCCTGGGGGATACAATGGATCATGTACACTGCGGTTGCGATTTTGTGGGGAAAATTGAATAGATCCATTGATGCTCTCCATCGGTGGTCGGGACTGGCTGACCGCTCTTTACGAAAGAAAAGCTGGGCTGGCCAAGACAGGCAAGCCTCTCACCCCCGCTAGGGTGATCTTCCATCTGATGAACCATCTCAACAATGAATTACAAACACGAAACAGCTTTCAAGATCAGAGTTTTTTTCCTCTTCTTCTTCTTTTATTTTAATCAAGTCTACGCATGTCTTCCTCTTCGAATGGCACACGGAAACAACTTTGATGAGGTGCCCCGTCTTCCGAGATCTTGAGCTCGCGTTCGGGAATACGGGTGTCGGGCTATTGGCCACGCCAGTGAGGGTTAGCAGCGTGGGTTGAACGTTGATTATACCCATGTATGAACAAAATGGTGATATTGGCCCTATCCCTCAAACCTTCTTCTTCGAAATTGGGTGCATCAACGCCCGGCCCAGGGACACCGTAGAATGATTAAATCGAAAGAGGAGGGTGGGAAGAGACCCATACTTCAGAATTGACAAGGTGTTTGGCAATATGTAATTCCAGTGCCTTCATTCGGTCAACTTGTTTAAGGCGCCACATGGATATTGAGGTCGGATGTCGGGCATCTCGAGCTCGAGCTCGCCGCCACATGTCACTCCCTGAATCGATGCCTTGTTTGCTACCTTGTTGGATTTGCCTTGGGCTCAGGCCAGGCAGCCCCTCTCTGATGAACATGAAGTATGGATCAACCTGTTGACGCACCCATTCGTGTGCATGCATGCAGGGTGAGAAGAGAATTTCTCCATTCTCATACATGAATCCATGTACGCTCCGGAGCTCTTGATGCGAGGTTACTCAGCGCCATAGAGGGGGTTGGGCTGAGGATGTGGTTTGGTATATTAAAGAAAAAGTTTTCTCCAGGAAGCAATCGAACTCTGTCGTGGTCTGTTTGTCTTCTTTTAGATCCGGGAGAGAGTCGTCTGTGTCTTTACAGAGAATTGGGGATCCCTCCTTTTTTCTTCTTTTCATCAGGTTCCCCTCGTCCTTTTTTCTCTCTTTCTTTTGCTTCGTCTGCGTCTGCCGCCTCCTTGCGTTGTTACTTCCCTTGTCGTCCCACTTCAAGTGTGCCTCCCGCCAACATTTCCCCCTCTTTCGCCTCAGTGAGCGCTAGCGAAAGAAGGAGGGTGGGAAGCAAAGGCTGAGCAAGCGAAGACGTCCCGCTCCTCCCAAAGCCAAAGGTGGGAAGAGGTGGGCTTGAGGCGAAATCCAGAGACAATCTCTGTGCTGGACTGGGTTGGCTGGGCTGGGTTGGGCTCGGAAGCGAACCCAGAGCTTTGAACACACCAAACGACAGGTCAAGCGAAACATTAGGCCTTTTGCGGGAGGTTTTGGTGGCCAGTGCTGGCTGGACCCCATATTTTGCCGGACCTCCACGCCAATCCCCTGCCTCACTGGACGTCCGTTCGCCAGACGTCACCAAACTCTGGTGCCCTAGTACTCAAGACAAAGGAGCGATCTGAAGTCTGGTGCTGCAGCAGACGAGCTGGGAGCAATTCTGCTTGTCCGAGCTAATAGAGACTTTGGGTCTCTTGGTCTTCAATTCTTTTCCACCCGATCAATACTAAATACTTCGACCCCCAAGTTTCTTCCTCATCTTCTTCCTGTTCAAAACCAGTACCTCTTCGTCATTTAACTCTGTCTCAGCAAAGAGGCCACGTACGCCCACCGCGTTCTCGCATTCTACCTCTGGGCTGGGGCTTACGATTTCTGGTCGTCCAGTCCATGACGGTCAGCCATAGCCAGTAGGACCCGACCAAAAGGTGCTGCCTGGCCTGGGCTGGCGTGGAGCAGAGGCGGCTTGGGCTGCTAAATTTCGGGGGTCCTCGTCTGATTCCGTATCGCTCGGAATACGGGGACCGCTTGGTACATTGTGGATGTAAGGATAACGCGTCCCCCTTCACGAGCTCAATCCCCACCGCACTAGAATCAAGGGCACTCTGGTCCCTTTCAGGACGCCCAGGCACCTGGCATCAATTGATTCATCATTGACGGGCTTGAGGCTGGCGGGTCCTTGGACCATCAGCTGCGTGCACGCACTGGTTATCGGGTCCAACTACCCCTGATTTCCACTTCCCGAATGGGGAACGGCACTGATCAGTCGCCCCTGCTAAAAATATTTTTCCCTGCCCGGGTAATACTTTGTTTTGCCTTGGCTTGCCTTTTCGCAAAGCTGTCCTCTCCGAGGGTTTTGAAGATTGAAACATTTCCTTCCACTTTTCAATATTAACCTTCAAGTGTCACCTCTTCATTTCATCCTCCCCCTTTATAATCTAGTCCTCCATTCTTTCTACCTTTCCCTCCTCTCGCTTTTGGCTTAGCACATTACTGCCAACAATCTTATCAAACCACATCGCCACCTGTTTCCATCCTCCAACACAGGCCTCTTTTTGCTGACGCTTTTTTACTTTGAAAGCCTTTTCGCGACTTTCCATTCCGTTAATTCCGGGTCCACCTTACTTTCGATCTCGCCCAAACCCACTCTACATCCTATACGATGGCTCGCATTCAGATTCCCGTTGACGTTCTCACGTCGCGGCTCAACATTGGAGACCGTATCTCCAGCATGCGCTCCGGTGGCCTGGCTGGTCGCTTCTCGAACCTCCGCCCCGTCGGAGAGTTCTTCGACTTCAAGCGTCTCTCGAAACCCCAAAACTTCTCCGAGGTCCAGTCCCGTGTCAACTATAACCTCGGCTACTTCTCTAGCAACTATGCTGTCCTATTTGTCATGCTTAGCTTGTACGCTCTTTTGACAAACTGGCTCCTCCTCTTCGACATCATCCTCGTCGTCTTCGGCATGTACGGTATCGGTCGCCTCGAGGGACGTGATCTCGAGGTTGGCAGTTTCAAGGCCACCACATCTCAGCTGTACACAACCCTCCTCGTCGTTTCCATCCCTCTTGGTCTTATTGCCTCGCCCTTCAGCACCCTGATGTGGCTAATTGGCGCTTCTGGAGTTACTATTCTCGGACACGCTTCGCTCATGGACAAACCCATCGACGAGGCTTTTTCCGGGGAGGCGGTCTAGGTGGTCGGCCGCAAGCTCCCGATTTTGCGCCCCAGTGGGAAGACCATCGAGGCGCGGGCGGCGGAGGACACATGGGGGCCAAGATTTTGGGACCCGATTCGGCGGGTCGTGGAGGAGGTTGAGACTGATGAAGACGGTGAAGCAGGTGTTGACGCGGGCAGGGGTTTGAGCAGGAGGCAGAGCAGAAGACAATTGGGAATGGACACGGGCGAGGACGGGGACAACCACGCTACATCAAGGGCAGGGTTTGCTTATTACTCAGAAGACGAAGAGGGGGTCTCGGTCGCTATGACGAAGAATACCGCGATGATGATGACGATGACGATAGTTCGGGGGATGATGGAGAACTTGCCGGGGTTGATTTGGAGGCCCTGTCCCCCGAAGAAAGGGATGAGATTCTTTTACAGTCCGCCTACCGGCAGATTCAACGAGCGCAGGAAAGGGAAGCTCAGATGTGCATCTGACCAAGGACGAGCTAGCTGCGATGGAACGGAGGAAGAAACGCATGGAAGAGGAAGAGGCCGCGAGGAGGGCAGCACGGCGAAGGTCAAGGTCACAGCGTATCGCCATACCCTTGTCCCAACTCGAACCGACCTCCTCCCGCAGGCAGAGGGCCCCCTCGGCTGCCGACCTGACGGCTCTAGATCCACACGGTCGCGGTGGAGGGTACCCTCCCATGGGTTATTTCCCACCTCCGTCGGCCCCGAGAACACGGTCATCCACCAACGCATCACAACGCCCCCGAGTCGAGCTACCGATGGCCGGGGGTCGTCGCCCTTTGCTTACACGTATGCGCAACAACAGTCGGCGTCGTCGTCGAGGTACGCATCGGACACCAACACTCCTCGTTCAAGAGCGTCACGTACTCGGCATGGGGAGGAGGGCGAGGCCTCTTCAGGCTCGTCAAATAGCCCTCGTCGATCCGTAGACCCTTCCAGTACCAGGTCTCGGGCCCGCGCGCGCCGCGCGTTTCTGGCGCTGCGGCCGCGTCTGGTACTCGAAGGCACGTGTCGGGCCCGGCAGAGCTCGCTCACGGCGGATCTCGCCGGGTTGTCGCACCTCCTGCTGCAGCTAGGAGGCCGGCGACCCCGGCAGCTGATACGAGCGAAGATTCTAGCGACGACTCGAGCAGCGACGATGACGATGATGACGATGCCCCAGCTATTGCGACACCACCGCCGGCCAGGAGAACTCGTGGCGGCGTGATCGTCGTCGAGGAAGACAAGTCCAAGAAGCCTCCGTCACCGCAAAAGAAACCATCCAGTGGGTCTAATGCTAGCGGGGAGGAGCGAGACAAAGAAGGAGAAGGAAGTGAGTGAGTGCTTGGGTGGTAATAAACCTGTCTCTTTTTTTCCCCGGTTTTGTGGTCTGGCGTTCTCGTGGGAGCCCGAGTCTTATTTGCCCACTTTCTTTCGGCCGGAATGTATTTTTCATAGAACAAATACCCTACTGCCCCCAATTTCTATACCACCTTTTTAATAGCCAAGATGAGTGTTGCCCTTTGAACCTTTTATATTTTTGTTTTTTGTTGGTGAGATACGTGGGAGAGCGATGGAGCGCCCGCACGCTTCCGGTCTTGCCCCAAACCACACTCTCACACCTGCTACAGAAGAAGAAGGCACGGCGTCATCTACCATTATTTACTTGCACTGTCCATTTTGACTCTTTGGAATATGAATAAGCTACCTTGGTTTACCACACATTCAAGCCGTGTGAGATGCAAAAGGAGATCAACAACGATGAAAACTAATAGAACAAAAAACAGATCCTGGGCTCATGAACCTCATCCTTGCATACATATAACGACCAAAAACCCCCACCTTCAAAAATCACAAATAGCCACACCAGCTCACCCATTCTATGTACCTCCTAGAGTGAAATGAGGGAGAGAAAGGGAGAGAAAAAGAGGGGGAGGGCAAGGCCAAACGCAGGGCTGCCTTTCCTGCAAGGTTAGCCGAATATGAGGCGACTCCTTCAAGTAAACATCTTTATCATGCTAGACATGCCGTTCCCCCAGCCATCCCCACCGCCTCCTCCCCATGAAGAAGTCGTTTCGCTGCTCCTCTCCCACCTGAGGTCGCCGTCCCGCCCGCGCTTCGCCTCCGCTGCACCGCCAGCACCGCCAGCCATGCCTCCCGCCATTCTCATAGCCTCGCCGACAAGACCAGAAGAGTCGCCGGCGGCGGCGCGGGTAGCGGCACCGAGGAGTCGCTCAATACCGGCGGGAAGGCGGAGGCCGAAGCGGGCGAGGAGGGCAGTGAGAGCGCCGCCGGTGATGAGGGGCACGAGGACGAGGAGAAAGACTTTCATGGGGTGGCGCTTGGCATATTTGACGAGGTCGCGCAGGATATCCTTTAGCTTTTTCAGGGCGCGGTGCATGAAGCCTTTGCGTGGGGAGCGCTTGTAGTAGGATGAGCGGTCTAGGAGGGATTCCGTGTGAGTCAAGGTCATTTATTCTCCCTGGTTCATTCGACAAAGGAGGTAGCGCGAAGAGGGGAGGCGGAGGGGAGGGGGTATGGTTTACATGAGGGCAAGGCGAAGGGGGTGGGGTCCAGTGCCAGTGGGTGAGAAGGAGGAACAGGGCAAGCGACCACTTACTTCCAAGACCGAAAAAGAGGAGCGGCTTCCGGTTGGAAGACCAAAAATGAAGACTTGGAGCTGCTGTGCTTCTTGTAGTCACCGCCACCGAAAATGGAGCTGCCGCCATGCTTGCCGCTCCCAAAAAGAAGGACGAGGCGCTTCCACGATGGTGATGCTTCGAGTCTCGTGAACGCGACCTGGAGCGGGAGCGGGACTTGGACTTTGGCTTCTTCTGTACGGTATATTTGGTGCGGCCGCTATGCGATTTTTTCGAGACGAGGGAAATGCTGTCGTGATCCCAGAACCCCATCTTGACGGTGGTCGCGCGCTACGAGGCAAGCCTTGCCGCTCTTTCCCCAGATTTTGTTGAGATGTCCCGTCTGCCCGGTTTCTTCGTTTTCTTCGGGGTCGTGGGTGTGAGTGTGGAAGCCACGACTTATGTCTTCTGGCCTAGAGGGATAAAAAAAAATCTTTGCACAAGTTGAGGCGGCGAGGATGCGAGGCGATGTCAATTGCCTCTCCTTTCGGTGCGAAATAATCAACGGAGGGTCGTCGCTGAAGAAGGATTGTCAAATAAAAAGAAGGTGGCTGAAAGTGGAGAGCTATCTTGGGAGCTAAGAGCGTCTGACGGACGGGGGCGGATCTCAAGTTTGCGACTGGGGGTTAGCGCAGAGCGCAAGCGTGCGCAGCAAACGTGCGGATCACAATACAGCACACAGCACGGGAATCTTGCCCGTTTTACCGGACAACACTGCCTTGGTAAAGAATGCGCGAAAAGAGGAGAGCAGAGGAGGAGAGAGACAGCAAAAAGCGATACCGAAAAAAAAAGGCTACCAAATTGGAAAGAATGAAAAGAACGCTCCCAAAGAGGCGAGGGGACTTGGTCTTCTACGGGAGGGGATTGGTTGAGGGTGGTGGGCGCCGCCGGGGAAAGGGGAGCGAGTCGCACTCGAATTTTGACTTGTTTCACCGCCAAATTCAAGAGGTTGGAATGGGAAGGCGGGGTGGAGAACTGAGCCAATTCCCGCTTCACTCCTGGCAGCTGTATACAGCTGTGAGCTCAACTGGCACAAGATGTCTTGGTTGTTCCACAGGAGAATCGTCCTTGCGAGACAATGGAGCAATTGCACTCATCAAAGACACATTGGCCATTGGTCTGCACATTGGTCAATCCATCACTTCACCCGTGTCAAACTAGAGGCGCAGCCTTGCCTGGGAGAAAGAACAGCATGGCGCCGTGAACGGCCACTTCACCGCTTGAGCCAGCAGGAACTCTACCCTCTCATCTGGCCCGCGTGCTTGTACGCGATGTCTCGGTAGCCCTCGAAAAGTAGGGCTCCTTTCGATTACAAGTATTCAAATGTTCCTCAATGGAGCGATGGGCTATAATTCGAGATGGGCAGGCAGGGCAAAGCCTAATTTGGAAGCGGTCTGCAAACATCTATGCATCATTTTGATGGTGAAGCCTCAGGTCAGCAGGCAGCACTCGGGTGGTGAGCCTTTTGGAACTACATCAATTGATGTAGTGCGCGAACCGAACATTTTGGGCCAGCGCACCGGGTTCATAAACTTGTCCCAATAAAACGTTGAGGATGTTAGCTGGAGGGTCAAACAGCGGCGCAATTGGGCCGTATGGTGCAGGAAGGCGTCCCAAAGCATCGATTGATCCATTGATCCCTGTGTCGCCAGGCATTCGTTACGTTACCTTTTTTTCTTCTCCTTGCGCTGAGCTCCCCACGGGCCAGTCACAAAATGATCCATCTTGGATTCTCAAGCGTGTCCGGTCTGATAGCTCCGACCCCGAGCAAGCGATTTTATCGGCACAGACGACTCTAATCACCTGGAGCGGAAAGCAATACACGCTTCCGTAGCCTTCTCCTAGAACACAAACCCCCTGCATCCACAGGAGGTACTCACCAGGAGTGTCTGGTGTAAGCGCTCTCGCCGTTGTTCTCCCACCTCTGTTGTCTGCCCCGATGTGCAAGCGCGCTCGTTTGCGACGGCTCAATGACGCCCAACCCATCCACACGCACGCCCCGCCCCCGTTTGATTTTTCATGCCTCGAGTCTCCCCAAGCTCTCGTTTTCCTACCCAGGTTCTGTGCCATGACATCAACTCGTCTGTTCCGGTGACACGGTTCATGGTCAGAGGCTCATTCCCCAAAGTGGCTGCTCTTTTATCTCTTTGCGTGTGGGTTTTTAATGTTAACAGAGAAGAGGCGAACAAGACAAGTACACACATGCAAGCTTCGGGTTATCAAGAGTCGAGGGAGTCGTCTGTTGGGATGGACATGTCCATGTACTTTTCAACTAGTTTTCGGTAATACGCACGATCCCTATCTCGCTCGGAGTGAGCAGGAATGTGCTTTGGTGCCCAGTGCCAACCAAGCTATACCAAGTCATCACAGTCCGCCCGGCCAGCCTGCTCGCTCGCCTTGCACTTCTCTCGAGCCGCATCTCAGGTGGCGCCCTATTCTTGTCCCCCCTAGGGTTTAAGCCTGGCTTCATTTTTTCCCCTTCATCTCGTTTCTCCTTTGATCACCTCCTCCATCCTGTTTTGCGGTGCCGTCCTCTCCGAGGTTCTCTATAAGCAACTGATATTCCCCTTCAAGTATCCAGTTTCGTCGTTTCTTGACGCCTTTTACACACCTCAACGACTCTTCTTCCAGGTCCCTTGCCAGCCTTCTTCGGGAACCAAAGGGGGAGGGGTTGGCTTTTGGGCTTTTCAAAAGAAGAAGGCGTATACGGGAGAATCGATCTCCCCCAAAGAAAAAAAACAGCTCCCAAAGAAGCTAGGTGCGAATAACACAATCGTCGATTACTTGAACCTCATCATATTGGCGACCTAAGGCGGTTTTTTTTGTTTTTTCTTTCTTGTTTTACTCCACTCCCCTCTTGCTCTTTCCTCAAGTGGTGAGAAGTAAGAAGCAGCGGGATGAACCCGAACCGGGAAAATCAGCCAGGGATGGTTCCGGACCCGATATATCAACCCGGGATGGATGCGAATCGGGAGTATCGACTAGGGATGGGTTCGGACCAGACATATCAACTAGAGATGGGCCCGGGTCAGGAATACCAATCCAGGGCGGCGGTGACCGATTGGGGCGATATGGCTGCTCTAGGCCCAAGTCCCTTACCAGGTTCTCCTTTTATGGCAATACGGTAGAGTAAGTCGTCGCCGATTCCCATGATAGTCCCTAGATGCGCCCCAGGAGTCCCTCCAGGGAGAGAAGGTGGTGAGATATGACCTCCCATGAGCTCGCTAAGCTGATTGAATATTTGCACGGAATAGACGTTTCCACAAAGACCTTGGGGGTATCGAGCCCTTTGAGGAGCAGCTTTCTGCCGGCGCCGTGCCACTAGGACTCCGTCGTACACTCGATCCAGTGACTCTCAACGATGTCATCGCCCTTGGTCCGGTCCTCTCGGGTTTTACTGGGGATCATGACAACCCCAACTCTTACGCGGCGTTGGACACCTACCCGTACAACCCCAACAACCCCTTGTATGCCACCACATCTATGATCCCCGACATTCCCCGGACCGTCTTCACTGAAGCAACAAGTATATCCGGGCGGACACACCAGTCGCCTTATGCTACATCCGACTGTGCTCGCTCGAGAACGGGCGAGCCCTTTCTAAGCTTGAATCCTTCCTATTCCCACTCCGATGCCTTCGGCCCCGTCTCCGACATTGGCTACCAGCCCCTCTTGTCCCCGCAGGACAGTCCCAAACATCGTTTCCCGAGTCGCCTGCCCCTCTAAGCCCGGCCGGCTCCGCACGCTTCTCGTTCCCTTTTGGGCCTTCAACAGCCACCACTTCTGATGTGCGGGGCTACCACGGCCCGAACCTTTTGATTGGGCCCTCTCACCTGAATGAGGGGGGCCTTCTCATATGACAGCGCATCAATCAACGGGGTGGCCAGCACAGACGAGTACCGGGATCCCCTAAGCCTACAGTCAGCGAGTACAGCAACTGCCCACATGGGGTCATGGACTACTCCGGCCATCATTGTCTCATCCTCTGGCCAGATTGGCCAGATTGGCCGGGACGGGACCTCGGCGGGGAGGCCCAATGCTAGTCGCTCCCCGGCCCACAGCTTCTTAGCTCAGCCCAGTCAAGACCTCCCGCCCCTGTTCCATCTCCAAGGGGCAACCAACACCTTCCGGTAATAGGATCGGTCATGCAGCAGGGGGCTCCGAGCAGTGGACCGTACAAGCTGCCGGTCCGACCGGGGACAAGTGAGGCCCCGGTAAGCTTTCAGCGGAGACGCCGGGGTCCACGGGGCCAACCCCCACACAAAAACGAAAAAGTACACAAAAGAGCCTCGGTTTTCAAGGCCAAGCCACGAGGAAAGAGAACCCAGAGGTTATCGGATGAGGCGCGTGCCAATGTCAACCGTAACAGAGAAAACAGGAATACCTGCATGCATTGCAAAATTAACAAGACCAAGGTAAGAAGTTCTAAAGTCCCCTCCCGTACCCTCCCCTCCTGCCTTCCTCGCCGATGATACAGATTTTAATCAATTTTGCGTTTGCTTGACCTAGTGCCTACGACCCTCACCGGAAGAGCCTTGCGAAGGCTGTAAGAAGGTTGCGGCAGGGAACAAGTGGAGCACATTCTGCCACCCGTTCGATTTCTCTGATCTCATCAAGCATGGCTCAATATGCCGTAAGTTGTTCGCCGTGAACCCTACCCCACGCTTGAAAAGTTTTTTCATTCATCTTTTCCTACAATCCTTGCTTCGTTCGCTTCTTCTCTCCTCTGAATTTGCGCCCTCGTGCTTGAGAGCGTCTGGTGGTGAGTAAACTAACACGTGAAGCGCAGCGACCTACGCTCTTCAAGATCTCAACGGCGGAGAGATAAGTCTGCCCGCTGTGGTCGATATACCCGGTCTGTGCAGTATCCTCCGCTATTGCCAGAATGTTTCTATCCGTTTCGGGGACACATCCGCAGACGTATTTAGGATCGACATAGACAAATCACTCCAATACCTAGAGGGCCTTGCCGATCGCGCCAGCAAATACCTTGTCAGCGAGGCCAGCTCGTTAACGAGGTTTAACCTACAGTCGTTCCTTGATTCAGAGAAAGTTGAGGAGACGGGCGGAGGGGTGAAATGGCAGGATTGCATCCATTCCCCAAACGGAGGCGAGAATGACCTGGTATGTATTCTACTGCTGCTCCTTACACCTCGATGGCTCCATTGATGTGTTCATTCAATGTTGGGAGGAACCCGCCCGCTGACAAGAAGCAACCTGCTCCGAACGTTTTTAGCCGTGCGACTTGGTGAAATGGATGAGCGAGCTACGCGTCAACTCATTCGATTTCTGTCACCCCGCAATGTCAAGCCAGTGATTGCCGCCAAGCGCTGGCCGCGCTCTACCGCATTCTCAAGCGGCGCGTCGAGCTCCATGGGTTCGACGCGCTGCAGAAAGCTTTTCAGAGCATTTCCAACGAAGGGTGCCCCATCAAGGCGCAGCGCCTTCCCGGCCAGATAACCAACCTCTTACTCGCGCTTCGTCGGCAATACTGGAGCCTCGAGCGCTACCAGAGCCGCAACGACTTGGAGCCGGTTCGCCTCTGCCTCCGTCGCCTCAGGGGCATGTGCGAGGCTGTGTATTTCCACTATTTTTGTATCTGGAAAAAGCACCCCTCGAGCTTGATAGGCCCAGCGAGGGCCTCAACAGGATTACCAAGAAGTACAAAAGGCCTCGGTGTCGACAGAAGTCTCGGACGGGAACGGACTACCTCTTCAAGTGAGCCAGCAAGGGTTTGAAGCCTGGCTCGCAGCCAACCCGCATGGGCTTGGTGTCGATAGGCGTAGACCCGAAGTTGATGATCCTTGGAATATTCCCTGGGAACATCTTTAGATACACCGAGAGCCCACGAGGCCGGAGGGCTCTTCGTTTGTTTCCTGCATTTCTTGCTTATGTCTCCTATTCTACCATGTCTGTCTCTCTTCTCTCTTTTTCCTTTTTCTCTCTTTTCTCCTTATCTCTTTTCTCTCTCTCTTTCTCTTGCATACCTAGTTCTCCTTCTCCTTCTTCTCCTTCTTCTTCTTTCGTTTATATCTATATAACAACCGGGGTTTGGGGAGGGGTTTTATGTTTCCTTCCACGTCTTTTTCGCCATTTAGCTCTCTTGCTTTATTTTCCCTTCCTTGTTTCTTTTTGCCCTTTACCACACTCCCCTCCTCCTTTCTCACCCACTTTTTTCTTTTCTTTCTTTTCTTTCTTTTCTTTTCATAACACGGAACGAATTTTCTATCATGATTTCACGGTTTACGGGACTGCAACCTCTTATAGCTCAAGATGTGGGAATTAGGCGCTTCCATTGTCTTAGGCGATATATGATATCCAAGACCTGTGGGCATCTTCAACGAATTGCCAGGAGCGTATAAGGACCACATACTTTGAGGTTAGGAATAGACGAAATGGACGCAAGCGCAAGCTGGAAAGGGCATCGAGAGGCAGGCGTCTTACAAATTTGAGAACGGCGTAAATATCATGGCACCAATGTGCCCGCCGTTGGTCTATCGACCCATGGCTATGGCGTATAAGGATAGCGATCGGCTATGCTCGGCAGGATAGTTAATAGTACTTGACTTTTTCTTCCTTCCACAAGAAATCCACCACGTAGGCATTCCTGGCCGCTTATGGTTGCCGACAAGGCTGCTGCTTGCTTGTAGCGCGAAGCAAGCGCGACGTTTGCATCAACCCATACCTCGGTACATCCATGGATCCATTGTAAGCGTAGTTCCGTATATCGAGGCGCTGGTTCACGGTTCAAGGTTCACAGTTCATGGACATCCGTTGGATCCATTCCAGATCAATTGGTAGGAGACTTGCGCTTTCAAGTGCATCGATTCTTTCGGCTTCCCGTATCATGGATGCTTTCTTTTCTCTGCACTCTATGCCTCACACCCTATGCCTATAGTGTCGCACTTGGCAGGGCCAATTCTAGAAGAAATTCGGGACCAGGCCACGGATGCCATTTTACCCAGCATTTCCCGGGCCGCTTTATCAGCCACATGAGCTACTCTTCGTAGAACAATAATTTCGCAGCCCAAGTTAAGCCGTTTCTGATTCGCGCTGGAATAGGAAAGACAGAAGTCATCTATTCGGACACGGGTTCTTGTTGGCGGGGACAGAATGATGCTGCCGCTCCATCGAGGGAAAAAAAAAAAAAAAGAAAGAAACAAAAAAGAAAAAAAGAGAACATTAGGAAAAGAACAACATTGGAAAAGGAACAAGAAAACGGAAAGAACAGCATAGCAGGGCAACAGGGGGCAGAAGACGTGATGGGCCATGGCCAAATGGTATTAGTATTAGTCCGGGATGATACTCTTCATCTAAACTTCCCCACCTCTTCCAAGCTTCCGCATGCCACCTCATGTCCAGCAATCCCGCTAATTAATATCTCCAATACAATAGCGTCGGTACCGTCGCATGTGGAGATGCGTGTGCGGGGAGATACAAGGAGGACGGAGGAAGAAAGGCCAACGTCAACTGGTGGGAATGAAGTACTTTGCTCATCAACATCAACCACCTCGAAGAATGCGTCAGAACTAGAAGAGTGAGTCTGTAGGGGGAGTGGATAGACCACGTCTCTCATCTATATCTCTGACTTTTGTTAGGCATCCAAACAGTTGCAATGGGGGAACGTAAAGACCGGATTCGTTGGAAGAAAAACAAAAAAAGATCATAAGAGTTTTACCAAACAGTCTGGCAGACTGGGGATTTTGGTCTTGCGCCGGCGCGCATCATCAATCCCATTAATTGGGATTGGGATGTACATTACTTGCGGATGTATCGTCCGGCTCGCATCGCCGCCGGTTCGTCCATCCCGAATCCCGCCTTCTTCTTCAGGTCTCCCCACCTTTTTTCCTCCACGGTCTCAATTCCCTTAATCAATTGAAACAAGCAAGAAATGGGGAAGGGAAGGGGTAAAAAAAAACAATCACTATACTCTCTCCGTCTTCCCCGCGCCTTGCCCTCGACCACCGTGACTCGCAAGGGGTAGGGAGGGGCACGAGGCTTGGCTGGTTGAGTCGGCCCTCTAGTAAATTGAGCAGGGTGGATAGATGGGCCATGAGCACCCGTCCATTCGAACCCGCACTACCATCTATATTGCAGCCCGCGGGCCTTGAAGGAAGGGGGGAGGGAGGCAGAAGGGACAGTTCAAAATCTCGAGCGCCCCCCTTTGGCCTGCTCTCATAAGTCGCTGCCCCCTCCCTCCGTCTTGTATCGTGCCTGCGTTTCCCTTCCCCCGAGTTCTGATATCGTCAAGGAAGTCCATTCTTGAGGTAGCTACTCGCCCGCAGATCCTTCCCATCTCTCTCCTAGCCATACCCCCCTCTCTCCCCTTCCTCTTCTCCACCGTCTGCCGTACCTTTGCGCGCGCGCTCCCTCTTCAAGATGATCCGATCTCTCTTCCTCCTCGCCCTCACGCAGTTGGCTTCCGCTCTGCCCGCCGCAGAGCCCAGCTGCCCCGTCGTCTTCGATGGCCGCGTCCCCGCCGACGCCGAGGTCGCCGACTTCGATGCCAACAACGGCGGAGGCTGGATGCCCTTCAACCCCGGCTACGTCAAGGGCGAGACCCTCGAGTGGAGCGATATCATCAAGCTCCCCGAGGTCGCCGACCCTCCCGGTTCGACGTTGAGTCCGGCACCATCCCCTCGAGGTCACTCTGTCCGACAAGTCCATCTTCATGACCCAGAACGGCTTCCGCCGCGCCGGTCTCCAGTTCCTCAAGGACAGCAACGAGGGCAGCCCCGCCACCACCGGCAAGAAGACCATCCACTTCAGCCTGAGGACCGACCCTGCCAGGACCCTCAACCTTACCCACGAGTACATCCTCGTGTGGCACGAGACTGCTGCCTACGACGCCAACCAGTTCAACTTCCAGACCGGCTCCATTCTCGGCCAGTCTAGCCTCCCCGGTGACACCTACAAGCTCCTTGACAGGTCCAACAAGCAGCTCTGGTCTACCCCATCAAGGAGGACACATGGCAGAACTTTGCCATCACCATTGACTACACCGGAAAGTGAGTTCTTTCTCGCCCAACTCCCTTCCTTACATGTGTATCCTCAAGAGTCCTTTTCATCCCACGTAGATTCTGCGAATGGGGCAGAGAAGGGGATAAAATGAACGAATAGACGCTAACAAGACTGGGGACAACAGCACTCTTCAAATGTGGTACTCTGAAGGCGATGCCGAGCTTGCCAAGGCCACTGAGCCCCTCAACAACAACAACGCCGGCGAGGGTCAGTACCAGGTTGGCATGCTCAAGAAGCCTACTGGAACCTCGGACGTCGTCAATGCCGGATACCAGGAGAGCGGCCTCGACGAGGGCCTCATCTATGGCGGCATCTTCATCGAGGACAGCGCGTCCGACTGCGTCTCGAAATAAACCAAAGACGCAGCAAGTCCTCGCGTCATCCAAAATGTAGAGAGAAAGAGAGAACAGAGAAGAGGAGAGAGAGGAAAGAAAGAATTAGAAGGATGAGAGGAAGTGGTGGATTTGTACATGGAATTGAAAGGAGAAACGTACTTTAGTGTATAAAGATCCCTTATATAGCGTACGGCACCCTGTAGATATCAACAATATGCTAGCTTCATCTCTCGAGGCATCCCCGTAATTCTCTCGCGAGTACGTTCACGCGTGTCCGTGGCGGAAGTGTCTCCTACCCCATGCGACACGGCCTTGATGGAGCAAAGTAGAAAAGGGTTATGTGGCCCTTGGTTGTTAGCTATGATTTTCCGTTTGATGTATTATGTAGATACATAGATATGATGCGGGGTATGAACACAAGTGGATGCGCGCCCTTGGGTATATATAAGTACAATGTAATTGATGTATGTTCGTGGCCCCGCGTTATCCTACCGCCCGTCGCTCCTTCCGTAGAATCACCGTAGATATATGCTTGAGATAGAGAGAGAGAGAGAGAGAGAGAGAGTGAGTGAGTGAGAGAGCAGAAAGATGATGCAAGTATGCCGGAGAGATTTCCTGCTTCGCTTCTTGCTGTTGCTGCATTGGAAAATAATCTTCAAAAATGTATTCTTCCTCTTCCCCCTCGGCCGTATTGGTTTCGTTTGACTGGGCTAGTGCTGCCGGTAATCTCCGCCTACAGCTGGTGAGGCGGTCCTGCCATCAAAATGGTCCTCGACATTTCTCAAAAGGCCGGCGTCCTCGGCCGGGTCGTCGTTTTCGAAGTCGCTACCCCCATTTTGATGAGAGGTGGAGGGGGAGCCGTCGAGCATGTGATGTTCGCGCACTTGGGCCTGTGATTCTCTTCGCATCTTTTGGATCTTGAACCAGTTATACGCGGCAATGGCAACCATCGTCGTCAGCAGGCCGGCGAAATTAACGGGCGTCAGCCTGTCGTCAAACACGAGCGCCGCCGCCGAAATGGTGACAACCTCCTTAAAGATGCCGGCAATGGACAAGGTGACAACCGACGTGCGCTTGAGCAGGGCGAACTCGGACGCCGTCATGCAGAATGCGATGCAGCCGGGGAAGAGCAAAAACGCCGGCGCCATAAAAGTGCCCCATTCCTGCTGCAGGGCGCGGATGCCTTCGAAGAGGGGCACGAGCCCTTCCACGAACAAGCCTAGAGAAAAGAGGGATATGAACATGATGGGGGCGAGGAAAAATATGCTGGAAAAGGCGTTGGAGGTCGCAGGGTTGCGCAGTAAGAGAATTTGGGTGAGGGCCCATCGGAAGCCGGAGAAGAAGGCGGCGGAGATGATGAGGATGAAGCCTCCGAGGTGGAATTTCACCTCGCCGAACACCATCATGACCACGCCGATCGTCATAACGCCAATGATGGAGATGAGCCGGAGTGTAGGGGTTTCGAGTCTGAAAATGAATGCAAAGAGAAGCACGAAGGCGAGGGCGGACGATTTACACATTGCTACACGCCCTATTAGCAAACACTGGCACGAAAAGGGAGGGGATAGAGAGAGAGACGGGCGAGACGAGCGAGACGACGAGGGAGAGGGCAGGAGATGTGACATGACTCACTGTAAAATGTCAAGGTTATGAATTTGAGTGAGGTGTTGCCGAGACCGATGTCCAGTCCGGTCGCGGCTCCGCAGGGTGCGATTCTCGTGAGGTAGAACCATTTCGTCATGAGAGGCTGTCGTGGCTCAGCTTCATGCCTGGATCTCCCCAGATCCGACCCCTGCGGATTCCGTGGCCTCAGAGAGGGCACGAGATACAGCACTAGCGAGGCCAGGGTGAACTGGATCAACATATGTGCCGATGTTGTGAACAAGGGAAATGCAAAGTTGAGGCGGTCTTGATCGAACATCCACTTGTTATACTAGAGAGAAGCACGGATTAGCCTCCACGCTGATAGGATGGAGCCGAGGCGCAAGAAAGAGAAAGCAACTTGGCAGAGGGTCGGTCGGTTCTTACCAGAGAGATACTTAAGGAAAAGATATACCAGAGGCCAATTAGGCCGAGATTTATGAGTGAGGACTTCATCACTGCCTTGTCTGCCTCTTTCTTCTCCGCCTCGCTGGTCTGATCCGGCACAATTCTCTGATCCAGCAGGGTATTCTGTGCCTTTCTCCACTTCCTTCGTTCCCGCTCGCGCTTGGTCAGGCCCGTCTCTTCGTCGTCGCGGAGATCGTCGTCGGAAACGCTGCCGTCGCTGAGCTCCCCAAAGCTGGTGGAACCGTCCGAGACCTTGAACTCGTCGTCTTGGAGCGCGCCGGCCCCGGACTGAGAGCGAGCGCGCGAGGCTTTGGAAATTGGGGTGTCGTTGAAGACGCTGCTTCGTCTCCGCCGGTGACTCGTGGGGATAGCACCCATCTCAATATCCTCGGGCACGGTCGAGCTTCCTGACCCGATGTCCCGACTGAGGCGTTGGAAAATTCGCCGGTCCTGTGCGGATTCGTCGACGTGGTCAAGGACAGGGTGGCACCGGAAGAGGCTTGGGAAGAGGATGATGTCGCGTGGCTCGAGCCTAGTTCATCCACGAGCAATTCATCGAGAGGCGATGTCTGGGAATGCGAGGGAGGAGGACTTGAGAGTGGCATGGCCTATTTTATCATCACGCAGCATCGGAAGGTGTGGGGACGAGGAAATAATCAAACACTGAACAGGTATTTCGGGACTGGAGGACTGGACTGGGGGACTGGGGACTCTGGGGGGGACTTTGGGGGACTAGGGAAGGGGGTGAAGAGGCGCGAATTGCTTTTGGGCGGTCCTCGTCTGACGGGCCCGTTGATCACTGCGTGGCTCCGCTTCAAATCTTGCGCTTGTCTGTTGCTGGCTTGGCCTTTTCGGCCTTTAGGGGCTAATTGGAGGTGGTGTTCCCAGGCACTCGCGAGCTCTGGTGCGACCCTGAGCAGGGCTCTTCCAATTCTGGTTACAAACGCGGCCGGTCTCTTTACGCCGCCCCAAATTGCAGAGAGTTTGAACCGACAGCTATTAAACCACTTTCGTCCGGGGCGTGAGCTGGAACCGACAAAAGCTACGGGTACTTGTAGCGACGTTCTCTGGATATCGCGGCCAGCATCAATCCATCAATCCAATGGATGGATCAATTGAATTGATGACTTCACAGGCGGCCAGGGCATAGCTGAACCATTTTCCCCATTCGATCAAGTCAATGCTGGGCTCGTTTCTTGGAGTTTCTTGGCACCGCGAAGAGCAGCAAAGACAGAGAATCTCAAGTTTCAAAGTACTTGGGTACCCTGGATTCGGCTCCCTTGAAGCGCATCTTAGCATGTGCTAAGCTCAATCTGTTCAACTGCACCTGATGCTCGGTCTCCACGGGGTATTAGATGTTTAAAGCTACAGCTACAACTTGACTTGGTAATAATAATCATAGTACAAGCGAGACAGTCTTCCAAACTAGGGAGTTCAGAAGGGTCCAGCAGGACTGGGGAACAGGAGCTGGAGGGAACCGGCTTGCCGGCTTGGTCCTCGGGCTCGGCCCAGGTAGAGGGAGGGACCAGGGACGATTTGGAGGCTCCATTGTCTGTCTGTCTCATGCCAATGGCTTTGATTCGCTGGACCCATCCCTCGACGCCAAAGGGGAAGGGGATTGAAACCTGAGACTCAGAGTCTAGCTCTGCGCTTTCCGCGCTGGCCAGAACTAATCACACTTTGGACCGGGTTCAACCTTACCTCAGCACTTAAGCTGTGGCGTCTGAACGGACGAAGCCACCAAGAGACGAGATGGATCCTGTCCTCTTCCATCAAATACCCACCACCCGCTACCCGCAGCAACTCAATTGGCCGCTGATGACGATGTCAATGCTGACCTTACACCCGTCTTCACTTCAGTCATGCTGAATGCTGCGCATCAATCGATCCTGTGTAATCCTAGCCTGACATTAGCGATAACCGCTGGCGTGTTTTACAAGGAGGCAGTAAATAATGCGACCCGATTTGTCGAGGTAGACGATAGGCTCTCTCGTGCCTCTGACTTGGCCTCTACTTATGAGCGTTGGAGAGAGAAGGTTAGAGAGTGCGCGGACTGTAGAGGCGCCGCGCAAAGTGAAGTAATGGATCCATGGATATCTATCTGTATTGACTGCTCACTACTGAAAGCGGAAGCCTGGTGTCTGTTTTCGCCGCCCTGGCAATCGAATAAGCCTCAACGAGATGAAAACTCCACGCGCCGCAAAACAAGGTAGACCCCCATCCGACCTCCCAATTTCGATAATTAATCTACAAAACAACGAGTTCTGGCGCCTGCTATTGAAATCGATATCCCATGTCGTGGTTGTGCTTTAAAGTGGACCGGTGCGCTGGAGCGGCTAGCCGAGCAGCTTGAGACCATTCTTCATCTTCTGGCCAGGTTTATGGACCCCGCCTCCGGGCCTTGGGCCAAGGTTTGGTTCATAGCCTTGCTGTTGGTTGTTGTTGTTGTTGTTGCCACCGTTGTTCTTGTAGTTCTTTTTGTTCTTCTTCCCTCTGTCCTTGTCCTTGGCGGCAGTGGGCTTGATTTCCGTCTTCGCCCTAGTCACGATTACCGGGTGGCTCTGGATATACTTGCCATTCATCTCCTTGGCGGCTTGAAAGTAATCGTCAGGATCGCTGAAGCTGACAAAGCCATAATTCTTGGACTTGGAGGTGCGCTTGTCACGAATCACTCGCGCCTTTTGGACGGATTTCCACCGTGCAAAAGCCTTTAGGAGAGAATCGTCCGTAACCTCGCCGGCCAGGTTTCCGACAAAGAGTCGCGGATGGCTGGGATCCCACTCTAGAAGCGTATCGTCGGTCCACTTTTTGCCACCACCTTCTCGCACGACCGTTTTCTTCTTCTCGGACGTTTCCGCCGTCTCTTCAGCGTTTGGTGCGGCGGTGACGGGGACTGCATTGGCCGAGGTAGCCGCACCGCCGGATCCTCGATGCACGCCCCGACACCCATTGCGTCCTTTCCCGCTGAGGCATCCTTGCTCACATAAGCGCTTTGCCACTGTGCGTATTGCGCCGCCATCTCGGCATCGTAGCTGTCGGTGCCGCTGCTGGGGGCAGGAAAAGGGTTCCGGATCTGGGGGCGCTATACGCCGCGGCGCCGGCGGATGTGCCATATCCTCCGTTCGATTGTTGGTGATTAGAATGAGGGTAAGAATAAGCTTGCGCTTGCGCTTGATACGGCGCCGAGCTCACCGCGGACGCCGGCGGCTGATACGATGAGCGACCATACTGTCCCGCTGACGCCGATGCGATGGGTGCTGTGCCTGGGGCGTACGCGGTTGGTGTAGAGTATGAGGGGGTTTGTTGGCGGACCCAAATGCGGGCCTGAACCCGGTAGATGGCTTCGAGGATGCAGGAGGACGCGCTGGCAGCGAGGGATGCGATGAAGAGCCCCCGCGGGGTGGCCGGAAGCTGTAAGACCTGGAGGTGGTGGATAGGACATGATGAATGAATGGCCTTGCAGAACGAGGTTTCTTGTTTTGGATTTGCGCAACCCCTGCAGCACGTACCTCTGAGCTATTTCCCGGCTCAAAGTAGAATTGTTTTTCTCCTTTATTAGGTCCTCCGATAACCTGTTTCTGTCGTCGTATTGATCGTTCGTCCCACCCGAGGAGATTGGTGTTGCTCGATGCGCTAAAAGGGAATGGCAGAGGGAGGCAAAAAAATATCGCCGTTTATTCTTAGGCTTCGAGAAGGGTTGGGATGGGTAGAGCCTACAGCCTATGTGGTGATTGATGACCTTGGATCGGATTTCAAGGATCGGCCCACACAGATGCCTGATGACTAACACTTCAATCAACCTTGAACATCTTAGTAACTACTTGTAACTACCTGGTCACGTGAAACGGTGGGTCCTCTCCCCTTGTCGCACGGGTCGATTGTAGGTTAGTTTCTGCATGGCCAATCGAGCGCCTCCGTAGAGTGAAATGTCGTGTCGCGCCTTGTTGACAGGAGAAGGTTACCAAATTATCTCTCCAACTGCGGCCTCCATTATCCCCATCACCTATCAAGCCCCATCCAACGGCCGCTTACCAAGGGTGTTGCAGTTGTCTTCGACAGCCTATCAACCCTTTTCTTTTCCGACTTTTATTTTCACTTCTTCTTCTCCTCTTTCTTAATCTTCTCCCTTTCGAGTATCGTCCAAGTCCCGCAGGCGCCAGCGCTGCAAAATTTGCGACCATGGCAAACATGCCGCAGGATCCAAGCTCGGGGGTTCATCAAGACCTCGTGAGTTCGCATGTTCTAACATCATTACTAGCTGGTTTGGCTTTCTAATTGTCTCCGTAGCTGCCCCACGCGCATCTTGTATCGACCCATCGTTATGCGTTGATGCCCAGAGTTGACCTCCCGGATGTTGCAAAGTGGCTCATGGATGCACCCCGGATCGCGAAAAACCAGAGCCCCTTTCACTGGACATACCTTGACGGACCTGTTGATGGCACAATACTCTTGACTTGGCAGCCGTTAGCACGGCTCGGTACCAATTTCGCGAGCGATGGCTTCGTCTGGGCCTCGCCCGAGCAGTACTTCAAGCAAGATTTGGGCAATGGCCTTGTATGTATCCATCCACCTAGCGCCTGCACCGGCTTTGCGATGTCTGTAGTGGTTTAACGAAATCGCTTCGGATCTAACTTTCTAAATACAGGTAGTAGAGATATATCTCCAAAAGTCCGGTTTCCTGCCGGGAGAACAAGCAGCCTTACATGCGCGCCGCCGATTTCGTCTCGTCCCTGCCCAAGCCGGCAACCCCCATGCGCCCCAGCCAGATGTTAGTTTGTGGATTGTTCACTACGGGCCCTCGGAACCGAACGACCGGATCCCCGTGAATATGATTCCCTTCGACGAGCGCATTCACGCCTTGATGAATACTCGACAGTACCTCAAAAGTGTGGCCAAATCGCCCGCAAGGACTTTATGTTGTCCGACCGCGTCAATTGGCCTCAAATTGCATTTCCTAGGGAGGGCGGTGGCCGCCAGCAATCATACCTGGCGCCCATGAACGCACGAAGTGTACCACAACAGATGGCGTACCCCCGCAGACGCCGTCAGGTCCCCCGCTAAGCGAGCTCGCCACGCGTCCACGGCCCAAAACCCACCTGCACCTCAGCCCGCGCAGGCCGTACCCGCCGAAGCCGTCTACGACGATGACGAAGATACTTCGCGAGGAGACATGTTTGACCAGCTGACTGTGCGCGAGATTGCGCTGAGCCGCTATCAGCAGAACCACGAATGGATGGAGGAGATTCTATCGTCCGCCTACCGCATCGACCAGATCAGCCCCCTGACTTGGGTCTGGGGTTCAAGGGCCAGCTCGCCCCGCTTACTGATGGCATTTTCCTGCCCAGGGTGGGGAGGCGCCCGAACACACCATTGATAGACCGTATGCCACGAGTCTCGATCCGAAGCTTACGGAAGAATTTCGGAAGCGGATAACTAATTTCATGGAGACGTCGAAGGCGGAGATGGAGACGATGAAATCCAACCACGAGCAGGCGTTGGCGCAGATCAAAGTGAGCGCCCTCATTGTTCAGGCGGAAAAGGAGTTGAGGGATACAGTGGATACTTCAGAAGAAGAACCCTGGCGCCTCGAAGGGAGGGCCGACGACGCCGACGAGGACTCCAATCGATCGTTGCCGCGGAAGTCTGGGAGAAAGATGGATGACATCGTGTCTGAAATTGAGAGCCGCCTCAAGCAAAAGACTCGCTCGGTACGTCCTGTAGATCGAGTTCAGGATGGGGGCTATCAACCACCCGCACCAGAGCCGGAGCCAGAGATTCCCGCGCCAGCTCCTGCTCTACCTGCTCCGGCAGCGGCGCCTGGCGGTGGCGCTTCCACCTCAGGACAACCCTCGGCTGCCCCATCGCAACAGGGGGAATGGGAATGGATGACCCCGACCTTGAGATGGGTGGTACTGCTGGGGAGCTCCTCAGCCAGATGCAACCAGGCGTCTCGTCTACTTCCACCCCAGCCGCTCACACTGCGTCCGCCCTCCCTTCCGCAGTTGCGACCCCTCACGACATTGGCATCCCATCCCCCGCAGCCCAGCCCGCCATCCCCGAAGAGAGGACCGCTCAGCCCGCTGCTAGTGACACTGTCATGGGAAACACGGATTCATCCGCCAAGGCCGGCCCTCAAACGGCGCCTGACCAAGGTACTGGAAGTGGCGAGTGGGTCATGGTACCAAAGGGGGCGCATCGCCGGAAAGCAATGCCCAGGCAGCTTCAGCATCCGGGCCGGCGTCCGGATCGAGGGGAACACCAGCGGCTGCCTCAGCAGCTGGTTCCATCCCAACAAAACCAGTGTCTGCAGCTGGCACTCCTGTAGATGGCGGCTCAGCGTTTGAAAACGACTTCAGCTCGTTGGGTGACTTGGACACAGCAGGCGACGCTCTGGCAAATTACGAGGCGCCTAGTGGCGCTGACCTTGGTGACGGGCTCGACCTTAATATGGACATGGATGATTCTGCCTTTGGCGATGCGTTCCACGGGGTTTCGCAATCAGGAACACCCGCTGATGGCAACCCCGATGGTATGTGATAATCGCAGGCAGTCACTTGACAGCCTGGACCGGTTATTGCTCTTCTTCTTTTTCCCTCCCTGGGGCGTCACTCAAAGTGTGAGCCTCTTCTTTTCTTCTCTTGTCTGTTATGCGTTATTACCTGTTGTAAAAGGACTGGCGTCTTTCCTTAGCGAAACGTTGGTTTCGCCCGTTTTTATCTATTTCCATTTTTCGTCTCTTTGTATCCCCGAGATTCTCTTCTTGTTTCTTTTTCCTTGGGGTGGGACGGTGGAGGGGAGCAATTCTGTACAGATAGGTATCAATTGATATTCGGCGCCGCGCCAGGGTTTGGATGGCGGGTCTGGTTTGTCAGGAGCGTACATGTAGTCAATGATGCATCCATCCATCCATAGATCTATAGATCCATAGATCCATTGGATCCGTAAGATGAAAGAGACTATGCTTTTACAACTTCAAGTGGCATGTCTAGCTTGTGTCGACGCGAGCCGGCCTCAGTTTGCGAGGTTTTCTTCTCCAGGGAATAACGTGAAGCCATAACGTGAGGCCAGCCAACACATGCGAAACTCTAATTTTGCCTTTCCACTAAAGAGATTGAGGTGATGCCAGGGTAGCGTTACTTAGTTTCATCATCAACCTGCCGTGTGGACACTCCTCGCCCAGCTAAAATTGGGTGACCCTCTATGACATCACTAGATGATTACATCAACAAGGCGCAACCAGGGGCTCGCCGGATCTAATGGGTTCCGATCAGAGCTCGCGCTGGCGGCCGGAGTTACGAAGGTAGTCTTGGTAGTGTCGAAGAACTGCGACGAGCTCCAAGCCTCGTCCAACATCAAGAATATTTCACGTGTGTGAGAAGCTCGTGTGCACCGAGCTCGAGCCAAAGAGGGAAAGCTTTGTGGGATGACGGCCCCCAGGACTTGAATTTGTGCCCACTGGCCCACCTAGCAAGAACCCGAACTGGAAAACCATCCGAGAGGGTCGAGAGGAAGTAAGTATCAATTACCTTGGACCATGAAAACAATACATTGATCAATCAACCCGACGATACGCGATGCGAACAGCCCGGCTGCCTGGCCCTTTCACACTGCCCAGAGCAGCGAGTGATGGGGTATATATATCCTTGATTGGCCATGACGGACAATAGCGGCATGCAATTGCGGCGGACGTTAAAACTGGGCGGAGGTCTCTGGCTGTGGAGTAGCCGCCGGAAATTGATCAAAGCGTTCAACTCTTTCAACAATCAAGCGTCCATTGGATGTAGGAAGTCATAGCATAAATTTGCACTGACCTTGGAATGACAAATGCGTTCTGACTATGCTTTCCGTTCTCGTCTTCTTCCGCTGGCACGGAGTGTTATTGGGCGTGTTTATGTTTATCATTTTCTCTAGGATTCTTTGTCCATGTAGTCAGAGCCAATGCGTGAATGGTGCGTCCAAAATGGGATCCTGGACAGGGAGCTTTGGGGGCCGCGGATGTGATAGCTATTCTCAGCCATTCAAACAACATTGAACCCCTCTCTCCCTCCCCCGGTGCTGGCCGGCCTCTCCCGCCCTGGCGCTGAGGCGCTGAGGCGGGAGGCAGCTCTGGTAAGACATTCATGGGTTCTGTCGGAAGCGCCAAAGCCGTCCTTGATGGCAACTTCAAGCTCCTTGCTCAACACCCTCGGGAATGCAGCGAATAACATCGCGATTGGCAGGGACAGGCACAATTCCATACCCCACCCCGCTCTTGTCCAGATTCGGCTGCCTCTTCAGCCTGCATCGTCGAAAACTAGCAACTGAGCGTAGGAATACGAAAGAATGGCTGTTTGTGTCTAGTCTACAGTATCGATTTCCTTCTTGGTTTCATGCGTCCCCCTCCTTAAGAGTGCCTCTCGGGCCTTCTTCTGTGGGGGTTCCGGGCAGGCTGAGCTGTAATGGATATTATATCGTTCTTTTTCATGGAAAAGGAACATCAAAGGGGAAAAAAAAAGGAAAAGGGAAAACCCTCTCGGGACTACGCTGCATATTGCCCAGGTCGTCTCTACTTGCAATGTACGAAGTACACTGTGGCCTCTAACCTTACATCCAAGGATGTATGCCAATATGCCTAGGCGATGATGAACAGCGAAAATCTATTGGGGGAAGGAGGGAAGCGACGACCCATTGAAGAGACCCACAGATGGATCTCGGAATGCCGTTGTGTTCGTTCTATGGCCCAGACACTACTAGCGCCAAGTGGGAAAGAACATGAGCCTTGGTGAAATTCACGGAGCCGTGGGACGTGCGTCGAAGAATATTGAAGTCTCATGGACACTGCCGAACGGTGAGCCGCCGTTCGCCGCGCACCGTCCACGGCTCTCTCCTCAACGCAACGGCTTCGCTCTCTGATTGGGAGGGTCCGCTATGTACCCTCGGGTATTGCCCCGCCGCCTTTCTCACCTGCCTTAAAGCTTGGGCGCTCGGTTGAACCTGCACTGAGCACGCTTTGGCAGGTTCGAGATGAGGGTGTCTCGTTCGACCTAGGAAAGCAATGGTAAGAATCCCTTTCAGTGCACACTCGGAAGGAATCGGCGGTGAAATTGAAGTGTTGGGTCGTAGTGTTTGAAGAGACTCGTTCATCACCGTAGAGTATTCGAGAGTAAGCTGGAGGGTTGGAGGGCAGCAAAGGGACATGGAATTGATTGTTACATCAAAATTTCCATGAATTTGGTTTAGGGCTAGCGCACTTGGGCCTAGAGTCTAGGTTGTTTGCCAGCGAAGAAATCAGAGCAAGTGTTGCAATTCAGACACTCTGAAACCCCTCATTCTCTCTGTTTCTCCCTTCCTCTCTTCCTCACGACCTCCTAGAAAAAAAAAGAAGATGGAGACGAAGAAGAAACAGGATAAGGATAAAAAGGCAACAGTGGTGGCAAGAAGGATTACGAAACCGCCTCTCAATGTTAACCGACATTTGAGGTTTACCGCGCGCTGAATCATCGCCATCGTTACATAAATATTCTAGAAGCTACGGCGAGCTAAAACTCAAGGAGTGGAAATGGAGTTGGTGGCTGGTTAGCCAAGTCAGCTTCATGCTTATATCCAGAACGCAAATCAGTTGCTTGTGACTGGTCTTGCCACGCTGGGAGAGCTTGCTTGAGGCCCCATCGCACTGGAGCTCACTGGCATCATATCGAACTTGGTTGGGGGTATCAAGGCTCGCAAGCTGCGAACTTGATCCTCTCCTCTTCACCTCACTCATCATCGAGAAAAACGGAACTTTGAACACCGACGATGGCCTGGCAATGAAGGTTAATTCAATCTTTTTTCATCACATCCACCATAGATCAATCGGGGACCGACGCTCGATCGCCCGCTCCGCTTTTTACTTGACTGTTGTTGCATTACCATTTTCTTTTAGCGGCAGTAGCCACCCCGCCCGCCCGCCCGCCAGTTTCAATCATTCAACCCTCAGATACCCTGGGCTCTGACGTGACAGACCCCACCACACACACCAGACACGACCAGACTCAAGGGACTTGACAGATCCATCCGAATACTTGGAAGGTAAGCTAAGCTACCCCTCACCACGGATTACTTCATTCCTGGTGGCCAAAGTTGCGAGCCGCGCTGTCCTCCGTTTTGATATCGCTCTCGGCTGGATCACTCTCTCATCACTTCATGCTAGGCTCCCTTGGCTCCCACCTCGCAGCACATTTATCTTCATATTCGTCCCACCACTACACGGCCGTCGGATGAGCACCTACTAAAACAGAAAAAAACCAGTGTCCCAATACGACACTCGACGCTGAGGTTGACAGATTAATCAATCGCACGTCGTCTTCTCCTCCTCTTGCACACCCCTCCCGCGCCTTCCCGCTTATAGCAACCCCGACACTGCCATTTGGTCCCGTTTCGACCCCTCGATTGCTCAGCACCAAGCCCCGCCGAGACGACCGATCTCAACTCCCTCAACTGCTCCTTCTCCACGTAAACAGCTAAATAATCCAGGACCACCCCCACCAGGCCGCGCTAGTGCCAGTAACATTTCTTTTGTCGACCCTCTCTCCGACCCCTCCGCGTCCTCTTTTCTATTTCCATTTCTTTTTACACACACTCATACACTCGCACTCAAACTCTCACACACACACACACACACACTCAGACACGCACGCACCACACGTAAAGCACTCACAGATAGTCACATACGCACGTCTACACACTCACATTCACACACACACGCACACACACTCTTCTCCTCCCCTCTCCCCTCTCGCCTCGCCACCTCCACTTCCGCCACTTCTCCAATTTATTCCCTTATTCCTGAACAGACATCGTCCAAAGAAGCCTCTTTCACCACAACCCCTTTCGCCTACCGCTACCGCACGCACGCACCACACCTCAACCTCGCGCGCGCCAACATCCCACCGATCTGCGCCGATCTTGTCGGCCCCTCATCGCCCCTCCTTCTTATTAACCACGACACGGCGAAAGTAAGCGGAAACTACAATCGACTCGCGTTTTCCCATCTTGTTCTCCATTTCATCTCACTGTCAATCGTCCCTTATTTCGGTTTTCAGTCCTTGGGCCTGGCTCGGTCCGGATTATTCTCCAGGAACCTGGCAGTGAGGGGCGGTCGCCAGTATGACGGGTTCAGATGCTCAAGGCGGTGCAGGCCCTGACTTGCTGAAGAGAGCTACTCAAGCGCTCATGATGTCCAAGTAAGTCATCGAATTTTCGCATCTTTTATCTCGCCCTTGGGGATCTTTTGCGTGTCCCGTCCAACTTCTCGTTCTGCTTTTTGTATCCTCTTCTCCCCTTCTTCATTTTGCCCTGCCCGAATCATCTCAAGTCCTGTATGGAGCAAACGCCTTGGGGCTTGTAGATGGGTACTTGAACCCGTCATTCATCGGCCTTGGTGTGGTTGATATTCCTCCTCCCTCTTGTCCATCCTCGGCGAGGTTGAGATCATAGTACCTGACCAACATCGCACTTTTCTTTTTCTCTTTCCTTTTGCTTCTGCAATTGCCCCTCATTTCAACCCGATAGAATCAGTCAGGTCATGTTATCATGACCTGGCGCTCTTCGTAGTGGTTGACCAGGGTGTGGCATCAGCCACGGATGCATTTATCCTAGTGCCCTGTGGCCTCTCTGAAGTTCAGATGCTGGCGTCTCCACAAAACAACGAAAAGCTTCCAGAATGCTGTCATCGTATTTAGCCAATATATGATATTGGCTACAGCCCTTCAAGCTATTCCTGGCACCCAGAATCATGGGCTATACCACCTGTAACCAACCCAATCAACCCAAGAGGTTTCTTCCTTCTCCCCCCTTCCCATTTTTTGGAGTTGAGGGACGCTCTTTACCGCCGCATCAGCTTCCTGTCCCTGTTCATGACTTGTGGACCTTTCTCATACCTAGTGGTCGTCTGAGCGACAAGAGCTGGACCGAGGCGAGGAATGATGTCTTATGTCTCAGCGTCTCTTCACCGGTCTCTGTTCGCCTACTACCCGCTTGGCGCTGAAATTTCAGGACAATGAAGCCTGCGCTATCCGCGATGGAATCTGGTAGCAGTAGGAGGGCTGAGGAAGGGCATGGAAGTGCTTGCAGAATCCGCCCCCGCCATGCCTCAACATCACCCAGGATGTGTACGACTAAAAGAGGAAGCGACTTTGCTCGGCGTTGAAACAACCCTGGGATTCTTCCTTCGCACTCGTCCTCGTCAACCACTAACCATCTGGTCAAGCCTGGATCACTCGGTGTTGTTGCGATGGTCTAGAAACACCTCGGTCACGACTGGCGTGGATCTTACGGGTGAAGTCAAGTGTCGACATCCCGATTCACGCAGTGTTGTGTTTCCAAAATCACTCATACGACTGTCGTTTCCGTTGCGCTACCTTGGTCGGTGTTTGCGGGCTGTCCGTTGATGCTAGTCGCAATTGAGACGGTACAAAAATACCTAGGCTCCGTTACCACTATCACTCCAACGCCCTCTGGTGTTCGTTGTATATTGTTCCTCTTGGAATGTACCGCACTGGGGTGGCTTCCTGAGCCCCGGCCCCATGCCTATAGTGGCATCGCCAATTCTCACTTGTCATCCCGTTGAGCCGTCTTTGGTCCATGTACCGGGCCCCTCCGATTTTGTGCCCACAACAAGCACAAGCGCGATATACTTTGCGCTATCTGCTTTGGTGTCATTGGCGGCCCTCATCATCATGGATGACTGAGACTTCAGACCCTCGGGACCCCACTCGCTCCCTCCTCGGCCACATGGCGAGCCAGCATCAACGACCAGGGTACTTGCCGGGATAAAAATTCCCTGATGGACTTCCTCTCCTCATCTTCAATCGCACCTCTCCCCTTCATGCCTCCTCCTCGCGGCCCGCGTTTCGCAGCATCCCGCAGCCATTGACAAACTGCTTCGAAATCAAACCTAGCTGCTGCCGGTTTTTCAAAATCCTGTCCAAGTCATTTCGAGAAGTCTCCGGATGCTCGGCTATTCTGCCATCTCCAACACTCTCCACCCTCGAACACTCTTGGCTCCGTCATGAGCTAATCGTTTTGGCACATATTTTTCCCCTTCTTCTTTTGCGGTGGAGGAGCACCCTTGAAGGCTTCAATTCTCGCCAACTGCCTGCCTTCATCGTCTTTCTGTTCCCGTTGCTTTTCCTTTGCCGGAGTCTTCCCCCTTCCTTTTTTCTTCCTTTCCTTTTTTGCTTTGCCGACTTCAGATCGCACGTATCCTTTCTTTGCCAGCCGCTTCTTTCCGTCTCCGTGATCCCCGTACCCCGCCAGCCGCTAGTCTTGGTCACTCTTTTCCACACACGCCCGGCAACCAGCTCCCACAATGGACAAGATTAACCAGACTACCAGGACCGTAGCGGCAGCTGACGAAGAGAGCAGCGAACATCTCGGTTATGAAACGCCTCGCTCGGGAGTCGCGACTCCGCGGCCTGACTTACACGACAAGCGATTGCCAGGCATAGCCACAAATTATGGCCAGGTTGGTCCAGCCTCTTCTATCCAAGTTCCAGTGTCTACCATCCATGGCAAACACGATTCTATATTGGAGGCAGATGAGAGAGCGGCGAGTGGCGTGCACCAAGTTTCTCTAGAGACTAGTAGGCTGCACCCTGCTTCGCCAGCCGAAGCTCTTCCTGCGCTGGTTGATGGTGATGACATCTCAGCCGCGCAGCCTCAGATGGCATCTACCCAAACACATCCACTCCCATCACCACCCACATCACAGCGATCGTCTTGTGGCCCGTCTGACCTCGGCGTTGCAGCAGCTCCGGGAGGTCTGAACCTAGCTCCCTCTGCTGCACACCGGTTTCTCGTGAGCCATTCTGGAACAGATGGGCCTTCTTTCCCTTCACTACCCAATTACCCTCGAACAACGCTGCCCCATTGACGAGCGTCGTGACTGCGCAGGCGGTTACCCCCTCTATCCCTTCTTCACATGATTCGGCGCGTAAAACCGCCATTTGCCCCTCTCCCCTAGTCGCTCCCATGGCTCCTCCACAAGCACCTCAAACAGCACCCCCTACACCCTCCCACTCTCGTGCCAGCTCCGCAAAGTCGGGTCTCAGAGGATGGTTTTCTTATGACAGCGTCAAAATGCTGACCAAGGCTTTCAAGAGCGGCCCCACCACTCCTACGAGAGCCCTCTCTGCCGCCCAGCCCTCCCAGGCCGATCACAAGAATGGTTCGAGCTCCATGTCCATCACCACCGGCCTTGATGTTAGCCGCTCGCAAACCCCCAAACTGCCACCCGGTGCTCAGGCTCCGGCTGCCAAGGGCAAATTAACGATCAAAATCACGGAGGCGCGGGGCATGAAGAAGAGCCGGGACCCATATGTTGTTGCTGTTTTCCAGCGGAGCGAGCTCATTTCGGGGCCCCCTAGGCCCGAAGAACCCGAAGAAGTCACCCCTCCCGTGCCAGTCTTCCCCGCCATGGGAGGACTACCCATCCAGCGGCAAGGTAGCGATTCGGGTAGGATCCCTATGGCAATTCCCATGAGAAGTCGCCAGAGTAGCAACACGAGTGTTACGGACTATACCAGCTTCAGAAATAGGAATTCCCGCAAGTCATTTGCGAACCCAAAGTGGGATGCCGAGGCCATTTTGTACGTTGCCATCCCTCATCATTGCCAACGAGCATCCTCTTTTCCCTTTTTTTTGTCTGCATATTGCGATTTCTAACTATTTATTATAGTGATGTCGTTGACTCGGATCTTTTGGTGGATATTTCCGTGTACGATCACGGTGCCACTGGGGAAAACTTTTAGGACACGTCGATTTCCAGGCAAGCCTTGACCCCGACAAGCCGATCGGTGGATGGTTCCAGTTGCAGGGCCACGCCGACACGGACGCGGAAAACATCCCTACCGGAGAAGTTTATGTCCAGGCCAGTTATCAGAAATCGGAGAGAAAACACCTCGGGCCCGAAGACTTCCAAATTCTGAGGCTTATCGGGCGTGGGACTTTTGGCCAAGTCTATCAGGTGCGAAAGAAGGACACGGAGCGAATCTATGCCATGAAGGTGCTGTCCAAGAAAGTGATTGTGCAGAAGAAGGAGGTTGCCCACACCGTTGGTGAGCGAAACATTCTTGTACGCACGGCCACGTCAGACTCGCCATTCATTGTTGGCCTCAAATTCTCGTTCCAGACGCCATCTGATCTCTACCTCGTTACGGATTATATGTCCGGGGAGAGCTTTTCTGGCACTTGCAGAAGGAAGGTCGCTTTGACGAGAAGAGGGCCAAGTTCTACATTGCAGAGCTCATTCTTGCTATTCAACATTTGCACCAGAACGATATCGTGTATCGGGACCTGAAACCCGAGAACATTCTCCTAGACGCCAACGGCCATATCGCTCTCTGCGACTTTGGGCTATCAAAGGCTAATCTCACTAAGAATGACACGACCAACACATTCTGCGGCACTACCGAGTACCTTGCCCCCGAGGTCCTCCTCGATGAATCAGGCTACACGAAGATGGTTGACTTCTGGTCTCTCGGCGTCCTCGTGTTTGAGATGTGCTGTGGCTGGAGTCCCTTCTATGCAGACGACACCCAGCAAATGTATAAGAACATTGCTTTCGGCAAGGTTAAATTCCCGCAAAGGGCACTTTCTCAGGAAGGAAAGAACTTTGTCAAGGGTTTGCTCAACCGGAACCCGCGCCATCGACTTGGCGCCATCGACGATGCAGAGGAGCTGAAGAGACACCCTTTCTTTGCTGATATCGACTGGGACCTTCTCACTAAGAAGTTGATCACCCCACCCTTCAAGCCCAAGTTGAAGTCGGAGACCGATGTCTCTTACTTTGACCCGGAATTCACAAATGCTCTGGATAACAGCGGATCTCTCCACGAAAGGGCTGCCGCCCTGGCGCGGGGCTTCACTACATCTACGCCCCTATCACCTTCAGTGCAGGCTAATTTCAAGGGTTTCACGTACGTCGACGAGAGTGCACTTGAGGAAAACATGAGAGAGAGATATGACGACGAGGACATGAATGATGTGCATCAAGACAACCGACGCGATGATGACGATGACTGGGACAACCTGGACGACATGGATTTAAGGCGAGGGGGCAATAGGATGAGTGGGATTGTCCGTACCAACACTACAGATGAGCACATGATGGGCCACTTCGAAGATTAGCCCGTTGTCATAGCCAGTTGAAGCAACCCCCTCGTTGAGGATGGCTTGTCACAATCTCTCCACATATCCTCGTCTTGTTCCTGTCCTTCACAGCCCTCAACTTCCAGTAGAGTCTCTCACGACGATGAAGGAGGCCTACTTTTTTGTCCACGTACTCGAGCGCCTTTGGCATCAGCAAATCTTCCCTGCTCCACCGTTGACTTGCCCCCTTAGGCCATGAACCTGGAGGAGACGCTTTATTCTCGCCCCTTTTAGGTGGCGTCCGGACGCGCCACCCCTGCCCCATTCTCAAGCTAGAAGAGAGAAGATAAAAATCTCCAGAAGGGGAGTTGAAGGTGTGGGGGTAAAACAACTGGACGAGTATGAGAAGGACGTGTCTTGTTGCACATTGTTGTGCACTTACACCCTTTCGCCTTTCGCCCCCCTTCTCTTGGGCAGAGGCAGTTGCCTCTCTGCTTTGCCTGTATCTTGCAAAAGTGGATCGGGCGGAGGTCTCAACATATATCGCCTAGTGCTGAGTCTAAATGCTCCAATCCATCCCTCTTTTCTTCTTTTTCTTCCTCTTTTTTCCTTGTTTTTGCTTGACCCTTTGTTGTTGCCTTTTTATTCCCCTCCCCTTCCACTCAGCTTCGGTTTCCAGAAACAGACTTGATGACATACGACGGAAAGAAAAAAAACACGGCATACTTTGCATAGGGGCGGCCGGTCTTGCATTGGGTGAATCAAAGGGGCTTTTAATGTGTTGCACGTGCCTTTTGCTTTCCTCGCTCTTCTTCTACATGCGGATGGCCTGGCGTTCTACTCATCCTCCTTACTTTGCCTTTGCTTACTCTCCATATCCCCCGTTCGGATCCTTTTGCACCCTTTTCCTCCCTTTTCCTCCTTTTCCTCCTTTTCCTCCCTCTGCTCGATTTTCTTCTCATAGTCGTTTCGTTTCTTTCCCGACTTTCCTACCGCTTCCCCAACTTGAACCCATGAATGGAAGCCAGGGGAGCAGGGGCTATTCTAGTTGCGGTTACGGTGGCGGTTGCATTCTTTTATCATCAAAAGATGACATGGCGCTTGCAGGAAGTACATCCATATAGCTTATCATGGGATGGTTGATATTGTGATAAGGAGGCTACACATTAACAGAAGTGGACGGGGTCTCGTGTATGATTGTTCCTAGGTTTGGGCGAAAGAAGAAGAAAATACAAACATGAAAGAGTAAGCTCGCTGTGTCTTCGTGACTCGCTTCAACTGGGGTTTTTCTATTTAACTAGGATCACCATCCATCCTCGAGCCCCCAAAAGGACGCGGAGATGATGGGGAACTTCATTACATATGCACTGAATCGTGATTATGAGGGTGGTCACGAGGGTAGTCAGAAAGGAGTGAGTACAGTCAACAAGGCTTTGCGTTTGACAATTCTCCAAGAGAGAGATCTAAGAATACACACGGATTACCGACATCTTTTAATCCCACCTTCTCCTTTCCAAAGACTCCATTCCCTAGGGGTGGCTCCCTGTCCACTCTTTGGATCATGGGCTTCCCAGGAAAGAACGGGCCTCAACCGCCTACACTCTACTATCGGGCCCCTCCATGGCTTTGCTCTGCACATTTCTAGCTCTACAGTCCGGGATCTAGCCACATCTCGCTACTATTTCAAAGAGGAAGAAGAGGGGTCTTTTGGAGTTAACTTTTGTTCTCACTCCCGATTTAGTGAGCAGCGTGCTCCTCGGTCTCCTCGGTCTCGAGCCAGTCTTCGACAACGGGGGCACCGGAAGCGCTAGTGGCGGCATCAGCGCCCTCAACCTCGACAGCCATGCTCTCATACTCCTGGAGGCTGCTGGCGAGATCGGCCTCCTCGGGGGACAGGGGGTCTTGGGGACGTTGAAGACCTGAACGTGGGCATCGGCATCGCTCTCCTTGACGACGGGAGTCTTGTAGGCCTTTAGCTCACGGAGGTAGAGCTCCTGGACGAAGTCGGCTATTTTGACAAGAATTAGAACCGTGGCTCAACGACCTGATATGTGATCGAGCATCATTATTGTTTGCGGAGTAGGTAAGTGAGGCGGGGGAAGAAAAAGAAAAGGCTATCTATCGTGTTTGAAGGATAAGAGGGGTGTGAAAGATGCGAGAGGTCGTCGCGGATATCCCCGCAGGGTCATAGACTTACCCCTTCGCACCGCGGTGGGCGCGACAAACATCCTCGCCTGAGTGGCAGTGGCATAACCCCTAGACATCCTCGAGAGGGTCGAGACGGCCGACCGAGCACCCTAGAAGAAAGAAAACAGAGTTTCGTCAGCCCAGAATTCCGGTTTCAAGCCCATTGCATTGTCTGTGTAGCCAATCCCACAACCCCATTGTTCCATCAATTCGACACCAGGAATTTCGGCTGGTCGCGTCGCATCCGTGATATAATATGAACTCCATTCCAGACGACCATTGGCATCGACGAGTGTGGCTGATGGGTGTTGCGTCGTCGTTCCGTAACCGGGGGCGGAGAAAAGTGTCTGGAAAATATCGCCCATTGCTCCGAGGTCGTTCCCTTGCCAATTCCGAGATTTCCCTCGTAACCAACCATATTCACGCATGGGGCGGACTCGGAAAAAAGAAACGCTGGGCAGGGGGTTAATACGTACGGATGATCGCACAATCTGTTGAAGCATCTTGACTGCTATATTGATCTGAGAGGGAGAAGAGGGCCGGATCGGGGGAGGATTCGATTCGATGTGGTCAGAGGAGAGCGTTTTCCAGCGTTGCGGCTTTGCGTTTTGGGGATGGGGAACAAAGGTTTGGATTTGACGGTTTGCAAGGTGTTGCCGGCCAATGGATCGAGACTTTTTGGCCTGAGGTTGAAAATTCTTTGCATTGCATCACGTGGTTTTTCTTGACGACTACTGAGTCCCAACGCCACGCGGTGGAGGACCGTGCAGGGTGCCCTAGCAAATGGCAGGCAAGTGGGCTTGACCTGCAAGCTCTCACCTCACCTAGAACTCGCGTGAGTCTCGATGAAAGGATCTGGAAGTACAATTATTCATAACAGTATTACTTCCAGGTCCTTTTCACCTATTGGATATCAACTGCTTCAAATATTACGGTAGGGGCCGGCAAATACACGATATTCAGGCCGAGGCTTGGCGTTCCGTGTGACTCGAGCTCGCCTCAGTTCAGCTGCCATCACTGTAATGACGAGCCTTGGGCTTCATGTCTGAGGCGGAAGCTCCTCCTTGTATGATGCAGTTCAAGATGCCATTCGCGTCGCCAACTTATTGGTTCTGGCAAATTCTTTTCATGAAAAGGGAGGCGGGAAACCAGGCGAAGTGCACACCACGAAGCCGGATCTGTCACAAGGCACGCCTTGTGGTCCGTGGCGACCAAATGTGGTGGAACAAAGAAGACACATTCGCACACACTTTGGCAGCCAGAACCTTCTGCCTTTTGCTTACAATCACTGCTTATTTCGACTTGGAAGTACACCAATCAGATGCTGTAACCGCTTTCCTAAATGAACCTATTCCTCTGATGGAAGCGAGACTATGCGGTCCAAAGCCCGGATATGGCAACAAGAGCTTGAGAGAGTATATGGGTATAGCGAACATTATCATCTGCTCTCTTTCCTCGAGGCACCCGAGTGGCTCCCAAGAACCGTGCGCGAGTCACGACAGCGAGTTGACAGCAGAGGCGCTCCGGAGCGCTCGAATCGTTACTCAAAGTGTGGATATTGAAGGAAGCAGAGTATACGTGCCCAATGAACGGTCTCGCAGGGGCAACGTTCAAACGGTGGCATGCTTTGGTCTAATCTCTATAATCACGAAGGTACAGCTTAAGGGATGACGTAGCAGTCGAGTAAACTTTATCGTACGTGTACATTTTGAAGAGTGAATGGCGTATAAAAAGCGACAGCTGTCTTGATATCTACTCGGGACGTGTTGATTCATGAAACTTGCCGCATGCCTGCGCATGGGGCTGGCTCCCTGTTCCGCTTCCCTGACCAAGCTAGCGAGGCGTAACTCTCTGCAAGCGGCTGCTTAAGGTCCGATTACCACTGAAACCGCGCCTTTTCTTCGGCCTAGGCTCTCAGTCCCTGCATCAGTTGATGTACCGTGAAATGTTGGTGTACTGGCTTCCTTCGTTGTCTCAAGCCGAGTTGTTGCTGTCAAGATTCTTGGCCTGCTCCTTGTACTTCTGTAGCTGCGCCCATAGTTTATTTTCCTGGTCTCGAGTCATGCCTGGGGGCACACGGCCGTGATATCTGGCTTGGGGGCGAGAGGCTCAGGGAAGTCGGCTTGCCAGGTTAGTGACAGGGGTATAAAAGGTGGGCTTTCTCACGAAGATGTACGGAATGCGATTTTTGTCTGTGCTTATGGGGATTGGCCCTGCTATAAAACGCAAGAAGAGAAAGGGAAAGACAAGGAAAACAAAAAACAAAGGGATTAGACGTAGAGATGACTTACAAATCTTCCACGACTGGTCGCTGGTGAAGTAGCGGGGTCCTTCCTGGCCAGCGGCGCTCCTCCTTTTCAAGACCTCCGACCTTATCAGCGTGAACCCGGACGAGGCGGCGACGTTCAGACATGATGGTGTTTCTTGGATACAACTCTACTACGGGAAAGGCGAGAAGAGGGGCTCTAGGTTGATTGTCGCGGATATGACGAGGGACAAGGCTGAGATCAACCGTGGAGGGATGACAACGCCTACAACCTGAAGTACTTTAGGCTTCTGCTTGGGCAGAGTAAGCTCTCGTCGTTGTGGGCTGTCGGGGCGCGGTTCCGCTGACGAATCCGACGAATCAGGCCTGCTTGTGCTTGGGGCTTGCTTGATTGAGGCCTGGGAAGTTGCGCTTTTGGGGGCCAATCCACATTGGAGAATCCCTAACCACAATCCCTCCAGTGGGCGGGTGGGGCTTGACAGGCTAATTGATGTGCACTCTTGACAGAACTGAGGCTACCAAGCGTCCAACATTGGAGCGGCTCTACCTTTTTCTTTCTTTTGAAAGTCAAGTCTTTTCACACCCTCAATGTTCAGGGAAAGTTCGAGTGCAGAGCAGCGCTCCCTCTCTCTGTCCATGGATATCTATGACAAATCTCCATCGATCCATTTGGTCAATGAATGATGGATAGGGGCAAGCTGATATCGTTGGCCTTATGGATATTTCTAGTGGACGCAAGATGCAGGTGGGCTACGATTGATAGAATAGATCATGGCACTTGAGATCTATCCATTAGATGGATTTGGTCAATTGCCGGGCCTTCAATGTTGAATGGACCCGTGGATCGACTGACCCGCCGCCACCAAGACCCCCATAACCTGTCCAGCCCGAACCATTGAATTTGAACAAATGCACGCTCTTTAGCTCGGAGGGTTCTCACCACAATTCCCACTCAGATTTCCCATCGACCGCATCTGCGTACCGCGTACTAGACCATAATATTCTTCTTCTTTATCCTATTCACATCCTACTCCTAAACCCTCTCACTTCTCGTGCTCAAACACCCTTTGTTTTCTTTTCCTTCTTTTTTTTTTCCCCTTCTGCTTTCCTCCCCGGCTTTCTTTTTCAGTTTGCGTCCTTCCCTTTCCCTCTTGGGGGCATGCCCGAGATTTAAATTCCTTACTCCTCCCGCCACTCACAACCGTCCCTTCGTTCTTTTCAGAATCCCAGTCGCGCATCTTCTTCCACAATCAACATGTCGGCACCGAAGAAGGGCAAGCATGTGCCGAACGCCTGGGACGATGACGACTGGGAGGTGCTCGCCGATCGTGCCGAGAAGGAGCCCACCAGCGATCCTCAACCCCCGGTCCGCTTGACGAAAACGGAACGACTTGCCCAGCACCACGAGTCCAATCGTAAGCTCTGGGAATCAGCGTATGACCCTCTCTCTCTCTCTCTCTCTCTCTCTCTCTCTCTCTCTCTCTCACACACCCCCTGTCCCCTCCCTTGCCCTCATCCCCCGGAACTCTTGATCCGTCATAGCTCGCTCCCTAACCCATGATTTACTGTCCTTCCATTTCGCCCCGAGAATCAGAGACGCGCCAGAGCCCCAGTATTTCCTTGAGACGGGCGCCAATCTACCGCTAGCCACGGCGTACAAGACCCAGGTCAAGGTCCTCTCGCGCAAACCCGTCATCGCGAGGCGGGACCCCACCGGCGCGCTGGCCAACCTGGCCATCCGCGACGACCAGGACGACCGCAAGGAGGAAAAGGAAGTCAAGATGACGCCAGAGGAGCGCATGGCCCTCGAGAAGAGCATGCTCGAGGAGAAGCAGAGGGCCTACGACGAAGCCCGGCGGCGCATCTTTGGCGACGAGCCCGCGCAGGAGGAGCAGGTCGTTAAGCCGCCATCTCGGGCCGACGGGCCTCTCCGAGGGGATCGTACAGGGGAGGGGTAGGGGTCGCGGCCGGGGAAGAGGTTTCTCCGGCCCTAGTTCCGGCCCAGCGAGAAATAATGACTCGAGGGGGATCACCGGCGAGGCCGCCCCACCCGGCACTAGGGAATTGTTCGACCCAGGATACACTCACAGACCCGGGTCAGCGCCGCACAGGCCCGAGGGCAGTAGCGGCGCTCAGGGGAAACAGAGAGACGGCGGCGTGCAGATCTCGGCCGTGCGGGAGCCGAGGGGCCCGGATGGGTCGGGTAAAGGGGATTTGGCTTTGCGCGAGGGGATGCACAACAGGGTTCTTCATCATAGAAGGAAAGGAAGAAGGGGGAAAAAAAAGTTGATTTGATTTAATCTATATGGGTTGTCCCAACAGCTCCCATGATCTAACGCCACCAGATATGCCCATAGCAAGTTGAAAGAAACGAAAAGAAAATAGAGCAAGGCAAAGGGGGAAACGATTGTTCCCCTCCCCTTCAAAAGAATTACCACCACCAACTGGTCTTTTGAGACCAACCGGTCTTGACGAGGCGTGGGCCCAGAAATCACCATCCACCTCCAATCTTGCCTGCGAGCTGAGCGGCCCGCTCCGTCTGTGTCTTGTCCTTGCCCACATCGCTAATGACCTCGCGGAAGCTCGTGAGGGCCAGCTTGTCCAGCCCCACACCCGTCGCGCCGGACCAGTACTCTAGGATCCCCTTGATATGCGAGAGCGAGATGCCATCCACCACGTCGCCGTCGACGCCCGTGCCCGGCGCGCCGTTGATCCCGTCCACGTCATCCTCTTCCGAAAAGTACGCCTCGTCGATACGCGCCAGCCACGCCTTTTGCTCGTGCGGGCCCGGTTTCGCCTCTTGCCCCGTGCGCCCCGCGATGATGTCGTCGTCCACCTTGACCTGGCCTCCGCCGTTGGTGCAGCCGCCGGGGCACGCCATGACCTCGACGTAGGCGTACTCGACCGTCCCCGGTTTGCCGGCGGCCGGCCTCCTGGCGCTGCCAAACGGCTTGCCGCCCGGCATCCGCGAGGGCTTGGGCGGCTTGAGCTTGCGCACGAGGTTTTGTATGTTGCGGAACCCGTAGAACCGCGCGGCCCTGAAAATGGGGTCGCCCGCGGCGGAGACGACGCTGTACTCCATCACGTCCGCGTTCCTGCCCCGCGCGCCCTGGATCTGGGAACCTGGGTTCCTGGACGCGACGGCTTCGAGGATGAAGTGGAGGTAGCCGCCCGACGTGCTCGCCTCCCGCGGCGACCGGTAGGGGCGGCGGGGGAACAGGAATTCGTGTAGTGCGGGGTCGGGGAACGGGGTGGTGGTTGTTTGTGGTGTGTAGGCTTCGTCGTCTGCGAGGTCGAAGAAGTTGAGCCCTCTAGATTCGGCGAGCATGAGGACCTCTTTGCTGGTGATGACGCAGTCGACGTCCCTCGCGCCCTTGCTCGCGGCGTCGTCGCCGGCATCCCCCACGCCTTGTCCGTGAGCTCTTCGCGACTCGCTTCGAGCTTCTTGTCGAAGCAGGGCATGACGGCCAGGTGCCATATCCGGCTGGGCGGCACGCCGAGCTTCTTGCTCAGCGCGGTTTTCACGACGGTGCCCATGAGCGCCTGGGGGATTTGACCTTGGATAAGTAGGGCAGGACGTGGGGTGCGTCTTCTCGGCGTAGCACACCCACCCGGGGCAGGCGGAGGCGAGGACGGGCTTCGGCGGGGACCCGGGGCCGGCGGACGCGAGAGCCTCCTCGGCGCTGAGCACCAGGCAGGCCTCGCGCGCGACGTTGGTATCCACCACCCACGCAAACGAGTTGCCCCACCTGCCCCCGCGCGCCAGCTCGCGCACCAGCAGCCTCTCAATCATCCTGCCGGCGGCGGCCTCGCTCACCCCGGTCCGCAGGCGGCGGCTAGGTTGGCGCGGACCTGGGGCGCGACGCTGGCGACAAAGATCTTGGCGGCGTCGTCTTCAAGGCCCTCGGCGGCGGCGGTGGCGCCGGCACCGTCGCTGCGTATCCGGAGGGCCGGGGCGGCGTCGAGGGTGTTGAGAACTTCGGCATGGCTCTGCAGGCTCACGAGCACGGCTTCGGCGGAGGTGACGCACCCGGAGCAGGCGAGGCAGTCGGTGAGAGAGATTTGGGCGGGGCCAGAGGCGTTGGCGGCGCGGGACGTGCCGTCGAGGACGACTTCGTGCTCGAGGCCGGCGGATTCTTCCTCGGCGGGGAGGGTCTCGATGGGTTTTATGCAGGCGACGGAGGGGCGATGAAGTCGTTGAGGGTGTCGGCGGAGAGAATGGCACTCATTGTTGCCGGGCGTGGAGGTGTTACGAACAACCCCCTTTCGCCGTTTTGGTCGTGGTAGGTTTGAAAGGGCTCTCTCTAATCACGGGGTGGGGTGGGGGTGATTCAAGTCTGTGAGGCCCTGTTCAAAGTTCCTTTTTTATTTTTGGTGGGGTGGCGATGCGGAATATCGCGTGGAGGGAAAGAGCAAGGTGACGTTGGTGAGGCGTGCGTAAGTGTTGTGCGCAATCTTTGGTTGAACCGGGTAGACGGAGAGATCTAGGATATCATTTACGAAGAAGATGGAAGATGAGAAATAGAAGAAAAAAGAACGTTGCCGTGGACGTAACGAGCGAGAATCGTCAAAGGTTTGGAATCGGCATGTAAGAAAATGAGTCGACGGACCAACTAAACGGTCAAACGCAGTTGTATTCTACAAGACCAAGGCCCCGCGGACCAGTCAGAGATCCACGGTGCTTCTGGGGATGGCGAAAAAGCGGAATTGGCGCCCCCACTAAAATCGCAGGCATTTGTAAGATTCGAGGAAACTTATCGATACATTCGACATGCCGAGAGCACCTCGCGTTGGTGTGTCTCTTTGCAGAGTAAAATCGAGATAAGGATTATTAATGGCTTCGCCCCGAAAAGGCGCTTGCTGCACAGTCTTGGGCTAGAATAGTGGGGAGGTCACTTGGAGACACTGAAGGCTCCATCTGGATGAACTGGTAATGGAGGGGCCGAGTTGCGACATCGGGGACCGTCGAATAGCTTGATCAATCTCGGAGCAATTTGACCAATGCTTTGAATGGTTGATGGACCTTTCGCGGAGGGTGTCATGGATCCATTACTTGAGGCGACAATCCCTCCAGATCAATTGGAAGCCCTGTAGAACCGGCAGCCCCAAGCGGTCGGGTCCTAACTATGCGCATACTGAAAAAAAGAGTACCCTCGACGATGTAGAAATAGATTCACCTGCGAAACCATCATGATGACATGCCCGTCGAGCAGTGGGTTCAGCAAAAGAGGCTATGGGCCCATCAATTGATTCATTCTTCGCTCAACTGATCGACCTGGCAAGCTGAACCACCAGGTGGATATCATGTGAAGCGCTGTGGTATTACCAGTGGTTGGTATGTCGAAGCACGGGTAATGACATCACCATGAGTGAGGAATTGAGACCGGGGAAAGCTCACCATGCATTCAAATAAATACCCGCGATATAGCTCGTCTGCAGCCCGAAGCTCTTTGCATCTCTCGCCTAGATCTATTGTTCAAGCACCTCAACCTAACCTGATCCTTATTCAATTCACCTTTTTCGTTCAAATTTACTTCTTCAACTCGAATCTAGTCTTGGAATACCAAGCACATGCACCCATAGCCTATCTCGCTCACGATGGATGTAAGTTGCGACTAGCCACCCGTGCCATCGTAACGGGACAACCTCCCGAGGGCCGCGAGGGACACGTTGGATGAACTTTTGACAGCTAACGGCGGGCTCGTTGGCACAACTGCAGTCGGTGGCAACATATAGCTTCGGCACTCTCGCCTGGTTGGCGACCCAAGGCATTTCGCTAATTACTTGGCCTTCCTTCATCAGCTCCCTCCTCCGGACCGAGTTCCACAGACCTTCCCGTGAGTCCCTCTCCCATCTACTCTCTGTGCCCCCGGTCCCAACGCTAGGCTAATCTTGCTGCGTACCATTGATACAGCTCTTGAGGAATATTACGCCCAGTCTCTCGGCTTGGCCCTCATCGCTCTCGGCCTCGCCACCGTCGTCCTCAGCGGCGCGATCCCGCTAACCTCCCTCCCCATCGGTTGAGTAACCCCCTCCCCGTTGAACCCGTGATGGCTACGCTGCCCTGGTTCTCTTTCCTCCCCGTCGGTCGCTCACCATCAAAACTAATACTCTGGTGCCATTTCGATAGCCGAGGCCGAGGGTGTCAGTCCTTACGCCACCGCCATTCTTCTCATCACCACCCTCCATCATAGTGCCACGAGCTTCTGCGCTTACACTCGCTACGCGCACACACCGCAGACTGCCTTTATTCTCGCTTCCTTGCCAGCGGCGCTCTGGCCGTATTTGGCCTCTTCACCTTGCTCTTCGCCGGAGACAAGTCGCGCAGAAGCAAGAAGCACGGTTTTGACAAAGACACGAGTTCTTTCCCGTTCACCAATAACGAGTCGTACCGAGCCAAGAAGAAGAAGGTCAAGGGCATCTAATCACATTGCACCACAACCCCGACAACATGGACCCCATCCACGCCGAGCTAAGAAGGCAGTGAAACATCCTTTATATTACACGCATGTAGCCAAACTACAGATCCCAACTCAGAAGAGTATGAGCTAGGGCTTCGTGATATGAAAAGGAGGGGCGCGGCGTGGAACACAAGTGACTATATTGATCCACGGATGTACCTTGGTTACCGCCATGAGGTCGACATACAGCACACTTTTGTTTTTGTTTTTAAACGCCCTCCAAGGGCTTGATGTAAGAATCCATTGCGCGTGATATGGGACTATGTCATACAGGTAGCAGTAAAGAAAATAAAAGAGATGAATAAAGAAACAAAAAAGTTAAATATGCTCTCTAATTCGAAACAAGAGGAATGAATCATTGATCCCAACCAAAACGCCTTCAAGACCGAGCCAGCACCTCGTGTAATCAAAATGCCCCACAACATTCGTACATGAACCACCGCATATCGGCGGCAGAGAAAGAGGATTAATAAAAATACCGCAAGGATACTCTACTCCTCATCGACAACTGCCATGGCATCGCCGTTGGTGGCACCATTGGCGTGGGGTTTATCCTCGGCAGCGACTTCGGCAAGTTGAATCTTGACAGCACCGGATTTGATCGCCGCGCGCCGCTCGTGCCAGTCCATTTCCCCTGAAGCACTTGCGAGACCAGCATCTCCTTTTCGCGCCACATTTGCTTGTATTCTTCTTCCTCCTTTTGATGTCGGCCATAAGCGTGTCGCTGGCTTCGTCCGCCAGCTTGACTTGGTACCTGCATCGCGCATGGAGCTCCTTGAGGGGTAGCTGAGCTCCTTCTCCGAGAACAAGTCTTCATGGAGGGTGGTGAACAGCTCCTTCTCGCTATCGTTCCCATCACCAGCCTCGTCAACGGAATCATCCTGCCCGGTGGCGTGCGACTGTTGTGTCTTGAGGATGATTTTGAGCTTGGACGACTTTCCGCCGCTCCCGCTATGCTGTGACTTGGGTATCGGGTCGGAAGGCCGCAGAGCTTCGGTCTCGTGAACGGTGCGCATGTGTTTCGCAAGGGCATCGGACCTAGTGAATGCGCGATCACACTCTATAGAGTTGGTCTGGTTAGCCATCGATCAAGAAGCTGAGTACACGCCAGTAGAGCGGCCAGGCAGAGGAGGAAGCGGGAACGGGGGTTTGGGGAAAAGAAAACAGCATTTGACTTTCGAGAGGAGAGAAGGTGTGGAAAAGGTTATAATAGGACGAGTATACGGGCAGGCGGCTTACCTGGGAGATAGCAATAAAACGGCTTCTCTCGCGTGTGGCTACGCATGTGTGCTTTCAGCGCATAGCCACTCGCATGCGCCATGCTCTTGCGAGAGCAACCAACCCACTCGCAGGTGTATTTCTTCTGCCGGCTCTCAATGTGCTCGTTATGGATATGCTCGACGAGATTATCCATGTTGTCTAAATCCCCGGCATCGCAACCATCCCACGCGCAAGCCGACACCTGCTCCTGGAAGTCTTCCTCTTCGTAGCGGGCGTTGGTCGGCGAGCTAGGGACGTCCCCATCCGTATCCTCGGACACGTCCGACATGCCATCAAGCTCAGGCGCAGCCTCAACCTCGAGGTCCGGTGCGGCAATGGTGGTTGGCGTGGCAGCGCCTTCGGTAAACTTTTGCCGCTTCGAGGGTCGCGATTCAGTCTCCTCGGCATCCTCTACAGCCTCGTCGTCCGAAGCATCGGAAGAGGCCGCAACCGACGAAAGGGGTGACTCTGGCGACTCATCGTCATGCGGTGACGCCTTTCTCCCGGATGATCGCTTCGACGTCGCCATTGTCCGATGGCAAGATAGGGGTGCTGTTCTCGGTTGTGGAACTTTGGGGCTCTCGAGCAAGGAGGTCTGCTGTCCGCGAATGGTCTCGAAATTATCACGCCTCGTCTGCTGCGTGTGTTTGTGGATGGCAATTGAGTGTTAATCGATGCAGCAATTGTATAATATGGCGGTCGCCGCTGAATCAGGGGCACTGTTTACAATAGCATTGCTGGTGGTGTTGTCCCTCTAATAAGTCTTGCTCGAATTTGAGCCAGCTCAACAAAGAACTTTGAATCGTGATCTAGCCCAGGAGGAACACCGCCGACGCGATCCCGCACGAGCCACCTCTTTTGGGAGCTGCGGTATGTCCCTGCCATCAACGATTGCTAAGTTCAAGGCCAGGAACGACATGATCACGTGATGGGAAGCAGCTCGCGGCGGCGTGCGGTCCACGCTTCAATACGCTGCCACTCGCCGGCCTGTCCAGTCATCAATGAAAATAGCACGAGCACAGCAGCACCAACTCAGCGGAGGCCCACTGGCGCTGGCGGTATCTCCAACTCTGATTGCTGGCTCATAGCCTTGAATCAGTTGCCACCACAGTCATCAATGGAGTGAGGCATTGACGGATATGGCACTAACGAATGAGCCACAGTGGCCCGCAACCCAACGGGGACAAGGGGGATTTCACTGGCTGGTGGTCTATGCTTGATGATGGGCAAATGAGAGAGACCCTGCAGGCAGGATTGAGCAAGCGCGCCGTGCCTGCCTGTTGCCCCTCGAGTCGCTGAAATTATGTCAAAGCAATAATAACCCCGCCTGCTTTGACGGCCTATTTTGTTTACCACTAATCGCAGCCCCGCCAACCCACCTTTTCCGAATCGAACCTCGATCGCATTCTGCTATTATTTTTCCCCTTCTTCCCCCTCATCTATCCGATTGTTTGTTCCGTTCATGCAAGTTTCCGCTCTTTTTCGGGGGAGCAAAGCATAATTTCTGATACCCCATAACCCATCATCTATCACACTCGCGAAAGAAAATGTCTCCTTCCACCAAGGTCTTTTCCCTCGAGGGAAAGGGCTTGAAGCTCGACACAGCCGAGGATATCGAGCCTCATATCAAGGCCCTAAACGATATGGAGGACGTTGAGGAAGTCAAGATACTGGGCAACACTCTAGGCGTCGGCGCCTGTAAGCGTCTTGGAGAGGTTCTGGCGACGAAACAGAATTTGAAGGTAAACCTCACCCACCCCTCTCGGCGCCCCTCAACGGGGCCCCAATCCTGATTAACCATCTTGTCGCTAACCACTGCCCTTCCTCTGTGAAAGATTGCCAACTTTGCCGACATCTTCACCGGTCGCCTCCTCAACGAGATTCCCGAGGCCCTCTCTTCTCTCCTCACATCCATCCTCAACCTCCCCAAGCTCAACACCATCGACCTCAGCGATAACGCGTTTGGCATCAACACCCACGCTCCTCTTGTCGCTTTCCTCGCCGAGCACGTTCCTCTCCAACACCTGTACCTTAACAACAACGGCCTGGGTCCCCACTGCGGTATTCTCATTGCCAACTCTCTTTCCAAGCTTCACGAGAAGAAGGAGGAGGCGAAAAAGGAGGGTAAGGAGGTGCCGGACTTGGAGACAGTGATTTGCGGTCGCAACCGCCTCGAGAACGGATCCATGGTGGCCTGGGCCAAGGCCTACCGGTTACATAACAAGGTCAAGCTCGTCAAGATGGTTCAGAACGGGATCCGACCCGAGGGTATCTGCCATCTCCTGACATCGGGCCTCAACCAGGCCACGGAACTCGAAGTGTTCAACCTTCAGGATAACACATTTACGCTGAGCGGCGCCAAGGCGCTTGCCAAGGCCATTATTGGGTGGGAAAACCTTCGGGAGCTTGGTGTCGGCGACTGTCTCCTCACCGGAAAGGGCGGTCTCCTATTGAGCGAGGCGCTTGCCAAGGGCTCGAACAAGAAGCTCGAGACCCTGAGACTCCAGTTCAACGACATCACCGCGGCAGGTGTCAAGGGTCTCTCCGACGCTGCGGGCGACTCCTCCCCGCCCTCAAGAGGCTGGAGCTCAATGGCAACAAATTTGCCGAGCAGGACCCCGCCATCTTAGCCCTTGAGAGCCTACTAGATGGGCGTAAGGAAGAGTTTGGCGGCGACATCGTGCACGAAGATGACTGGGGCTTGGATGAGCTTGACGAGCTTGATGACGACTCCGATGATGAGGACGAAGACGATGAAGGCGGCCTCGAGCCCGAGGAGCTTGCGGAGAAACTGCTCAAGGAGGCCGAAGAGGCGATGGAGGAACCTACAGTGCAACTCAAGGATAAGGTCGTGGACCAGCTAGCCGAGAAACTGGAGAAGACTTCAATCTAAGCGCGAGGAACTCGGCAGTTATCAGTTATCCTCGCTAAGATTGGGTAAAGGCAGTTTTAGATGAGTTGGTATATAGAATTGTCAATGAAGTATGACGTTATGTGTCTCCTTGGTAAAAGAATGGCAACCGGCTAGTTCGGAGATGGCGTGCATAAAGTTATAGGGTCCATCCCACGTTCTAGGGCTCGTTCCATGTTCTGGTGGCTGTTTTGTAGGGACGTTTAAACACGTTAGGCCCCATCTTGGGATCAATCAGTCTAGTCTCTGCCCCCGTGTGACGGGGTCACCAGAAGCGTGTGGCTCGACCACTTAGCAAACTCGGCGCGACGTTACGCTTCGGCGAGGCGTTGGGTCGCTGATGGTTGATCATTTGATCGAACCAGGCCTGCACCAATCGCAAGGTGGGAGAAGTTTTCGGAGTGTTGAGCACCAGCGTTTTCTATCATCAGACCAAATATTGATTAGGGGAGAACGTGAGTGGGCGGCTCCGAACAGCGGGCCCGGCGGCTCCCGCCCCGCATGGCCCGATCGGGCAACGCATCACCCCATTCCATTCTTCTCGCGGCGCTCGGCCGAGGCGCAAGGTCAAAATTGACGAGGTCCGACATCACCTGTCCTCACGATCTTGACTGGTGATGCGAGGAAAACAAGGCCAAGCGAGTCTAAAAGGATACAAATAGTGTCGTTGCCACTCTCTTGACCCCTTTGAGTAGCTTCCCTGAAAGAGAAAAACAAAGTTATCACAATCCAGCATTCCAATACAAAAATTAAAGAAACAACCTACATCTACGAAGTACCCTCATCGCCCATTCCGCACTTCTGTTCGGCGAACAAAGAAGAAAGCTTCACAAACCCTAAAGAAAACCAAAACAGCCATCCCACTAATCCACACCTCCCTCCCACCATGTCGTTTGTATTATTCGAGACTAGCGAATCCGTCATAGAATTGCTCTGGGACATTGCCCTGGCATTCTTCATCCTACGCATCGCTCTGGCCTACTTCGCCCTCGTCTTTGCCAGCAGCTTCCTCCTATCATACGCCCTCTCCAACCACCTCGTCCCCACCACCCTGCTCTCCCCGACCCCGGCGCACTCCGAGCTGCTCGCCCTCGGATCCCATGCCCTGCTCATGGCCTTTTGGGCGCGGTTCGCCGTCGTCTACTTTGAAGTGCCCCGCGTCCTGGGCTTCCGGCTCGCTATCGGGTTCGTCGCCGCCGCCTTCTTGTTCGCCGCGGAGGCCCTCGTGGTCTTTTGCGCCTCTGAGCAGGGCCTCGTCGGCTGGATTTCCGGGATGGAGCCCGCGGCTAGGCTGACCTGGCTGGGTCTTCTCGTCGCCTTTGCGCTGTTGCCCTCGCTGATGATGGCGGCGGAGAAGCCGGTGGTGGATGAGTGCGAAAAGTGTCACTACGCCGCAACCTCCCACGGCCAGGAGAAGAAACCCGTCACGGCGGCAGTGTAAGTTGGGGCTTGCTCCCCTTTTCCCCCAACGCCAACTACTCCCCGTTTCCTTTTCTCGCGGTTCTCTGTTCTTTTCTTACTAGTACTAACGAGGCGGAACTAGGCCCAAGGTGACGAAATCGGTGAGGCCTCGATCCTAGGGCCTTCCACTACCTGAAATTTTGTGTATAGTTTACGGCGGCGTTGTGAATCATATTTGACGGTGTCTTGGTGCTGGCTATTTTCGATGTACGCGGAGGAAAAGATACCAAAAGAAGGAATTAAAACATAAAGCAAACATAAAATACAAACATCGGCCTTTTACTGAGAGCTAACCTGTAATCTAGCCTCACGATATGTGAGAATGCGTACATGTAGGGTCATGATGTCTACCAACCCATCAGTCTCGCAAGAACGTTGTCTCGGCGTTTCCTGTCACCCTGGTATATATATATGTAGTGCTCAATCTTGACAGGTCTCTGCTGTCTCAACTTCTGGCCCCCTTTCCACCATTCGACAACGCCCAAACTGTCTCCACCTCATTGAATCAGTACCCGTGTCATTTCCGATGGATTCCACTTAGTCCTCCTCCTTTGAGTGCGGAGTATGCGTAAAGACTAAGGATAGAATATGGAATAGCAGAGACTTAAACGAATCATCGCAGGATCGGGGTTTCTGCTGACTTTGTGGACACCTCAATGCCCCCTGAGTCTACCGATACCCCGATCAATATACACGAGAAAGGTCTAACATAGTGTGGCGGGCAGACGAGACGAGTATCACAAGGCCCTGGTCTCGGTCCGAACTGGAGAGCAGAAATGAGGATGCTGTTCGACTTAGCATTTGTGTACATGTACTAGAACTGCAGGCCGCAATGCGGGATTTTGGCAACGGAGCGCAAAGGATCGGGCCCGGACGGCGTCGCCTCTGTTGCAAGTAAAAGATGGGATCAATGATCCGTTGATGGATGGATCCAGAACATTTGATCAGCGCGTGAAGATGCACCATCAATGTGTACTTTCCTCTGGCCAATTTTGACTCGTGCCGGGCTCGAGGACTTTGTGTGTGAGGACAGTGCTCCCACGCCACCTTGACCCAGCGCAGTGCGATTGAGCAGTTTACATTTGATGTATGCTGTATTCGTACATATCCATTAGTTCAAGGAGGCCAGATGGCCCTCTTAAACGGGAGCAATGACACTTGGGTGGGCAAATTTCATCAATCCTAATATCAGGACTGCATCGCTCTTGCATCGGATCGATCTCGCTTCGAACGCCCTAAAGTTTAGCGCAGAAGACGACGCGTGCCAAGTGTGAATGAAAACCCCGACCGCACCTGCCATTCCCTTGCCGTCTCCCATCAGCGCAGCGGGGCAGGCGCGAGGGAGGCAAGACCACTGTCTCGGATTAAACATTGATCCTCGATTGAGAATATCTCTCACCTTGAAGTTTGCCGATCGAGTCTTCTACCATGCCTTTCTAATCGACCCTTTGCGACATATCCACTAGATCTCGCTGGACATGGTGGGCGCTGGAATTACTCGACTTGGACGGCACAGTCCTAGTCCGAGGGACAAAGAAGCAATACCTGAGGTCAATTACCTGGAGATGGCTAGCCAGGTGCGTATCATGTTATTCCTTCCAGTGCCTTCGTCCACGTCTTCTCGGCCAAAATTGATGAACACATCTAGCAGTGATGAACATGTTTCCTGGACGGCCCCTCTCTACCTGTTATCCTCAAGCTATACTCCTCCCTCGTCAGAACGTACGTTTGCTACTTTTGAGAGAAGGAGAGTATCAATAGAATTCAATGTTGCGGAAGACCATCGCCGGGCTCAATTCATTGAAACTATTGATCAATCGACAACATCTCCCCCGAGTATGATATCCGGCCGAGGCCTCTTTGGCAACAGAACGGTCACTCCTTCGAGGAGAGCCGAGTTCTATCGATCCTTTGTCACCAGCAACAGAGGGCGGTATTCAGATACGAGATATTTGGCCTGAGCGGCGTTTTGCTAACTGCATCCGGCTCTTCTCAAGAGAGAGAGAGGGCGAGATTATCGTGGTGGAGATGTAATTCGGGCATTCTTCACCCACGCTTGTCGATATAAATTGCCCACTTAATATCTGCAATACAGCCGGCCGCGTTATTCTTCAGCCCTCACAAACTCTTTCCCACACTTTCCCCTTCTCCCTCCATTTTTTCCACCTCAATTCATCCTTTCTCCCTTTAGAAGTGACAAGAAACGAAGAAAAAAATTGCAAACTTCTGTCAGGTACACAGCTTCAAGTTGGCCGGCGATCGACCTTGGAAATGGTGCATTTTCGTTCGAGTTGCTTTGAGTGCGGGTCAAGGCTGAGCGAGGTTGGATGGCCTTTCCCAAGTCGCAATGTCGTATTGCTCACAACACCAAAAGGTCAAAGTAGCAGATGGCCTTGCTAATGTCTGAGACTGGGGAAAATAATGATGAAAAAAAAAAAAAAGGGGGCCACTTACAAGCTCCTTTGGGTCGCAAAGTTCCGGATGGCCGCTCACGATACCGCAATATGGATGGATGCCGTCCCCGCCGTTGTGGGGTCTGGGGCCTTGCATCAATTCACTCGCCCCCTCACCCCCTCCTCCCTCTTCCCCCTGGTCCAAGATGGCTTACCGGCTCGGGGGTTATTCCTAATATTCGCCAAGAGCGAGCTAGCTATAGGGAGACGACAAAGGTGGAGGCGAGGGAGGGAGAGAAATGCGGCGCTCTTGTGAACATGGGCGCGGTGGGCTCGCATCAATGGTGTAAGTCTGGTCAGATGCCCGTTTATGTTTCCAGAAATCTTCGTTTCTCACCCCACCCCCTCCTCCCTTTTCCACTTGGACGCGGTGGATTCGCGCGAATTTGGCTAAACCCCATCCCATCCTAATTGGTTTTTGATATCTTTTCAAGATCCGAATCCATATGCCCTTTCGCAGTGGTTTGCCACAAGCGGCAAGTCACTCAACGACTTGTCTAATTTCTTGTCTTGCCTAGGCCCCCGCACTCTCGCCTCGCTAGCCGTCCGTCCTTTTTAAGTATGGAGACTCGCCGCACTCTGTCGCATCGGGGCCCGAGATGTACGTGGGAGGAGAGTGCGCGAGAGTGTCGTTTTCTTCCATTCATTCCTTATTCCCTCTTCTCTTCTTCGTATGCTCGTGCAGTGATCTTGTTGCTTCGAGCCCGTCATTCCTTTCAACAAATCCCGTTCCTGTCCTTTCCGCTGAGCGCTCTCGCCAACCCCTTGGCCATACGACCCGAGCTCCTTTGGAATCCCGTAACAGCCTAGTTCGTTTTCCTCCCGGTTGGCGAGCTGGTCCGCCAACGCCCCGGACGCTTTCCCGATACTCGACCGTCTCCCGACCGAAACACTCTTCACCGAAGGCAGGATACCAAGGTCAGGCTCGCTGTCAGACCTGTGGAAGTCAGCCTCGTAGTCTAGCCCAGGGAAGCAAAGAGCGGCCAACAATCTCTTCCTACGCCAACATTCATATATTCCAGCACTCGCCGCTTGCTCGTTCACCATGAGGCTCTCGTGGGCCTCGGCCGCCCTGGCGCTTGTGTGCGGAAGCGCTAGTGCTATTCCTGCGGCGAGCCAGAACGACGCGCTCGCTGCGATCGCAGACGTTCCTCTCAATTCTACAATCCGACCTTCGAGCGACAGCGGCCGCGTCCATACGTTTTCAACGGCTGTAACTGGGACTTATAAGAACAATCTTTACTTCACGAATTGGTAGGGCATCCTATAAAAGGGAGGCGGAGGACGAGGGAGGCGGAGGCGGGAATGCAACCTCGCTGCTTATCTCTATTGCTAACCGCCGCTCTGAGCAGGGGTATCTACGGAGCCAACTTCCAACCTCAAGACATTCCGGCCGGAGAAATCACCCACGTTCTCTACTCTTTGCTGATATCGCCGCCGATGGCACAGTGTAAGTGGCTTACCATTGTCTCTTCTTGAGGTCCTGCCAGCCTCTCTGCACGTGTGGCTAACAGATGGCTGGGGTCAGTATATCCTCGGATCCGTGGGCCGACACGGACAAGCACTACGATACGGATGCGTGGGAGGACGGCAACAATGTCTATGGATGCGTGAAGCAGCTTTACTTGCACAAAAGAAGCACCGAAATTTAAAGGTCCTTCTCTCAATCGGCGGGTGGACCTATTCGCCTAAATTCCCGCCCATCGCAGCGACGGAAGAAGGGCGACGAAAGTTTGCTTCAAGCGCCGTCAGGCTCGTGGCTGACTGGGGATTCGACGGCTTGGATATCGATTGGGAGTATCCGCAAGATGCGGTCGAGGCGGAGAACCTTGTGAAGCTGCTGCAAACCTGCCGTGAAGCTCTCGATGCGTACTCGGCCGAGCACGCGGGCGGATATCACTTCCTCATCACTGTTGCCTGCCCTGCCGGTGCGCAAAATTACAACACGCTCCTTCTGGAGGCTATGGACCCCCTGCTGGATGCGTGGCACTTGATGGCGTATGACTATGCCGGTGCGTGGGACTCGACAACCGGACACCAGGCCAATGTGTACCCAGACCCCAACAATGCAGCGGCGACCAAGTTCAGCACCGAGGTAGCCATCAACGCCTACCTCCAGCGCGGCATCCCCGCGGACAAGCTGATGATGGGAATTCCCCTTTACGGCCGCTCGTTCATGAACACGCAGGGCATGGGCATGCCCTATAGCGGGATCGGCCCCGGGTCCATCGAGGATGGCATCTGGCTCTACAAGGACCTGCCGCGTCCCGGCGCCCAGGAAGTTTGGGACGATGTCGTCAGCGCGGCCTACAGCTACGACGGGTCAAGCCAAGAGCTCGTGACCTACGACACGATTACGAGCACGTCACGCAAGGCCGAGTGGTTGATCGAAAAGGGCCTCGGAGGCGCAGTGTTCTGGGAGGCTAGCGGGGATCGAAAGGGATCGGATAGCTTGGTTACAACGCTGGCCAACACGATGATTAGCCTCGATGGAAGCCTGAACCTTTTATCATACCCTGATAGCATATACGACAATATCAGGAACGGAATGGAATGATTGAGCGAGCTTGGACTACGAGTATCAATACGATGGTTGAGGTTGGACTCGTGGCCACGAATTGATACCTAGTCCCATAGGCTACACGTCGATGGGAGCGAGTAAGGACTGAAAAGGCAAGATATCGGGAGTTTGCATTCTTTTTTTTTTTTTTTTTCTTACGCTCGCATAAAATCTTTCTCTGTACATAGATTTTCACCCCTCCCATTCTTTCTTTCTTTTGGGATGTCGGGTCTGGTCTTCTATCTTTCTCGGGAGTTATCTTCTTCTTTCCCTCGCTTACTTCTTTTCTCCTCACAATCTTCAATGTATGTTGCCCTTGGTTGGATGAGGTCAGATTAACTCTTATCGCAGCCGCAGCAGGTACATCACGAGCCTGTCTTTCTGCCCTCGTGTTATAAAGATTTTGCCCTTTCACTTCCACCATACGTGCACTTGTGTCGTGCTCAATTGATTTGTAAGTTGGTTCCCATTGATGTTAGCACCGTTAAGCTAGCGAGTATCAAGGCAACACTACTAGCATGGCCATGTTTTCTCGTACGTCTTGTCGGCATTCAACCCTGATGGTGGATGTGACTGGAAGTCTTCAACGTATGCATACATGGTAACGGTCGCTCCGTCTTGCTTAAGTGCTTCAGGATATAAAAGCCCGAAAAGAAAAGGACAAAAAAGACGCCCTCTCTCAAAAGTCATCGCACCATTCAAACCTGCGGCGCTTCAGAGTAGTTTACGGAAAGCCCTTAGGGTACGATGAGTTTGGAGAGGAAATTCTGCACACTCAATCTCCGTGTTTGTCGAGTGTACACATATACACGGAGCCCGGCCCCTCCTCATAGCGGACACTGTCTTTCCGAAACGGGGCGGGACACGCAAAGGAGGGGCGTGGGAGCGACGGCGGTTCCATGTAGAAATTGAAGAGGAGGGGGTGTATCTGTACCTGGACTGGACCTGGAGATGGAATCTTTTCTCAAATTATCGACGGGTGTGATTTGACAAGCAGAGTCCTTTTTCTGGTCATTTTACGTCTAGTCTTCTCCCCCAACTTTTTGTCTGTGTGGCTAACACTCTAATCCTCCTTCTCCCTCATGACGACAGAACTGCACATCCATCAACAAGTGGCCTTCGGCAAATCCCTGTCCGATGTTTCGTTTCCGGAGCCGTAACGGGTGGCCTTGGCCCCATTCTTGTTTTATTCCAATTATCGGTTTTTTTCGAATCTTTCCCTGTTGCTCCTAGCGTGAGATTGGTGCAGCAGAGGGGGACAGGCATGAGAAGTAGCGTGAAGTGAGAAGACCGCCGATCTCTCGAGGATAATGAGGCGCAGTATGTTGGGTACGGCGCACGGGTATACTATTATTACAAACGGAAGAAACAAGCCAGGCGAGCCGAAACAGGAAGAGCAGGAGAAACATAGATGGGGCGAGGTCCTCCGGTCGGGAAGTGCTTCGCTCGGCCGGAGAGATGTGCCGATCTCTTCGGATCGAGCCATGTTCATGGAGGGGACGCGCGTGCGGCTTCGGCAGGGACCTGAAGACGGAACTTGGAGGCGGGAGTGAAGGAAACAGAAGCATGGACGGCCTCACCGGGATGTTGAGGCCGACAAAGACTACAGTTCCTGAATATTTTCGAACGAGGAGCCTGAGTGGACAGGCGGCCAGGGACGAACGATAGCGATATTAGAGTATTGTCTACGTTCAGTCCTATCAGTCTTGTCCTATTTCTCCCTTGCTCTCTCTAATTTCCAGACTTGTTAGAGTTGCGCAATACGTTCAAAGTGAGCCCAAAATCCAAAATTTGTTAAGATAAATCTATTGTTGGGTTTGATTGAAAAGTTTAATTAGATATATAGAAAAAGAAATCCAAAAAGAAAGAAATCAGCGCAAGCAGAGACAGGCCGCACATGTTCCCCGGGCCCCCAAGCCCTGGGCAGCCGTTAATCTGTTTACCTTCACGTCCCGAATGCCAGTTGGATCGTGATACAAGTCATGAGTCTGTCCATACCCCCGAACAATCTTTGGGGTGGATATATCTGTGTTACATTTGGTCCTTCTTTTCTTTCTGACTTGACTTCGTTCTCCCTACATCTCTGGTAGACCGAGCGACAACTCATAGTGAAACCCGTAATTGACAAGACTTTCTTCGAGCTCCAAATACAAAACGTTGTACAGTGATGGTGTAAAGAGAAGAAGAAGAAAAAAACAAAAGAAAGAAGTTCCTCCCCACCTTTTCGTCCCCTGCGAGTTTTCCCACCCGGTAAGCGCAAGGGGCGCATTGCCTGCCTATGGTTGACCAGCGAGGGAGTTTTCTATGTGCGACTGCACAATGACAGCCAAAACGCTGAGCCGGTGCGTCGTTTTTATCGTTTCGGGCTTTGTGTTTGCGGTCGAGGCCGTCAAGTCCTTTACACGACCCAGAGAGCCACAAGAGCCGCGACTCCTCCCACAAGAATTCCGCGCGCAGAAAGGCCGGGGGCGGCGGCAGTAGCACCATCCGTGGTCTGGGCGGCAGTACCGGCACCGGCTCCGGTGGTCTGGAGGCCGCCAGCGATGCCAGAGGAGACGAAACCAGAGGCGCCGCCAGCAGGGTTAGTCGCCAACGGGTTACCGGCGGTGTCAACGTTGACGGGGTTGACGGGGGTGGGGATGGATCCGGTAGGAACGGCAATCGCAGTGTCGGTAAACTGCGAGTTGGGAACAATGGTGGGGGTAACCATGCCCGTACCAGAGAGAAGGCCAGGGCCGTTGGCGGCGGAGATGGGACCGGCAACGGCACCGACACCGGCACCGCCGAGGGCAGCATCAACAACGCCCGTGGCACCAGCAGGGAGGGCACCCGCCAGGGCGGGGTCCACTGCGGCGGTAGCACCGGCGGTGGCCAAGGGGTCGAGAGACACGGCACCGGCGATGGCGGTAGGCGAGTCAAGCACGGGCGTGGCGACGCCGGCGCCCAGGCTGGCAGCACCTCCGATGACCTCGGCAGAGACGGCGGCGGCATCCGTGGGCACGGCAACGGCGGCTTCGCCAGCATTGATGGTGCTGAAACCACCAATTACAGCGGCGGCGGAGCTGGCGGCCGGGTCAAGGGCAACAGCGCCGGTCTGGGCAACGCCACCGTCTACGCTAAGGGTGGCAGCGGGAATCTGAGCCTAGAAGAGAAGATCAAAATATGATTAGCGTTCATGTCGCCTCAATTTCATAAAGGCTGTGGGACCCCGGGGAGGGGGCGGGGAGAAGGGGAGGGAAAACAAGACATACGGGATCAACAGCGACGCTCGAGGCGACGTCGACGGGGGCGACCTGGGCAGGAATGCCAGGCGCTACAGCTCCGGCGTCGGCAGCAGGGGGGCGGTGGCTTGGGTGCCAGGAGGGTTGACAACGCCAGCATTAGGAGCGATGCCCGCGGTGGCGATCTGGCCGGGGTCAGTGACGAAGACGGCCGGGGTTCCGGCAATGGTGGGGGTGGCGACGGGGCGGTTGGAATCGATGGGGAGGAATCCGTTGGGAACTCCGTCCGTGTTGGCCACGAAGACGCCGCCGTTTCCGGCGTTGCTATTGACACCACCCTGGCCAACGTTCTGAGTCTGGGTCTCGGTGGGCTCGACAGCCGCCGAAACGCGACCGGCATCTTCGCCGGCAGCGGATTCTTGCGCTTCGGCAGCTTGGCCCTGGTTGCCACCTTGCTGCTGCTGCTGGTTACCTCGGCCACCTCCACCCTGCTGCTGTTGCTGCTGCTGATTAGCGCCGTTCTGGCCCTGCTGCTGCTGCTGGTTCCCACGGCCGCCGCCCTGCTGCTGGTTGCCGCCTTGCTGTTGGTTGCCACCCTGCTGCTGATTGCCACCCTGCTGCTGGTTGCCGCGGCCACCTTGTTGCTCGGAAGCGCCGCCGGCAGCAACGGTGAAAGGCTGGGATGTGACGGACTTGTTCTCGGCATCGGTGATGGTGAGTTCGAGCTGGTCGAATTGGGCAAGCGAGGCGTCGGGGGTGAACGCGCTGGAGCCGGAGTTGTCGATGCCAGCTTAAGACACACATATGTTAGCACCGTGGTTGGGAGAGAGCCAACCCGAAGAGAGATAGAGGGGGTAATGAGAAAGAACGGGGAAATGTCCAAAATTGTCAAGATGGGATCGAAGCGGCATCTTCACTTACAAGCTACAACCTGGGCAGCACCGGCGTTGCCAACGGGGCCAACGCTAACATTGATAGGCTCAACCAACCCATCGGTTTCCCATTGGATGTTGAAAGCCTCATCTACGGCCAGAGCCTGGCCGGCGGCGGGGGCCACGAAGTCGGCGTGGACGAAAGCGATGCTAGAAAGCAGCGCCAAAGTCTGAGAGCTCCTCATTTTCGAAAAGGGTGACTGGAAAGTCTGACGAAAGATCGGGTATAATCGAAAAAGAGAAACGAAATGGAGAGAAAGGCGACCAGAGCCCAAAAGGGACAGCAAGCTGTCAACGAAGTGAAGATATGACGGTCGGTGTGTTGATTTTCTCGGCTGTCAATCGGTTACTCGAGGTAGTCCAGACCTTGAGTTCGAAGGAAATAAATGCAAAATAGCCAAGTCGTAAGGAGTGAAAGAACTATAAAATAAAAAGACTGACTGGCAGTCGTTGGCAAGATTCAAAACTTGTCCAAGAAGAATCGAAAAGAAGTGAAACCTTCTCGGTAAAGAAAAAGAAGAAGGAAAGAAAAAAAAGGGAACCAAAGAACTTTGACTAGAAAGAAAGTGCAAGAGGAAAGGAGAAGGAAAAGGGAAGGCGAACAAGAGCCACGAGCACAACCCGGGAAGTTGGGATGAGATATATGAGCTGCTTGATGGGCGCAGAGATCCGCGACGGCGCCGGTCTGAGACGACAGGACGGACGTGAGGTAAAGGATACATGGCTAGTGCACGCCGTGACAGGTGTGGGGCAAGGAACTTGTGACTCGGGGATGCCAAGGGGGACGAGGCTCTCCTGAGCATTCTACGACTAGGGGGTGGCAGGGGGTGAGGAATCTCCGCCGCCAGGGGAAACGTCGCCCTGACTCTCCCAGCCAGTCAGGGCGGTGCGCGGCATGTGTCGAAACATCGACAATGGCTCATGGGGTGATAGTGGGCTCGATCTGCCCAGGCCAGCCCAAGCCCGGTTGAGAGTCCTTGGACAAGTCATGCACCATGGCGGTGCCCCGAAGATCATATGGCCAGCCGCGGGCGAAACAGCCGGCAGAACGGTGGCCAAAACCTCGAGAGTCGACGGACGGCGTCTCCAAAAGATCACGACCCAGGAATGGAAAGGATAGACGCCAACCGTGCGATCCCTGGGCGGGACGAGCAAGGCACGAGGGGCTCGCTTGGTGCTCGCCGTGTAGCAGGTCAATTATATCTCCCAGCATGAACCGGCAATGAGCGATGGTACATACACATGTGGATGCAGTGGGAAATAGAAACGAAGGATAAAAAGAACTAAACACATATTTGTCGTTGTAGGAGTAGTACATGTACCGAGGCCGCGCAAGTCCTTGAAGATCCAGCCCTCATTCTCAATGAGACGTAGGGTATTATTACAAGTGGTGACAAGAAACGGTGGAGGAAGGAGAGAGAGAGGAGGGGGCAAGACTTCGAGGTCACAGCTCGTTCGAGGCTGCCGTTCGTCAAAGGTGCTGAGACAGAGCCTTGTGGCAGATCAAACATGCCGCCCGAGCTTTGCATTGGGGGACGGGGACTTTTTCAAGTGGTGCTGTTAGCGATCGGCATATCAAATAGGCGGGAGACACTAACAGAAAACCCCTGGTCGCAACGTTTGAGATGTCCCCGGCTGTTACGGGATAAATCCAGACAAGACAAGGAGCTTGTATCAAAGTTTCTTTCCCGTCCTTGACCCAGCAATTGGAGGCTAGCTGGGCTGCAGCACGCACAGCAACCACACCATGCAGCCGTCCCTCCACACTCCATTTTGCCCTGTCACGACAGCAACAACAGCAGACGACAAGGAGTGCATCGAGTCGAAAGGAGCCCCAAGTCACCCCCTATTGACTGACACTGTCGCTTTGTCCCAGTCAATGGACCTGCCCCTTCACTAGGTCCATCACTATGCATCGGGAATTTTGAGGAAATTTTCTTCAAAGCCCCAACCTCTTCACCATCCAGCTGACCCTTCTTGGCCGGCCTCTCTGACGCGACCCCTTGTTCTAGAATGATGCTGGCCTGGGCCCGCTACCTAGTGATCCACGGGTAACGCACGACAGACCTCGCCTGGCTAGCCAAGATCCATTGATCCCTTTGGCAAAGCGTACCCCCTCTCTTCCCACGATCGTGATGCGAGAATGCCAGCGAAAGTCGAGAAGATCAAGATCGCCAATGAGACCGTTGCTACCCATAAGATGGCAAGGTGCGCCCATCACCGATCGTGGGGGACATGAGGCCTGGACTGTCTGTGCGGGATGGATGAAGGATCGAACAAAGGAAAGTAGGCGTGGTCGCCGAAAGCGAAAGACCATCCTAAACCAACTCTGAATGAATGAAGCAATAAGCTTGAATCGTTAGGACGGACCATTTCCTTTTTCTTATCCTTGCTATTTTGGACAAATCCTCAACCCGTTAGACTCAAACCTAATCCGATCCATGTCGTCTATTTCCGAGGGAAAAATGGAGTCGCGTTTCAGCAAGACGTCGTCTGCCCTGTTTTGAGAACTAGACTGACAAGTCACCCCAGGTTCGAACGGGGTCCGCTTCAAATCCAATATGTCAATCGAGCCCCAACTGGGGAGACATCCTGTTCGGAGAACTTTCGCGGTGTCAATGTGTCAGGGCTTTGCCCAGTTTGCTCTGTTTCTAATTCCCGAGACATTGACACTTTTAGCAAATATGCATAGACTCTCCAAACTGACGCCTGGCTACCGTGCTCTCTTTGTCTTGTTCTTTGGGACTAGTCCTAAGCAGGGAGGACGCAGGGACGAGTCTGAGCATAATAGCATTGTGGATGAATTGGTCAACAGGGGTGGAGACCCCATTCATGCTCCTCTCTCTGTCACAGTGCCCGGGACGAATTGGGCGGTGTCTTAGTCAAGCCGCAACTGCGCCACATACGGGAACGCCACACCGGTCGAGTTCACTCTTGCCTGTGAACTTTCAAATGAAGCACATGTCGTAATCATGAGTTCCGATCCAATGACGTCTTTCGCCTCGCCCCTCCATCACCCACCATAGATGTCCAAGCAAGCCCAGTACCTATCCCGCGCCATCGTGGCCTCGCCTTGGTGCCAAGTTCTAAGGCGTCTAGGTTGCCTTGGAAATCTCTTTTCCTCCTAAACCTCTTCGCATTCATTTCCCTTCTACCTTTCGTTCAATATCTCACCTTGGGCTTCAAATCGAATATCTTCGTCGCACCACGTGTGCTACCCTGTTGTAGACAATGGCTTCACAAGCTCCCCCAATTACTGTAAGTTGCCTCGTTTTCTCGGGGAAGAGTCAGTGGAAAGATCCCCATCAACCCCGTGGCTAACAACCCCGAGCAGACGCCATCCTCGAGATCTCTGACAAGGCGACCCTCAGCAGATCCGAGATGCATACAAACGGTGAGCAAACTCCCCAGAGGTCCCAGTTCACCCGAGCAGCAATATACCGACCTAGCATCAAGCCGTAGACTAACAAGCAACGCCTCCTTGACAGAGCCGCTTTAAAGTCACACCCGGATCGCGTTCCCGATGGTAGCCCCGAGCGCGAGGCTCGCACGAGGAAGTTTCAGCTTATCAACGATGCCTACTACACCCTCTCCGACCCAACTCGCCGCCGCGAATACGACATGCAGCGCCGGCGCTTCCTCCAGTTCTTGGGGTGGCGGTGACCCGTTCACCTCTACCGACGAAAACGCCACCGATAACGATAGTGCCGGCGCAGGAACGGGCGCTGGTGCAGGGACCGCCCAGAACGCCTACTCGTGGGCGTGGAATTTCTTCACCGGACAGAACAATAACCAAGGCAGGCAGCAAGCCGAGGACCAACAGTTTGGGGATGTGTTCGAAGAGATGCTCCGCGAGGAGGGCATGGCGGATCAGAACGGAGCCCCCACTCGTTCCTTTTGGAGCATCATTGGGGGTGTTAGCGGCGGCGCCCTGGGCTTCATCCTTGCCAACGTCCCGGGGATGGTTGCCGGGGCTGTCGCCGGCAATCGTTTGGGCGCTGTAAGGGACGCCAAGGGAATGAGCGTTTATGCCGTTTTCCTGGTAAGCAAACATCGGCCTCTTTACCTCAAACTTATTTAGCAAGCATCATATTCAGCAACAGCCACTAACACGTATGTCTAGGAATTGCCACAAGACGACCGCGCAAGGCTTCTTAGTCAGTTAGCCGCCAAGGTCTTTAGTCACGCGACCGGCCTCTAGGCCTGCAGTGCGCCCTGTCCTGTATTTAAATCGAAGGAGAACGGGTTTCCTTAGATCGGCACCATTCACCATTATGAAGGCTTCAGTTGGGGCAATTTCTTGTCTTTTTCGGGTGGGGAGGAGATGAGGAGAGCTTGCGCTTTGGATATCTGCTTCATTTTCTATAGTCCCGGGGGAAAGGACGTCTCCCTGGGGCAAACTTTGGCCTGGAGTTCCGGTATTGTATTTCATACTTAGATAGATGACAAAGAGTAATATCAATCTCTTTTTTCTTGACAGAATCTGCCCCAACCCAACCATCCACTCCTTGAAGGCAACCGAGGGGTGCCCCACAGTGTGTGGTAGCGAGGTTAGTTATAATATGCACTGTACAATTCCAACGCCGCTTAGAAATCATGCTCAAGTTGAGTAGTGAAAAGCACGCAAGGGGATTTCATGGCATGATCTTGGGAGAAGCTTAGAAGCGCGAATAGGAAAAAAATCCAAGGGTGACAATTCGAGAATTCGGGTTTCCACCGTTCCCTTCCCTCCCAATTCCCATCGAAACTGACCGGCGTTCACTTCAAAAGTCACCATGGGCGCGCAAGCTTCTACTATAGGTATTTCCAATCCCTACCTGGAGCAATCACTAGTACGTACAGGAGCGTCAGACTAACGTCTTGCGCGCAACATCATAGCTCCGGCTCCCGCGCCGATTACCTCTCCGACTGCGAGCACCGAATCGAAACCCAAGGTACGCTACACCAGAGTTCACAAAAGGACAGACAGGGCCCGAACTAACACAACCGATAACAGCCCTGCTGCGTATGCAAGGACGAGAAGGCGCGCCGCGACGAGTGCATGCTCATGTCCAAAGCCGCAAATCCCGAAGAGGACTGCAAGTCGACAATACTGCAGTACCGCGCCTGCATGGAGGGATTCGGATTCAAGATTTGAAATGAACGCGCTTGTCTAAACAAGTGCCTGAAACGATAGGCGGCTGGCTTGTATATTATCTCCCACCACGAATAGATCTCAAATAGACTTGACGAACAATCCACTCGACCGGGTTTCGCGATAGTTGGGCTAAGGTTCCCTATCCCGACGTGACACGACTACGAATTCTTGCCCTTAAAGCCATAGCCCGAATCCAACCCCATACTGAGGCCTAGGTCTGACGCTGTAGGCTAGCACCTGCCTCTTCTCGGGGCTGCTTAAGGTTGAGATCGACGGCCTCTTGCTTCCTTCCCTCGACCACGATCTTGAGAAGCTGAGTAAAGTGCATGCATTCCTTTTGCAAAACCCTGATCCTTTCCTGTATCTCCTTCTCGATTGTGATGAGCTCGGTGACGGCTTCCTTCCACTCAGCCAAGGCGTCCTGCTGAGCCCGGACCCTATCAACTCGACTGTCAGTAGTGGGGACTGAGGAGCCTAAGCCGCCAAAGAGAATCGGAAATCACTGACATTTCCCGTTGTTTCTCCTGAAACCGAGAGCGAATTCGCTCTTTGGCCCTTTCCAGAGCCTTCACATGCTTGTCGGCTAGGGCCGCCTGTCGGCGAGCTAGGTTGACACGCAGCTGGCGTGTTCAGTCTCAGCATCCACGACCTCTTCGTACTCAGCCCACTGCCCCCATCCGGCGCCTCTATATCGCGTACCTCTGACATCTTCTGTTGAGCATTCATGAGAATATCCTCCGGACCCTCGGTCTCATAAGGACTCTCGCGCTTATGCGCCGCTCGCTTGGTGGGCATGATCGAATCTTCGCGTATTTTGACTACCTCGTGGGTTCGATGATATAACCGCGCCCCTGGTGAGGTCGTGCTGCTACTACGGTATGCTTCGAGATCGGGAACCCACGCTCTGTCCCGAAAGCGAGCTGTCAAAGAGCGGTACATAGTAGACGTAGGATATCTCCCCACTATAGCTGGTTCGGGTGAAGCAGGTGCGATAGACCAAGCAAGTGCATCTAACCTTCCCCCAATAGTGCTCGTCGCGACTCCAAGGAAGGAAGGACCTAGAAAGGCAGGGGTGGGGGCACCCTCAAAAGAATCTGGAAAGTGCTATGGCCCCAAGACGCGCCAAAGACAAGCCTGCTATTGATGGAGAAGAGATCATCCCTAAGCAGTGCTCTTTCCACCTTGACGTATGCTTTCGGAGCCGCGGTAAAACTATCCTATCTCTGGGCAACTCTCCTCGAATAGCCAGATTAACGCGTAGTGTCCGCCCACCGGCATCGAGAGGATAGGCGTTAGGAGGGTGTTGCGAAATCGATGGCGAAGGGGCCAGCTGGACTTGAGGATATCAAGTTCTTTGGCTCAGCGCACCGATACCTTCAACGGCTCAACCTTGACAAGTCTCCTCTAACCGTACTTTGGCCATACTGTTGCCTCGTAACACTCTCGTAATCGTAAGACCGGCAGCTAAGCTTCGGAGTTATCAACGCCTCGAGTGTCGGCGCCACTTCACTCAAGAAGCAGAGGCTTCTGAAGAAAGAAGGGCCTCCCATCACCTTCGGATCTTGACTAAAGCCTTGCCCCTACCCATTTGACCGTCAAGGGGTGGTTAGTTAGCGAAGGTCTTATTTCCTTTGGACCTCGAGAAACAGAGCGCAGAGAAAATTGATCTTTCCGACTTGCTAACCCAGTGGGGCCGGGGCCTACGGGGCTGTACAAGCCTACACTCCGATATCAACCTCGGGATTCTCTCTTATGCTATGTAGCGCGCTCACTTCAGCCAGCCCCGGTGCTTCGACCAAACGGCTGACCGAGAGTTACCACTGAGCGTTTGAGACGGGGGCACACCTATAGACCAGGCTGGAGATCTTGGTGCGGAGCCTCGGCGCCTCGCTCCCTATATTGGGCAAAAGTAAGTTTTGCGGTCCTATCACCGACCGAGGATGCCTCATTCGTCGATACCAGCAGCAATGCATGTGGAGACGTAGGATGCGATAATTTTTTAATTAATGACTTCCGTCCTTGATTTTGGCTGGGTGTCGACGTCATCAGGACTTTGGTGATGGGCGGTGGGCCAATAATATGAGTGGTGCCCAACTGGCCTCATGACATCGTCATCGGCCCCCGCTAAAACCGACCCAGACCAATTGCTGGCCACAGTCCCTGGCCACAGTTCCCCTCATGACATGGTGCCTCCGACCTCGAGTAGATTGCCATTGTTAATGACCCTTCCAGTCAGGGTCCAGAACACTAACATCTCAAGGAACGTGGTTCCCCTGACTGTGCATTCCAAGAGGCTGAGGGCAGGCTTATAATAAAGCCATGTCCACGCGAGGGATGTGGGCGGCTAGTACCACTTCGACACCTCGACGTTTGCCACTTCATTTCCCCTTCGCCATCGGTGTAAAAGGTTTACTAGTTCAATTTCTCTCGCTACATTTGTTCCAACGGGGAACTACCTTCAAACGATTCGTTGTATAGCTTTGAATCATGGGTAAGAAGTACCAGTGCTGTTTTCTTAGCCGAACTCTCAACTAACAACTGACTAGCAGACTACCCTATCCACAAGCACAAAAGAGGATCTACCTTGAAGGACCTCCGACTTATCCGTCAAGGACAGTCAAGAAGAAGATGACGATTGTCCATCTTCCACCTCCACCTTCTCCACCTCCTTGTCCATGCCCTCCTCCAATCATTGAGGTACCAGCTCCTCCGCCGCCGCCTCCCGTCTTCCTTCCCGAACCCCTCCCTCTTCCTCCTCCGCCTCCTATCATATGCGAGCCTGAGATCGAACCGGAGCCGCCTTGCATCATATCTGTGGATGTCGAGTCCTCCGGACGGTCTTCTAGATCCTCACGCTCGAGGAGGTCTCGGAGGAGAAGTCGGAGTCGGAGCCGGAGCCGCCATAGGGACCGGGAGGTCTATATCGAGAGAGAAAGGATTGTCCCAGTCGAAAGGGAGAGACTTGTCCCCATCCGAGTCCCCGTCCCGTACCCCGTTCCGGTCGAGAGGCGGATTGAGCCGAAGCCCGAACCACGACCTGCCTATCGCTACGTTGATGTGCCCGTGTACCACAGGCGAAGTCCTTCGCCGGAGAGTGTCTGTGAAGAAAGAGAGATCATCATTGTGGATGACCGGCGCCGAATCAGAGAGTATTAGAACTATGATGATGCTACTGGTGATGATAATGATGATGACACAGAGTGATCACGCTCGCTGAGGCTACTGGAGCAGTTTCTCCTTCTTGTATGTTTTATTAGAATGTTTGAACCTGTCAACTGCGGAGCAGAGTTATGAGGGAAACGAATGTACCCATCAAGAATAGTCCATATACATATCTTAAATTAGGGTAACAGAACACTTTTTCAGAATCAGACTCTTTCCCCTGCAAGGGACAGATGCTAGATACAGTCCTATCTAGAGCGAGCTGGGACAGTGCCTGGTTGTTGCAATTAGTTAGGGAATCAAGTTACGATTTACCATCATCACCAACGTCAACCGCATATTGACGTCGCATAGTAAATTAATCCATGGATCCGAGGTCGAAGTCAACAAATACTCGACTGTGAGAAGTAAAACAGATGAGTCGTTGTCCTGGTACCAATGGTAACTAATTCACCCTCTTTTCTCGCTCACGTTTCCCTCAATGTCAAAGACCCCCATGTATCTGATACGATCAGGATCGCGTCCTGGGCAGTGTGTGTCACGCGCCCAGGCTGCTGAGCATAGATTCGTCTGATAATATTTTTGTTGACATCTTTGGCAGCCAGCGTTTCACAAGGAGGGTTATGAGCCAGAAAGGGGCATTTTCCCACGTCTTCGGGGCTCGCTCTGGCGGAACTTCAGCAGACTTCAAGGCCCGTGGGTAGTGAGGGGCCAGCCGGAGGGTGCTGGAACGGGGAGAGTTGCATTGGGAAGCGGGCCGGCCGGGGTAGTGACTGACTGTTTGGAAGAGTCGACTTGACAGGAGGCTAAAGCTGCTGACATTCATCCAGGCGCCTTAATGACCAGGCGTAGTTGGTGGCTCAGGCATCGCCCTCTCTCGTCGAGCGTTACTAGTCAAGTTACGGGGTAACTATTATCTTTGCGTGTACTTCCTTCACAATTTTTCCTCTTCTTTGTTTACCATCTTTTTGTCCCTCTCGGGCTGCCAACGTTTTCTTGGGGGTGCACAAGGGTGGGTAGTGGAGTCTGGGGTTGCAGGAGTGGAGGATGCTGTCACTGACCCTTCTTCACCCTTGCGTCCTCCTCTTGGCGTACCAACCTTATCTCAAGCGGCCCACTGGGGACGCTCGTCGCATTCACCTGCCTCCCCTTTAAGCAGAACGCGACCCCCAAGAAAGAAAAGAAACCATGCCGCCACAATATTAGCTGGGCCGCTGCAGGGCTTGTTTTGTGTGCGAGAATAATCGCCATGGCGCAGTTGGTCCCATCTTAACCGTTCAGGCCTTGGCCCTTCTTGTGGGAGGCCACCATCTCATTGGGGGCCTTGTTTGACAGAATGTGAAGGACGGCCATGGCGAGCTACGAAGTAGTCTTGTGCCATCTTTACACGCACATTTTCTTTCTCGTGCCTTGTGCCGCCGTGCATGCAGAAAAAGATGAAACGGATTCGAGACTGCCGAAGAAGTTTTGCCGAGCCTGGGCGCCCATCAGCGCAGCGCCGAAGGCTGTGTTTCAGAATTCCTCCTCTGGGTGCAACTTACTTCCCGGGCGCCTTTTCGTTGGCTCGCTTGCGCTCTTCGGCAAGAACGGTGACCGGCGATTGATACCTGGTGGGGGTCTAGGCTGTGTCTCCGGGGGCTCTTGGCGGATGGTGAAGGCATTGATTGAGAGGCCTGGACTGTCTTTACTCGCCCGCGCTCGATTCACGGCATCGTGGTAGAGGTCGTGTGGTCTTGTCGAGGAAGGGGGGTGGGGGAGTCCAGGGGATGAGAAACATTGGTTTTCTTCACGGCCTTTAGAGAGGGAACATAGTCACAAGTCGCAGCTCCTCCCCGCACAAGGATACCGAATGCGTATGGTGATGAGAAAAGTTCCGAAGAACCACTATTCGGGGACCGAAGTCTGACGGACCCCTGGAAAAGCAACCCATGCAGCATTAGTTATGAATGAGTGGTACATACCATCCAGCCTCCGATAAGCCGAGCATATCTAGCTGGAGGAAAGAGAGCCTTTGGTAACGAGGTCGCCGGCTCGCGAGTCTAGACCGTAAATGAAGATGGTGGTAGGTGTAGGTTGTTTTGAACCGGTGTTCCGGGTGGTGAGGAAGATCAGGGCCCTGGCTCTGAAGAACGAATGGATGAGAGAGGGATGAGGAATCCAGAAACCCTCTTTGACGCTCGGCCGCTGGTCTTCCGCTCAAGATCGGCCCCGGTTTAGCTCACATGCGATCCACCTCGGCGACCTGAGTCAGGGGTGATCATATACTTGTGCAACTCATATCTTCCCTCTTGATTCGATCTCGCGGCGCAGCAGAGATGGGAGACGTAATGAACCCCGAAGGCTGTGCTGGACATGATGCAGTCTTGGCACGAAGAGGTAAATGTGATTAAAGTTATTATTTTCTGGGTCCGGAGATCTTCTTTAACCCTCTTCTTCCGTGGTTTCAACACGACGGGTTTTCTCTTCGCCCCTGTTTCCTAATTTGCTTGCAGTCTCTCTCTGCTGCCTCTACGGGCTGCGCAGGACGCCATGGACTTGCTATCTTTCGCCAGCCCTCAAGTTGGTAAAGAATAGACACTTGATTTGCAGGCGTTCAAAGGAGGAAGCTATATGATATGAGCTCGACAACAACA